GTCCTGTGCTCTCTCTCTGTAGCTTGTATACTGGCTATATGTATATATAGGGCTTCGCACCCATAGTTTACTCAATCAAGTCGTCAAACTCCAATTATTTGTTCAACAATCTATCTGACGGGACGGCTGTAAATTTAAGGCACGTGATTGGCTGTTTTTAAGAGTGGGCTGAAGATGCATCCAGATTCCTTGGCTTTGGGACCTCGGCTCCCCAAACTAGCTACCCCACACTTTTAATGCTTGTCGTGCCAACTTCCAAGATCCAAGAACACAATGATAAGTAGTCACTGATCCTTTTAATTGAAGCTATCTCTCTTTGAACTGCACATCTTACTATCCAAGTCAAGAGATTTACTACGGCGAAGCAATTGATCTGCCCGACTCGAATTGGATATAAAGCAACCTGTAACCACGTCACTCCAATATCTATAAACTTCAACCTCCAAACACCACCAACCGCAACCATGTCTTCTTCAAGAGATATCATCGTCTACCACTACTCCTACTCTCCCTACGCTCGTCGTATAGTCTGGTACCTCAACCTCCGCAACATCCCCTTCTCCGAATGCGTCCAGCCACCCATCATGCCGCGCCCCGACGTCGAGGCCCTGGGCGTCGCCTACCGCCGCATCCCCATCGTCGCCATCGGCCGGGACATCTACAACGACACGCGCCTCATCCTCTCCAAGCTCGACGAGCTATTCCCCCCCTCCTCAGCACACCCAGCGCTCTCCCCCACCACCCCCGAGCACCGCGCCCTCGCTGCACTGTTCTCCACCTCCACCACGGACGGCGGTCTCTTTGCCGTGCGGCGCTGCTGATTCCTACTTCCCTCCCTCTATTCAAGGACCCTAAATTCACTGCCGACCGCGCCGCTATGAGCGGCCGTCCCTGGTCCGCCGCTTTCCTCGAGCGCGCCCGTCCAGAATCCCTAGTCGAAGTCCGCGCCGCCATCGCCTTCCTAGAGAACGGACTCCTCGCCGACGGGCGGAAGTGGCTCCTCAACACCCCCCAGGTCTCGAGCGTTGATCTCGAGGCCATATGGCCTCTCCACTGGGTGTTCGGTATGCCCGGCGCCATTCCCGCTGAGGTGGCGAGCAAGGAGACATTTCCTAAAGTGTTTGCGTGGGTGGAGCGTTTCAATGCCGCGGTGGGGGCTGCGCGGAAGGCGAATGGGAATGCGAAGGCACTTAAGGGTTTCGAGGCCGCGGAGAAGATTTGGGGGAGTGAGTGGGCGGAGGGGCTGAGGGGAGTGGATGAGAGGGATCCGGTGGGGTTGAAGGCGGGGCAGGAGGTGCTGGTGCATCCTACTGATTCGGGGGTTACGCATAAGGATCAGGGGACGTTGGTGGGTTGGATGGGGAGGAGATTGTGATTGAGGTTAAGACGCAGAAGGGGACGGTAAGGGTGCATGCGCCCAGGCATGGGTTTAGGGTACTGGCGGCGCAGGAGGAGAATAAGTTGTAGAATGTGTGGGTTGGATGTGTTTGGAAGTTTATAGCCGGGTGTAGCAAGTACAGTATCTCATCTCAACAAGTATAAAATTGAGCTTGAATGCCATCAGGTTTATGCAACAAACTCTATAACCCTCCATCCTGCCGTGAAACTCCAATACTACCATTACGCATAAACGACCCCACTACGTACCAACCTCCTAATTCCTTAATCCAATACCATACCACTCAACTCCATAACCCTCTATCCTACCGATAAACTCTACAATGGTGCCAAAATGCCCCCAAAAACAAATTATACACGAACAATACCCAGCCCAACGCCCCACCCTCAATTCACACTCATATCCATAACCTCCTCAATAGGAGGAGCTGCCTTAGCATTCCTCTCCAGAGCCGCAACCAGCTCAGCCCCCCCCGCAAAAACAAGTTGATAATAGAGATCGATCCCCCACCTATTCCTCTTCTCCTTTCTGTTCATCAACTCCTCCGAAAGGCCATACGGGGATCCCGTCCAGAGATCCATTATCTGCATCTCCAGCTCACCTATAGCGATTGCCTTCTCGGATCTGTAATTCTCCGTCAGATCTCGCGGGTCGATGCCGATAAATGTCGGGATTCCCTGCCATGAGACATCGATACCTGCCTGCGCCGTCGGGAACAGTATCGCTTTGGCCGTCTTGAAGTGCAAGTTTTCGAAGCGCTGGCGCTTGAGCTCGTAGCTGATGACCGTCATTTCCTCCGGGAAGTTCTTGTAGCGGATGTTGAACTCGATGAGGGAGTACATGACGTTCTGGAGGGAATCCATGGCGCGGTCCTCGGTGATGATGCGGGAGGAGTAATCTTTGTACTTGTCGCCCTTGAGGTAGCCCAATAGTTTGAAGCTCTGGCGAAATCCCGGTATGATTTTGCCGCTGAGATTCTGTTGTCATACCATGGGCCCCTACATAATGTTAGATACTATTCCACGGAGTAATGAAGCCCAGACAAATCATAAGTCCCAAGATAGAAAAAAGAAAAAAACAAGTGAAGGGATTATAAAGGTCAAGGTACTAACAGAGGAGAGCCAAGACCAAGCAAATCGTAAATCTCAGGACAGTAATGAAACAAACATGCAAAATATGAAAAAACCACAAAGATAACAAAATACCAAAGCCAAACAAACTGCCAAACCAAAACAACCCTAAAAAATCCCTCGGACCCAAATCAGGTGACGAAATATAAAAATGGGAACTTACCCCCGAAAACATCAACACCCCCTCCCCATCCATCTCCTTCAACACCTCCAACCCCTTACAAATCTGTCTCCTCCAACCACTCCCTCTCGGACGGATTCGCCATATCCATCCCCCACCCCTCCTCGTCCCCTGCCCTGGCATCGCAACCCACTTATCCTCCGTATCCTTCTTCCCTATCCACGTCGCCAGACAGCACACCACGACCAACTTCTTTGATGCAGCGGAACAACGGGCTCGGCAGGCCCAGCAGCCTGCGCCGCATTAGCAGCGCCCAACTTGCGAACATCTCGCGAAACTGCGTCTCTAGGTCCGGCAGGGGGGCAGAGGGGGGAGGCGGCAGGTTAGCCAGTAAGTGCGGATCCAAGCCCGGCATCTGGTTAGGCCGGCAGGAAACACGTCGGGTATTCCGCCTGGTTGGTAGAGGAGATCTGGAGCTGCGCTACGAGGTTTAGGTTTACTCCCTGGGGGGTGGGGATAGGCGCCGTGTTAAACATTCCGACTTGTCCGGCGGAGAGGTCGTGAAGCCGTGCTCCAACTTCTGGGACCGCTTTCTGGCGGGGAGGCGCCATGTTAGATATTCCACCTGTCCGGCGGCGAGGTCCTGAAGTGACACTACTACTTCTGGGCCACTTTCCCGTGGCTTGAGGGAGGAGCTGTAGCAGATAGTCTGCTTGGTCCGGGCTCGGTGGTCAGGCCGCAAGAGCTGCTTTTTCCCACTTTCTCACGTAACCGTTCTCTTATAGACCCTTAGTGCAGCGACTGTAGTGGGGGTTCAAGGCACTTACAGCCTCAGTCGTAACAGCCGCAGCGGCCGCAGCGGGTTCGGTCAGTAGATATCCCAGCCTATCTTCAACACTCTCTTCCGGAACGAGGGGCGCAACCGACTCTCCTCCGTAGGGTGGCAGAGCCAGCGACTCTTAGGTGTAGGCTCCTCCGTAGGCCTGCTGAGCCAGAAAATCTCCTCCGTAGGCCTTCTGAGCCAACTCCTCCCCTCCGTAGGGCTCCTGGGCCAACTCCTCTCTAACACCTTGTTCAATCCTCCATGCTCTCGCGTCACGCGCAGCTTGTAGTTCCGCTTCGATCTCCGGGCCAAGATAGGGACCGATACGTGCGACGTCGAAGTTAGGATCAACAAAGCCGGTTCTGAAGCTGGGTGGGCTGCGCCCGAGGTATGATGATGGGCTGGATGGGCTGGTTGTGTTGAATGCGTTGTTGTCGAAGTGGGGGGGGTTGTCGCTATGGTCTGTTTTACTGCCTCTGTCACGTTGGGCATTGTGGGGTGTTGGTTTTTTTTGGGGGGGTGGGGGGTGGCGTGAGGTGCGGTGGGGAGAGGATGAGATAATAGGGGTTGGGATATGGTGATGTGACGTGGGGTCTGAGAAGTGTGGGATGGATGTTGGGAGCTATAGAGTGAGCGATGCTTGGGTGGGTGTGAATGGGGGGTGGCCATCTTGGGAATTTACTCTCGATAAGAATGTAATAATTTAATAGGGAAGGCGCGAAGGAGGGGGATTGAGAAGGTGCGAGTTGAGTTGAGTTGTTGTGGAAGAGCGATGGGCGCGAGGTTATCATACGATGTAAACAAACCCTTTCAGCTTCATTTATCACATATTGTAATTCAGACTCGGAGATAAATCAGGCCTTATTGTTGGTGACTGATAACTACTCGGGTGGATAGAGTTCCTCAAAATGATAAATCCAGATTCTGATAGCCTGATGTCTAGTCGTAGTTAGAAATCTAAAGAAATGTAAAATAAAATAAAATATATTAATGTTGTTGTGAAAATTTCACCCCATGGTGAATCGAAACCGCGAACCTAATGGAACATAATTGTTCGGGGAAAATGAATGGCATTGCATGGGGTAGTTCAGGGTTAGAAAATCAATTATAATCATGATTAACGTATTTCACGGCAGCAAAAACATAAAATTGAAAGGCGTTAGGATATGAATCAATTACGATTGAATAGGGATTATTATATAAGGTGGTAGTAGCTGTAGTAATAGTCAATTCGCATGTATGTAAGGATGCCTCCTTACACGGGGTACCCTCGGACCCGTAAGACAACGCGGAATAGGCGACATAGTAGTATAGCAGCATAGATGTTCTAGGGTCGGGGTCGATTCGGGCGGCAGACGGGAGTGGATCTACCGGTACGCTAAGGCCTAGCCGAGTCGGACCCCATTTAGGTACATAAGGGGTAGGAAGCTATAAGCTCCCCTTTCATCTTTTTGTATCCTTCGTAGTAGACCTATAGGATTGCACCGACTCATATCCGACTCGCACTCCCATATGCCACTTCTCGTGATACGGTGCCCTGCGTCCTTACATTATACAAAAAAGATCACGCCTGCCGGGGACGGCCGTACTCAAAGAATATCCCACAACCGGAACGACTCAGGAGAACTGTCGAAACACCACGACCGCGACTCGGTGACATTTCGAAGTAGAGACCTGATGACTCCAAATAGCCGTGACCCCAGAGAACTCACGGACAGCCAGTGGATCAGGGTTTGATCCTGCAGAGCAAGCTGGTAAAGTCGCCGACGCGTTGGCGCCGAATAGGATACGAGATCCTAAAGAACCCCCTCAAGCACAGAGGCAATTGTGAACAAGAGTGTGATAGCTACGAGCTACCGGAAGTCAAACTCTTCCGTATCGACTGCGACTCGATACACCCCCGAATCAAGATGTCGCGCAAGACGACACAAAACCACCACCCGACAATGACGGTCAACCGCTACGAATGACAACTAGGCAAACCGCCACAGCGGGCACGACCGCAGGGCCATCCGAAAGCCCCCGGATCGCATAGCGAACCTCGAGAACGAGATGCGGGAGCTCAAGGCGATGGTAGCCAGCCTCGTAGCTAGCCAGACCCGAATACCGTCTACGCCACCACCGGCTGCCGACGCCCCAGTGCGCACCATTGAGGCCGACGAAGACGAACAGCCTGCACCGACAATGCGAAACACGCCCGGCACCGTTCGACTGCCACCTGTCGACAATGCGCGCTCTCCTTCAATCCCGGGTCTACCCCGACAGTACACCGTGGACCCTCCGAACCGTTACAAGAAATCCACCATCTCTGAGAAGATTACGCCGCTCAGCGATGGGATAGAACATACCTTTATGCAATGGAGCGCGTCCATTCGGGACCGACTTGTAGTCAATGAGGACCACTACCCTACCGACGTCTCGAGAAGAGCGTTGATATGGGGAACTACGACCGGCCTAGCAAAGAAATATCTAGAACCCCAATACCTATCGGATACGCATGGCTTCCAGAGCGCAGACGAAATGATGGACCTATTAGGATCATATTACCTTACGGGTAATGAGACCGAACAGGCCCGGAACGAATTCGACGATATGCAGATGGGCGAAAAAGGGTCACTTACACGAAACCTTCCCCGAGTTCAAAGCCCGCTTCCAAAGTGCGGCGATTACGGGACAAGTATCACAATCGGAGTGGTTTCGGTATATGTGGAACAAGCTCACACCGCAATTCCGCAGCCGCGTGGCGGTCGTGAAGGACCAATGGAAAGGCGATTACCTCACCATGGTCCGAGCCTTAACCGCCTTCGACCAAGAGCGACGCAGGAACGGCGAGTTGAGCTCCCAGTCCAAGAGCAGCGAGTCGAGCTTCCCAGGACGGGCCCGCCTCGGCTCATCCAGGTTCCCGCCTGTGGAGGCCGCCAAGACCCAACCACCGAAGACGACAAGAAGTCCGTTGGGTTCCTTCCAGAGGACTCCTTTCATACCCACCGCCCCAAGCCGGACATAACAGGCGCGTGCGGACCGCCGTGCCGGCTGCGTCTGGAAACTGTTTCAAATGCGGGAAGCCCGGTCATTTCCAGGACAGGTGCCCGCTCAACCCCACAGTCAAAGAGATTGACCGCGAAGCCCCTGAACCCGAAGAGCAGTGGGAGGAGGCAGTCGAACTCCAATCGGATGCGTCCCTGGAGGAAAACGACGAGGCCTAGGGAAAGGCTCCTTCCTAGGTCTACGCAAATGTGATCTGCGAGATCTCGACCTACAAGAACTCTTGGGCGGAACCCAGTTCTTAGTCGACACGACGCTGAGTCTGAACGGACTCGGTGTGCAAACGAAGGCTCTCGCAGACACAGGAGCAAACGGATACCTCGTCATCAACAAGCCCTTCGCGCTACGACTGTCGAAGGCGCTTCAGAGCCCCATACGGAAACTGCCCTACTCTGTACCCATACGTGGTTTTCAGCGAAAAATCCAAAGTCACGTATCGGAGTATATTCGGTTGCACTTAACAGTCGAAGGACGCCGAATATATAACTGCCCCTTTGTGCTCCTGGACCTCGGAGCGCAAGATGTGATAATTGGGAGGAAGCTTTTCAGCCGCTTCCGAATACTACTCGACTCTGCAAAGAGCCGGCTAGTATGGCCAAAGGAGTACCCGCCTACTCCTAGCTGGAGCAAGGAGATCACCTTGCCCTACCACTCGCGCGAAACGTCCATTCGACATCCTTCTCACCAGTCGGATGCGAATCGTAGGGATGCCGCAATCCACCACGAAGACAGACGCCGCGCAGGCGGACGCTCGATGGAAATGAAAGTGATAATTTCGGACTCCGGAATGACCACCGACACTGCCCCGAGTACACCTCAGATCCCAGGGGTACCTTTCTTGCCACCGGCGAAGCCTGTACCAAGCTTCACGCCGGTGCACATCTGCGAGATCGGTGCAAACGCCTTCCACCACGAGATGATGCGAAGCGATGCCGAGTTCTTCCAGACCAGCCTTTACGAGATCGATCAGATCATTCGGGAAAAAGAATCCGAAGAGGATGACGAGACGATATCACTCATCCAGGAGAAAACTCCCGCCTGTGCACCGAAAGTACACCGACGTCTTCTCAAAATCGGAATCTGATAAATTACCACCACACCGGGTATACGATCATAAGATACAGCTAGAGGCGCCGTTACCAAACGCTTTCTCCCCGCTCTACCGGCAAGGCACCAAAGAGCTTAAGGCTACCAAGCAATACCTGCTGGAGAACCTGGAGAAAGGCTTCATCGTCAATAGCAATAGCCCCTTTGCGTCCCCTATACTCTTCGTTAAGAAAGCGGACGGCAAACTGAGGTTCTGCATTGATTACCGCAAGCTGAACGGACTCACCCGCAACGATCCGTACCCTATACCGCGCATCGACGAACTACTTGGACGGGTGTCGAAAGCCAAGATTTTCACGAAACTAGATATCCGACAAGCCTTCCATCGCATACGAATGCACCCTGACTCCGAAGAGTATACTACCTTTCGGACTCGATATGGATCTTATAAGTGCAAGGTGCTGCCGTTCGGACTGACCAACGGCCCCGCAACGTACCAGCGCTACATGAACGACGTCCTCATGCAATACTTGGACGACTTCTGTACGGCTTACCTCGACGACATTCTCATATACTCCGAGGACCCTACGGAACATATAGAGCACGTACACAAAGTCCTACAGCGCCTTCGTGAGGCAGGGCTACAAGCCGACCTCAAGAAGTGCGAGTTCAATGTTACCCGAACTAAGTACCTGGGTTACATACTGACCACTTCCGGTGTCGAGGCGGACCCCGACAAGATCGAACCCCTTCGAAACTGGATTCGACCGACCACCGTTACCGGTGTGAAATCCTATCTAGGCTTCTGTGGGTTCTACCGCCAGTTCATACGCAATTTCGGGAAGATCGCGAAGCCCCTGACTACCATCACGAGCCCCTCGGAGCCGTTCCTATGGACTGAGGAATGTGAGAACGCCTTTGAAGAATTACGGCGGCAGCTACTAGCGGTGCAGGCACTACACCACTTCAACCCCGAATTGCCTACGAAGCTAGAGACCGACTCTTCAGACGGAGTCGTCGCCGGCGTGCTATCACAAGAGCACCCGGACCAGCTCTGGTACCCAGTGAGCTTCTACAGCCACGTCCTTACCGGCCATGAGATCAACTGGGAAATCCATGACAAGGAACTCTTCGCCATCGTGAAAGCGTTCGCGAAATGGAGACCTGAGTTGGCCTCTGTTACGCAGCGAGTCGAGGTGTATACGGACCACCGCTCGCTCGAATACTTCATGACGACGAAGGTTCTCACCGCGAAGCAGGTGCGATGGATGGAACTACTATCCGACTTCAACTTCCACATTACGTATACGGCAGGTAAGAATAACCTGAAGGCTGATATTCTGAGCCGAAGAGACCAAGACCTCGTAATGCAACAGAAAGTCAAGTTGGATAGTCGTGCGAGGGTGTTGCTTGGCCCTGCCCGCCTACACCCCCGTATCAGTGCCGAGTTGGCCGACAGTTATGTAGCATCGATCAATGCCATCGACCCCCCAAAGGCGCAGATGCCCTTCGATCTGATCGAGGCACTATGCGTAGACAACCGGAAGTCGTTCGCCGAGACACGCGCGAAACAACCCTTACCGGATGGGTACGCCCTAGCCGACCAACTCCTCCTGTACAAAGACCGCCTATGTGTGAACCGCCACACCGAGCTGTGTACGAAACTCATCCGAGAGGCGCATGACCAGGTGTCGACGGCGCACCCCAGCGGCCGGAGGACCTACCAGTTGCTTGCCCAGAAGTATCGCTGGGTCGGTATGGAAGCGGACTGCATACGGTATGTGCGTAACTGCGCGACATGCCGCCTTTCGCACACCAATGTCACAAAGCAACAGGGCTTTCTACACCCCCTACCGGTACCCGACTACCCTATGCAACACCTTACGATGGACTTCAAGGAGTTCCCAAGGGACAAGCACGGGTACGACAGCATCCTAGTGTTTATGGACCGCCTCGGGAAGAGTTCGGTGACCATACCGTGTTATAAGACTACAGATGCACGACAAATGGCGCAGCTGTTCATCGAATGGATATATCGATTCGGGCACACCCCGGTATCGATCGTCAGTGACCGCGGACCCCAATTCGTGTCATCCTTCTGGCACGAGTTCTGCCGGATCATCGGCGTCAAGATCAAGCTGTCGACAGCCTATCACAAGCAGACCGACGGGCAGACGGAAATCATGAATCGGTATATCGATCAGAGACTGAGGCCCTTCGTATCACATTACCAGGACAACTGGAGCGAGCTCATTCCCATCATGGATCGGGTGCAAATGACCCTTCCCCATGCCTCGATCGGAATGACCCCCTACCGACTCAAGTACGGAACTGATCCGCGCACCAGTTGGGACTGGGAAACCCCGAAAGCCACGACCCCTAGGGAAGTCATGAACCAGAAGGAAGCCAAAGCAGTAGCAAACCGCATGCACTCCGCATGGATTTACGCAAAGGAGAACATGGCCAAAGCACAAGAGGATATGTCTAAATACGCGAATCGACGCCGACGAGCCATTGACTGGGATGTAGGAGACAAGGTTTACCTATCGACCAAGAATCTGAAAAATCACCGCCCTAGCCGTAAGCTGGGGCAACAATGGGTCGGACCCTATACGGTACTGGAACAAATCGGACACGCCTTCCGACTAGACCTACCGAAGGGTTCCCAAATACACGATGTCTTCTCTCCAGACGTACTCATCAAGGCTCCGAATAACCCGCTGCCCGGTCAAGCAGCGCCTGAGCCAAGCAGCAAAGTCGTAGACGGCCTAGAGGAGTGGGAGGTCGAAAAGATCCTCGCCGTAAGGATCCGGCGAAAACAACTTCAATACCAGGTATCCTGGGTCGGATACGATCCGGACCCGGAATGGTACCCCGCCTCAAACTTTAAGAACTCCCCCTACAAAATCCGGGAGTTCCACGCGGAGTACCCAAACCTGCCAGGACCACCGCAGGACCTACCCGGCTGGATCACGGAATGGGAGACAGGCAAACCAAGCTACGATCACGAGAGGCACGGCAAAGCAGAGGAAAACAGCGTCGTTGCTACCTACGACACTAAACTAAACACCCTCTAAGCCAGGGCACCCTCAGAGCCGTAGCCCTTGCGGAAGCCACCCTTCCCAAACGTCTCACCGGCGTCGCAACAAGCGGCTACCACCATGAGAGACGAAGGGTCGAAGTGACCCCACGCGAAAGACCACGCCCGAGTTCCCTCCGGCACAGGGCCCGTTCACCCAATCGGGTTCTCCCCATTCCCCTCCTCCTCCTCCCCCCTCTTCCTCTTCCCGCCATTGCGGGGAGCCACCGCAACAGCCCCGGCCAACTTCCCCACCGCCTTCTCCACCTTCGCGACCGCAGTCGCCACGAAGCTCACCTCCTTCCCCACCTTGTCGGTGGTTTTATCCACCGTCCCCAGCAAGGAGACGGCGCGGGCCTGCCCCGCGAGGAGCTTCCCCGTATCCTCCTTCAACCCCTCCACCGCGGCGGTGAGGTCCTACCTAGGAGTCAGACCCAGAACAAGAACAACAGAAAGGGGAAAACTTACCTTGATGGCAGCGAGGGTGGCCAGCCCCTGAATGTACTGCGCCCCCTCAAAGGGGGAGCGCAGGGCCGGCATGGCGGCGCTGGAGAGGTCGGCCACGCGCGCGACCTCCTTGTAGGTCTTGAGGGTGGTGGCCGGGATGGGAGGGGTGGCCGCTTCGGCGGCGACGATGGCGGCATATTCCTCCTCGAGGAACCAGAGAATCTATCCCCCAGAAAGTCAGCACAGGAAACCAACCACCAGACCGAACAGCACCCGAGAACTCACCGGCACACATGGTGCCTTCTGCTTCACGCAGTAGGCGCACTTGGAGCTTTTCTCGCTCCAAACGCACTCGTGCTCCATGGGAGCATCGTCGGGTGTCCCAATACAGCGCACGCATCTCATACAGAGGACGCGGTACGCAGCCGGGAGGGCCCCGGGGGGCAGCAGGACGGGCATCTTCGCGAAAAGGTTTCCTACAAAACCGTCAGCCCCAAGCCCAGAAGTTATCACCTACGCGTCGGCGCGCAATCATCACCTACTCGGTCGTCTGGTTTGTTTTGTTTCCTATGAAACAATCAGATTAGTATACAGTATACGAACAAGAGGGGCTACTTACTGGATTCGGGAGGTGGGTTCGTAGGCGGTGTTGTTGTAAAAAGAAGCCTTCGAATCCTGGGTGGAATCGGTTGCTCCATAACAACCGCTTAGAACAATGAATTTCTGAGGAGTAGTAGCGCGCGCACAGTAACTAAGAAACTCGCGACGCGCAACACCACAACTGGATACTATACGGTGCCAACTCGGACCTCAACAACCCGCTTTTATTAGGAACAAAGCACGCTCCGCGATCCATCCCACGGACGCATTCAGCACCACGATCTTCGAACAAAGACTACCTAGACCATACCGACACTCGGCTACCATTCGGTCGGCACACGGAGCCACGCGCTTTGAGGACAAAGCACTCTCTCAAGGGGGGGGGTAATGTAAGGATGCCTCCTTACACGGGGTACCCTCGGACCCGTAAGACAACGCGGAATAGGCGACATAGTAGTATAGCAGCATAGATGTTCTAGGGTCGGGGTCGATTCGGGCGGCAGACGGGAGTGGATCTACCGGTACGCTAAGGCCTAGCCGAGTCGGACCCCATTTAGGTACATAAGGGGTAGGAAGCTATAAGCTCCCCTTTCATCTTTTTTGTATCCTTCGTAGTAGACCTATAGGATTGCACCGACTCATATCCGACTCGCACTCCCATATGCCACTTCTCGTGATACGGTGCCCTGCGTCCTTACAGGTACTACATTGCGAATAGGAGCTGTATTCTCAAGATATTTTTGAATGCCTTGCAGTTTAGTAATCTTTTCATCCTTGTCTTGAATTTCTTCTTAGAGCTGTAGAATAGCATTATTTTACTCTGTAATAGTAGCATTAGAAGCTTAACTAATGATGAGGTAGTCCTTCATAATGGCTTTTAACATTGACTAGGCGTACTCTTGGCCACTAGGTGAAAAAGTAAGAGTCTAAGCTACTAGGTAGTAGTACTTAGTTAAAAGAAGCCTATAAAGTAAACCATTAACTTAGCTGTGGCGGTTTAGCTCTATAAGCTAGAAAGTGATAACAGCTTACAAAAATAGAGTTAGAACACATCGAGCAGTCTTGGATCTAGAAGCTGTCTAGTCTAAACTATCAGAATTAGGCTCTCTAAATCCAGATCGAGCTTATTATTTATAAGAAGATGTAGTAGCAAATATGACGTTGCTAGCGCCTAGATTAGGGCGGCAAAAATCACGGATTATCGACTAGTTTGTCGATATCGAGGAGCAGACCAAGGCTTCAAAGCCTGTCACCAAATCTGCCTTGCAAGCCTCTACGGATACTAGAGATACGAGGGGCAAAGGTGGTAGACGGGGCGGCAGAGGCAAATCCTCTTAGAAGGACACCCGTACGTGTTATCACTACGACGTGACGCGGACGACATGTCTAGTTTCGAATTGTCATCTAGGCTAAGCCCATCTCAACGTTCTTTTGTCAGCCTGTCCGACTGGTCGGAGAGGGCAGAAGGGCATTCCCTTCCGACCTGCGTGAGCTGTGGGATGATGCACCCGACTCTGAGACTTCCTGAAGTGCATTTGAGATATCTACTGTAAGAATAAAAAGTCTTGCATGATGGGGGCCGATGTTGAAGATTTCAGACATTCTGAATAGGCACTAGAGAGGTTTTGGACTAGGACATGAATATCCTCGTGCCTTTCTGAAGAGACTTGGAAGAGTCCAATATTCACTGACAAAATGTTGCATTCCGCCCAACGCGGCAAAAGTTTTTTCATCTTTCCTTTTGGGCTTCTAAGGAGACATGAAACCAGATCCTCTACTATTGAGGAACTATTCACTGAGCATCTGTTCATCAAGCAACTGTTTCTGATATACAGGAACCCCATCCCTTCGAACTCTCAGTACGAACAATGACCACAGTAATAACAACTCTCCATCGAACATGCCGTATAATCCTCCTTCTTATCCCAATCATATTCGTCATCATCCAAAGCATCAGTAATCTTTTTATCAAGAGCCACCCCTTTCTCAACAGAATCGTGCTCAGGACCTACGGCTCCATCAGCGGAGCATTTTCTGAGAACTACACCACTAGATTCAGTCCGACTGCCTTGATCAGCCCACTGTGCAGAAAGATCATTGGGCAAGACAGAGGCCACTCCATCGGCTTGCTCCCTTAGTTCCAATCCAAGCCCATATAGATACCGGACTTCCAGCTTTCGTCCCGGCGTAGCCTTAACGACGTTCGCAATTTTTTTGATAAGATTGATCAATTTACGCACGTCTCCCTTGTTGTCGCTCTCCCACCTTGCGACATCTGGTTTGATGTTGCGGACCGTGACTTCTTCTGATCTAAAGAGGCCATGGTCGTGGTATGCGAGAACGAAGAATGAAATCTGGCGGATCCAAAGGCGGGGAATTTGGTCGGATATCGTGGTGTCATGGTGCTTCTTTTTGATTGAGCGTGTTTTCAGATCGAAAACTGTAGACTGGGGTACAGATCCTTGACCTCGAGTGACCCTTAGGCTGTCCGAGTCCTTGGGCGTGTGCCCACTAATGGTGTTTGCTGCAAGGGCTGACGTGAGAAAGTCTTCCTTTACCTCCCGATTTGCCGGGCTAGCATACGTCTTCTGCGCTGGAACTTTCTCTGCAAGATAGCCGTCCGCTTCAAATCGGATGATTGTGTTGAGATGACCAAGCTGGTAGCGGATGATGCGTTGATGAGTATCAGAACTCTGGAGGTCGGCATCCCAGGTAGTGTTCCCTTCAGGGAAAGTATGCCCATAACCACGAATGTCTGCAATCACTTCCTTTGGCGAGTTCTCTCTTCGGATCAAAAAGACTGTCTCACCCACCACCTCAACTAGAAATCGAAATGGCTTCTCGGTTTCGACGTTGCGCGCAAACCTGAGCAAGTTTCCAAAAGTACTTCCGCAACCGAAGACGTCGACTTCCTGGGTATTGAAATCAGGGCGTGCTTCGAAGATAGAGCGAACGACTGGCTCCATAGGATACGATGGGAAGTACGCAGCGTTTTGGTCTCGATAGTAAGTGCCGTTGGGATTGTCTTCTGAGAGCTTAGTCGGCCTGGCTGTGGGCGTCCACTTTGGAGGCTTGCCTGCTCTTACGTTAGGGCTTTTCTGATGTTGTGAGAACTTAAGTTGTGAAAATATCAACCAGGAGTCATGATCGTTGGCTCATTTGCTTTGAGCCAGTTGTACGATGCGACATCTTCTAGACCTGTGATTGTGGCCTCGCTGGATGAGACTTGATCGGCCTCCAGCTCGTTGTAACGGATGGTAGTCAAGACTGGGCCGATTGGCGGTGATGGACTTCTTGGAGTTCCAGGAGCTGCTGAACGCCAGCCTTGTCCGCTGTAACCACCACGACCACGACCACGGCCGCGACCGCCAAATCGATCATAACTGCTCGACGAGAACATCTCGTGAATTTTCGCTCTCGCTGGCCTTTGAATCAATTATCGTTCGCGCTGAAGCAAGATTGAGTTTGATGATTGCGGAAGAAAGGCTTCAATTAGTCGGGAGACTAAAATGTGGGCGTTTTTGTAGGTTTGTTGGCACCACATGAGGCAGGCGACCCCTTGCTTTTATGTTGTTGAGCGCATCGCTTTCGCTTTCTTGCATTATCTTTGAAGGCTAGAGATCCCTATTGGTAGAGAGATGCGGCTGTGTAACGCGAGAAGCAAACAGTGCAACCACAGCGCCTTGTTCGATGGTTGTAGAATTCCTTCTTTTTTATCCTCTTTGTTGTCGTTTTCGAAGAGGAGCAGAACTGTTTGGTGTTCACAGAACTTCTTTTTAGGCCACAACTCTTGGTCATCGACAGCTGAGGAGCTTACGTAGACTTACTACCTGGAAGAAGTAGGTAGGCCTCCACTTGAAGAAAGAAAGTACGGAACTCACAAAGATTTATTGCTACTGTTGGCTAGAGGTACGTCAGGCATTTTCTCTCAACCGTGATTCACCGGGAACATGTTCTAAGACTCCATCACTCCCTGTAGGGTCACTATTGGCACACAGCTTCTTCTCCTTGCGATATTCTAATGGCATTCAACGGAGATCGAGCGGTCCAGTTAAAGAAGTTCCTTGGATCCATTGCATTTGGGAAATCCTCCATCACTAATGCTGATCGTGCGAAGCTGTTTTTTGAAGCTCTATGCGCACAAGACGACCGTGTAACTTGTGTGGAGAGACTTTTTGCAAAGCAACCTTCTGTTGACGCACTTCGTCGAGCTCTGAGGCTCGACACCTCCACCAACTACATCAACCAATTTATTGCAGTATTTCTTCAATATATCTCTGACCCTGCCATCAAGCAAATTTCTGGCGGCCAGTTTCTTCAAGATATCCTTGTCATCATTGCTGATCCTCCCACTCTTTGGAATGCCTTGATTGTTTCGCAGAAAAATGGCTCTCTCAATGAGAATGCAACACATGGCTTTGCTTGGCTTCTTTGGGAGCTTCTCTCGATGCCTTCTAATGACAACATCGAAGTAATGGAAACCGCAAAATCTGTAACGAGTTCAGGATCTCTTCTGGAATCATCATCCCATAAAACTCGCGTTCTCGGTTACAAAATTCAACACTTCTTGAAAGCTAAAGAAAGTAGCGCAAATGCCAACCCGGACAACGCTGGACCAGGAGGTCGACATGACAACGACTTCAGTGACTACCGCGAGACAGCAATATTTCCCACTGCAGACGAATTCATGTCAGACACGCAACCATTCTACAGACCGGCCAGAGAAATCGCCCAAGCTGAGCCTGAAAAACGGGTCGGAATTCACCTGGATAACCAGTTTCGCCTCCTTCGGGAAGACATGCTTGCTGAACTGAGGGACGATGTTCGCATCGCGACTGGAAAGAAGAAAGGGAGACGGCCTCCTGTCATTCTTGAGCGCCTCAGTCTTGCTGGAACTGAATGTGGGGAGCCGAAGAGATGGAAGCAGTGTGCTTTGAAGCTACACTGCGGGCTTGGCATGGAAAAGTTCGCAAAGATGTCTGCTGCCGAGAGAAAGACTTACCTCAAAAGCAATCCACGATCCCTTAAGCATCAATCATTCGGCTGTTTATTACAAGGAGACGAGATCGTTGCTTTCGCCACCTTGGATAGAGATGAAGCTGGATTGCTTGAAGATCCTCCGGCTATCACCTTGAAGATATGCGGAGACGATGCTTTCAAAACCCTTTTGTTGGCTTTAAAGGGAACAACGCCAGTTGACTATATTCAGGTTGACACTCCGTTCTTTGCCTATGAGCCTGTGCTGCGATGTCTGCAAGATATGAAAGATATTCCACTCGCGCAGTTCCTCCTAGGGACAATCCCAGACGAGTCATCTCAGACTGCCGTGGCCGTTGACAGCGCAATTGTTGACGAGCTGCGAGCTAAGGGCAGTCCGATCATCCAACGCCTGCTTAAAATGGACCAGCCTATCGATCTCGATCAATCTCAAATGGATTCTCTCATCGCTGGACTCGGACAGTCTGTGAGTCTGATACAAGGACCGCCAGGTAAGTTTATCAATTGCGTGCTCGTTTAATCACAACCATTGACATCACCAGGAACGGGCAAGTCTTTTATTGGTGCTTTGATCGCAAAAGCTTTGTACGAGCACACAAGCGAGACTATTCTTGTTCTAAGCTACACCAATCATGCACTAGACCAGTTTCTTGAAGACCTTCTGGACAATGGGATTCCACCGCAGAGTATTGTTCGACTTGGATCAAAATCTACACCACGTACCGCGCCCTTGAACTTATTCGAGAGACAAAGAACTGGTGGCTATAGTAAATCTCGCACTAAGTGGGAGATAGTCAACAACTTGGAAAAACTCGTTGAGGTCTACCTGACTGAGCTGTCAATCGAACTCAAGTCTTATACCCAGACTGGAGTATCGTGGAAGGACATATTTGCTTACCTTGAGTTCAGCGATGATGATAATCATTTCTATCCAGCACTACTTGTGCCCGACGAGGAAGGCGGAATGACGCGCGTTGGCAAGGGTGGAAAGGAAATCAAGCCAGATTACCTCTATGACAGATGGTTGCGAGGTGAGGATGCTGGTATTTTCAAAAAGCAAGCCGTGGAACATTATGAAATCTGGGCCATGGACGCGAACTCTAGACTGGAACTTATGAAACGTTGGACTACCGCTCTGTTGGACGGACAAGCGTCCAAAGTCGCCACTCTACTTTCACGCTACAACAAATATCAGCAGCGTTTGGCACAAGTCCTGGGAGAGCGGACAGCACAGACTCTCAAAAGAATGAGAGTCATCGGTTGCACCACAACAGCTGCCGCCAAGTATGCTTCCGATCTTCTCGATGCCGCGCCAGGAGTTGTCCTGGTTGAGGAAGCCGGCGAAATTCTGGAAAGCCACGTTCTGACTGCACTGTCGCCAAATACTAAGCAGCTCATTCTCATCGGAGATCACAAACAGTTGCGTCCAAAGTATAGCAATTACGCAATCAGTGTCGAGAAAGGCGATGGATATGACCTCAACCGGTCCATGTTTGAGCGGCTTGTGCTCGCAAAATATCCCCACACCACGCTGTCCAAGCAACACCGCATGTGCCCGGAAATCTCATCTTTGGTCAGGCACTTAACATACCCCACCCTTCAAGACGCTGACAAGACACTGAATCGGACACCGGTACGTGGGGTCCGAGACCGGGTGGTCTTTTTCAACCACATGTATCCAGAGGTCGATGCCCAAGAGCTTGCAGACCGTCGAGACCCTGAATCGAGGACCAGCAAGAGTAATTCATTTGAGGTTGACCTTGTGTTGAAATGCGTCCGCTATCTTGGGCAACAAGGATACGGGACTGACAAGCTTGTCATACTTACTCCTTATCTCGGGCAGCTGCGCCTCCTTCGTGATCACCTTATGGTAGAGAACGATCCGGTTCTCAACGATCTCGATTCCTTCGATCTTGTTCGAGCAGGTTTACTTTCGGAGGCCAGCGCAAATATCAACAAACGACCTATCAAAATCTCCACGATCGGTACGTCAATGGCTATTATGTTCCAAAGCCCTCGCTAACCTTCTTGACCTCAGATAACTACCAGGGTGAAGAGAGTGAAATTGTCATTGTATCTCTCACGCGTAGCAACGAAAAAGGCGACATTGGGTTCATGTTTTCGCCTGAGCGACTCAATGTCCTGGTTCACCGAGACTCACGCGAAACAACCCCTACCGGACGGATTCGCGATGAACGACCAGCTCCTCCTGTACAAAGGCCGCCTATGTGTGAATCGCCACACCGACCTATGTACGAAACTGATCCGGGAAGCGCACGATCAAGTGTCGTCAGCACATCCAAGTGGCAGGAAAACCTACCAATTGCTCGCTCCAAAGTATCATTGGGTCGGGATGGAAGCGGACTGTCTGCGGTATGTACGAAACTGCGTGACATGCCGGCTTTCTCACACCAATGTCACTAAGCAACAAGGCTTGCTACACCCACTACCCGTACCTGAATATCCTATGCAACACCTCACCATGGACTTCAAGGAGTTCCCAAGGGACAAGCATGGATACAATAGCATCTTAGTGTTTATGGACCGACTCGGAAAGAGTTCAGTGACAATACCTTGCTACAAAACCACAACTGCCCGGCAGATGGTGCAATTGTTCATCGAATGGATATACCGATTCGGACACACTCTGGAGTCGATTGTAAGCAACCACGGACCCCAATTCGTATCATCCTTTTGGCAAGAGTTCTGTTGATTTATCGGCGTTAAGGTTAAGCTGTCGACTGCCTATCATAAGCAGACTGACGGGCAGACGGAAATCATGAACCGATACATCAATCAGAGACTGAGGCCATTCGTATCCCATTATCAGGATAACTGGAGCGAACTCATCCCCATAATGGACCGCGTGCAAATGACACTCCCCCACGCATCCATTGGCATGACCCCCTACAGACTCAAGTACGGAACCGATCCGCGTACGAGTTGGGATTGGAACACTCTGAAAAGCACCAACCCCCAGGAGACCCTAAACCAAGAGGAAGCCAAGGCGGTTGCAGACCGAATGCATACCGCATGGGTCCACGCAAAGGAAAACATGGCAAAGGCACAAGAGGAAATGTCTAAGCACGCGAATCGACGCTGAAGGGCCATCGACTGGGACGTAGGAGATAGAGTGTACCTATCGACCAAAAATTTGAAAAACTCTCGTCCTAGCCGCAAGCTGGGCCAACAATGGGTCGGACCATATACGGTGTTGGAACGGATTGGGCACGCATTTCGATTGGAACTACCTACCAGTTCTCAAATACACAATGTGTTCTCACCAGACGTCCTCATGAAGGACCCGAACAACCCCCTACCTGGTCAGGATCCGCCTGAGCCTAGTGTCATACTGACATTCATTGCACTCAGTTTGCTATCAAACTCAAGAGCAAACTTAGAAATCTCCTCCTCAAACCTACAAGTCACCATACATATCTTGGCTTATCACACCAACAACAGAAGCAATACTACTCAACGATTGCTGCAAACTCTTCTACTACATCTGTTTATGCTACATACATCACAGCATATCATTTGGACACTCATTAAACAAGTTATTAAGAAAATCTCCTCCTTAAGGGGGTAGGCCAATACTACCACATGGCATATCTCTACCAACTAGAGGCCTAGGAACATGAACGATAGCTCCAAAAGCTTCTACAACCCTCTATGATTCATTACACGTCATCGCTCCTTAGTTACCCACAAGATTGGTTAAGTTATGACATAATTTATCTATAGGTACTCTGACCTTGGACCTCCTTTTCACTTCCTATAGGCTAGGAACCCAAGAGATGGTTCTATGGGATTCTCTTACGTTCACTACATGATTAGCAAGCTAGTTGTGGGTCGCACTTGATTTCTAATACATTTACCAAGCCTGGTTAGTCATGGAAAGTCATGGAAAATGAGAGAACTACACTCCTTTGGCATAAATAGGATTGCCCTTTCCTTAAGAAAGGGCAAGCAGACAATACAGTAAATCGACTATCACATACTTCCACGTCTTTTACAAGCTTCCAAGCATTCATCTTGTTACTCCTTGTTTCTGAAAAGTCAGTGAGGTGTTAACCTCTGACTTACCCCTGAGTTCCCAGACTCAACATTTGTTGCAACTTGTCTGAACCACTTCACTACATCACACACCTGATTGCTGCGTTGTGGAATAGTCTAAGCTACAACCCTTTGGCTCTGTTTCCTAAGACAGTGTGTTGTCTTAGTAAAATCATCCCTTCCTTGGGTGGCTAGATTCTCACATCTGGTGCACCCACCATTACACCTAGCAGCGAAGTGATAGATGGCATAGAGGAATGGGAAGTGGAAAAGATCCTCGCCGTAAGGCTCCACCGGAAGCAACTACAATACAGGGTTAGTTGGGTCGGATACGATCCGGACCCGGAGTGGTACCCAGCGTCAAACTTCATGAACTCTCCCCAGAAACTCAGAGAGTTTCATACGGAATACCCAGATTTACCAGGACCACCTCAAGAACTACTCGGAGGGGTTACGGCAGGGGAGACGGGAAAGGAACAAACGGGAAAGGAACAAAACTACGGAATACCCAGATTTACCAGGACCACCTCAAGAACTACTCGGAGGGGTTACGGCAGGGGAGACGGGAAAGGAACAAACGGGAAAGGAACAAAACTACGGAATACCCAGATTTACCAGGACCACCTCAAGAACTACTCGGAGGGGTTACGGCAGGGGAGACGGGAAAGGAACAAACGGGAAAGGAACAAAACTACGATCACAGAGGAAAAGACAAAGCGGAAGAAACAGAGTGGTTACTGTCTGCGACTCTAAGCTAAAATACCCTCTCAGCCAGGGCGCACTCACCACCGTAACCCTTGCGGGAGCCACCCTTCCCAAACGTCTCACCGGCGTTGCAACAAGCGGCTATGACCATGAGAGACGAAGGGTCGAAGTGACCCCACGCGAAGGGCCAGGCCCGAGTCCCCTCCGACACAGGGTCTTCCCCCACCTAGGCCCCGTAGGCCGCCCCAACTTCCCCATCCTCCCCCTCCCTCCTTCCATCACCCCGAGTCGGAGCGACCACGGGAGCGGCAGTGGTGGGCAGTTTGCCCACAGCAGCCACCAACTCCCCCAAGAGAGCAGGAACGCTCTCCTGTTCCGTCCGGAGACGTCGCAGCGACGACCGAATTTGCTGCCCAGAGTCAGCATCGAAATTACCCCGAGTCCCAAGGGGAAGGGGGTCTACTCACGGCCAGCCCCAACTCCAGGGCAGCCCGAGTGGCGTGTGCCTCCTCGTAGAGGTCACGCTCCACCTCGGAGCAGAACTTGGGCACGCTCTGGGCGGCCAGGAGGGCCACCCAATTGGCCTCAGTGGCGGCGGCGACGACGTCAGCGGGAATGAGTGTGGTGGCCTCTTCGGCGGCCAGGAGGGCCGCGAACTCTTCCTGAAGGAACCAGGGCAGCTTTCACCAAAGTCAGCAACTGCTAACCAAACCAAACACCGAACCCCACAAGAAAACCTACCAGGACGCAAGGCGAGTGCTGCGCGGTGCAGTACCCACACTTCGAGCTGGTCGGGGACCAGACGCAGTCGTGGGACTGAATCCCACGGGCTTTGGCCCAAAGGCAGCACAGACAGAGCACGCGGAAGGCAACCGTAAGGGCCCCAGAGGGGGTGGGAACAGGCATCTTCGATATTTTTTTTTGGAATCTAGATTCTGTCAGCCAAGCCCAAGTTATCACCATCGCGCCAACGCGCTCCCATCACCTACTCGTTCGTGCAGATTGTGGATGTACTATACAATCAGTTAGTAGACGATCAAGAAACGGACGGGGAGTGGCCACTTACTGGTCTCAGAGGGCGGTTTGTGGGCGTTGTTGTTGTGAAGTAAAGAATAAAAAATGAGAAAGTGGGCGAAGCTCTGAACTCAGATTTGGCTTACAACAATGACACCCGAATCGGGTTAGCGCAGCCACCCTCCTTGTGCGATGGGAAACTTTCGACACGTACCTGTAGCGGATATCTCCCGGTGCTCATTCGGACCATCACCACTAAGCCAGAGATCGAACAAAGAAATCAAAAAGTAGTCGCATACCAGACGGAGCTGATACGGTATTACTGCTCCAGGACTATTTTTCCATCTCCCGTCACATCAGACCAATGCGGTTGTCACTAATGCGGCCACGCGCGCATACCCTACGACAAAGAATGCCTAAGCTCACTGACGCTACCCGGATGGGTTCCGGACTATAGGCGGGTGGCATGTTTTGCGGACAAAGCACTCTCTTAAGACGGGGGGTAGTGTAAGGATGCCTCCTTACCTAGATACTCGAAGAACCTGTCTCAGAACTGTTACGGTCACTACAAGCATGAAATCTGATTCGGTGTGGTTTCGAAGCAGTAGAGGAGCACATAGCGAGTTACACTATAGTGAAGGATCAGGGCTAGGGTTGGAGTAACCGAGTCCGGCCCGTTTCGGGTACTCAAGGAAACAGACTCAACGGGGTTCCTCCTTCATCTTTTTTGTATCCTTTGTAGTAGACCTATAGGATAGCATCCGTTTAGCCTCCGACTCGCACTCTCATATGCTATTACTGTGAGCTGGGTGCCCTGTGTCCTTACAATATCGCTTTATCCGTGCTATGGTGTTCCTATTCAGACCTTGAAATGACGAAACGATTTTCAATAACTATTGAGCAACGTCGGGCTCTACGCAAGTGGGCACATCAACAACACCCAAAGCCTTCTCAAAAGCAATGTATCGAATGGTTCTCTCAGAACTACGGCCATAAACTCAGTCAGTCGACAGTTTCCGAGTCTTTAAGCTCACATTTCGAAGATCTAGACAAAGCTATACAACCTATGGGATCACGACTACGAGTTGGGCAGTGGCCAGAAGTAGAGCGACTCCTTATTATATGGCAGCAACAAATTCAATCGCGTGGAGGCTTTACAAGCGGTGATATACTACAAGAAAAGGCTCGAGAGATTTGGCAACAACTACCGAACGACGATAATCTACAATGCCCAGACTTCTCAACTGGCTGGCTCCATCGATTTAAAGCACGATATCATATCAAGGTCCATACAAAACACGGCGAAGGAGGCTCTTGTCCAGAAACAGCAGAGGAGGAAATGAAGGCTCTACGAACTATCGCTGGTGAATTTCAAGAAGAGGACGTTTATAATATGGACAAGACAGGCCTACACTGGAAGATGATGCCGTCTCAAGGGCTTGCAACACAAACGCTTCCAGGATTAAAGAAGGAGAAAACTCGAATGAGCCTCGTCTGTTGTGTTAATGCTTCTGGAACTGATCACCTACCTGTGTGGATGATTGGACGATATAAACAGCCACGCGCACTTCGAAATATCAATATACCATCAATGGGAGGGCAATGGCGTGCGAGCCGGAAGGCTTGGATGAATACAACAATTATGAGCGAATGGCTTCACGCTTTCTATTGACATATTGGAACGACTCGACAAGTTCTTCTTACGATGGATAACTTCTCAGCTCATAACACTGCTCTTGAGCTTTGTCCTCCTCCAATGAACATACGTATTTGTTGGCTTCCTGCTAACAGTACTAGTCGATTCCAGCCCCTTGATCAAGGCATCATTCAATCATTCAAATGCCATTATCAACGACAGTGGGTCTCTTTTATGCTTGATGCTTTTACCTCAGATCGAAACCCACTCGAATCGATGAATCTACACTTTGCGGTCTGATGGATTCTACGGAGCTGGAATCATTTTGTCACAAATACAACAATCTATAACTGTTTTCGAAAATCTACACTTGTCAGCATTCTGATTGCTCTTCCGATTCCAATTACTCCTCCAGGTATCAACAAACTCTATGAACAAGTTACACGAGCTGGCAATATTCATGACATTATGGTAATTTCTAACTTTTTCTAAACCCAAGCGACGAAGAAAGGGATATACAAGATGGGACACCAAGCGAGGACGAGATTCTACAAGAGGTTATTGATGAGCATCTAGGTCTTTAGCAAACTCAAGATGATGATGAAAAAGAGTTGCAAGAGCGCTCTTTACATTCTGTGAAGAGCGCTCGTCAAGCACTCCAGGTTCTGATTGAGTTTACTGAAGAACAAGAGGCTCTTCAATCAGACTATTTACGAGGCCTCGAGCATTTAGAATTCACTCTTGAGGCATTAGATCAAGAGTCACGGGTGCAGAGTACGTTAGATAGTTGGATTACATAAGAATCAATATAGCGATATTATCATTATAATGATATATTCTGCTGGCAGCAAATACATCGTTATAACGGTGCTTTACTGTAGTCAGCATCTACTTAATCACCAAGAGCTAGGGACTAGGCCTATTAGGGGGGGACCTAGTGTTACGGCTAAGTGCTAGTGCTATGGCTAGCGCTTACGGCTGCAACCTCACGTGATGGATAACATTGGATATCATGGATATTATGTTATCCATGTTATCCACGGCGATCCATGGAATGTCATGTGTGTAAGGGTGCCTCCTTACCTAGATACTCGAAGAACCTGTCTCAGAACTGTTATGGTCACTACAAGCATGAAATCCGACTCGGTGTGGTTTCGAACCAGCAGAGGAGCACATAGCGAGTTACACTATAGTGGGGGACGGTAAGGGTGTAGGGTTCAGGGTCGATGCCGACCTGTTGCGGTGGAAGGTTCAGGGCTAGGGTTGGAATAACCGAGTCGGGCCTGTTTCGGGTACTTAAGGAAACAGACTCAACGGGGTTCCCCCTTCATCTTTTTTGTATCCTTCATAGTAGACCTATAGGATAGCATCCGTTTAGCCTCCAACTCGCACTCTCATATGCTATTACTGTGAGCTGGGTGCCCTGTGTCCTTACAATGTGATGGATAACATTGGATATCTTGGATATTATGTTATCCATGTTATCCACAGGGATCCACGGAATATCAGCTGATGGATAACATTGGATATCATGGATATTATGTTATCCATGTTATCCACGGATATCCCTTTGGCACGACGCCACTATATAAGTAGATAGTATTTCCTTAGATAGGAGCTTCGTGCCCAACTCAATATAGTATTCTTTACAATACTGTAACGTGTTACTTGGAAAGCCCTTGTGTTTAATCCCCTGCCTCCTCTGTCAAGTCAACCTTACGCAAGAAACCTCTGTGTCTTCTATCATTTAGAAGTCAGCTCTATAAGGCATGACACCACTATATAAGTAGATAGTATTCCCTTATAGTATTCTTTACAATACTATAATGTGTTACTTAGAAAGCCTTTATGTTTAATCCCCTGCCTCCTCTATCAAGTCAACCTTATCCTTATGTATGTTACACTAGGCTGCCTAAAACTGCTAAGGGGGGCTTATAGCCTAAGGCCGCTATTATGCTACAAGACTACTCGTACAAGGTAGCGCCTAGCCCTAACTCACTAATAAGACAGTAGGGGCCTAACTCCAAAGGAGTAGATTAGGTAGCTAAGCCCTAATAGGGCTTGTTCTATATAATTTCGTACGATGCTAAGAAAACATCAGTGGTGAGCTTGTGTAGGCGACTCACTTGTGACTAGGTTATTTTTACATCCTATGTTATATCAGACCTACATAAAGGAGGGTAGAGGTTCCAAGGTAATATTATCACAGCAGCTCCCTGCGTCACACCTCATTCCAGCCTTGGCCAAACAATGCCGTGCGTGCACGCTTCGCTGGCAACAACTAGCTCGTGGTCCTGCTCAACCGCACCGCTTCCCTAGCGCCCGTGCAAACTAACTCCATGCACTTAGCTAGATTCGTTATAAGTCGCTTCCAATAGACCTGGCTAAGATGTTCCATGAATTAGGCCACGTATCACAGCTAGGCCAGGCCATAGTCCTTGAATACAAGTGACTAAGTTGCCTATTTCTCGGATAACCTCCTGAGCGCGGTCTCCGCATTGGAAACACCTTCCTTGAACCCTATCACCTTTGACAAGGATCTCGCCTCTTCATACTTGAGCCTTGCAGCTGCAATATCCCCGTCCATTTCGGCGAACTCGGCAAGATTGTGGGTTGCAACGGCACAGGCTAGATCACACTCCTCTGTCCTTTCTGGCGGAGCAATATTTGTGGCTATATCGATAGCCTTGACGGCCCAGGCTCGGGCATTTGCTACCAGGGTTGGCCGGGACACAGGGGCTTGACCTGGAGTTGTTGGGGGGTCTTGCTGAGCAACGGATATAGAAAGGTTGTTCACTACGAAATAGTCAGTCGAGAACTATAGCTGGGGGAGAAAGGGTGTTGTTACTTAAGATAGCCGTATGGCACGACTTTGGCGGAGACATGTTGATTGCCTGTAAGAAAAGTGGCGAGGAGAGATAATGATGGTCTCTGCTCTCATAGTAATTCCCAAGAGCTGCAAAGTGTCAACAGAGATCTTAGCTTTCAACCTTCAATCAACATACCTTCCAATGATCCCCCTATTTGTTCAGCGTTAAGCCACTCGCCTTCGTCTGGCTTGATACCTTCTTTTTGTCTCCTCTGTAGCTCCTTTAATGTCGCTTCAACAGCCCAAACCAACTTCTCCTCGGCCAATTCTGGCTCTTTGACATACTCCCCAGAATAAAGCTCGCCCAGCTTCACACTAATCCCAATTGTCTTTCCCAAAACCCTCGTCCTTTTGCCAGCATTCTCGGGTTTGTCTCCAAATTCCTCTATCCACTGCAAACAATCGTTCCGGACGATCTCGAGAACCTGGATTGCCTTTAGATATTTCTGGATCTTCTCCATGAATGCTGCTAGCTGGAATTTCACACCGAGGATCTCGTCGGAGAAGGGGTCCATGCCAATATCTTCCGCGACCCGAAGTGTCTTTTTGTAGAATTTAATCGCTTGGTGTGGTTTGAGGTCTTGGTTTGTAAAATATAGCGCCTTCCGTAGCTCTTTAGCTACCGGTTCCGGGAAGTTGTGGAAGGCTCCAATTATGTATGAGTTATAGAAATAGTTCGCGTACATGAGGCCGCCAGCGCCGCATAGAATACTGTTGTCTAATCAGCGAAGTCCTTAACATTAGATCGAATGAGGCCATACAACACGGTAGCGAGGCTGACAGAGTACGGATTGGCCTTGAATAGCTTTTTCGCGGCTCCATAGGCTGAGCCCTGGCTACTTTGGAATCGCCTTTGCCGGAGTACATCTTGTATGGTTGCTCTTGGTGCACTTCGTACGGGGAGCTGGCGCAAACATCTCGTAGTCGACAAGCATGGCCTGGCAAGCCCTCTAATCCCCGATGCGATCATCGTATGTGGTAGTATCCGAATCTCAATGCTGGATAGCTATCGCAAAAGCTTCAGCTGGATGAATTGACGCCTATGAGCTTCACTAGTACACAATTGTCCAATCTACCCATAGCTATTATCGCCTGATATATGAGGCTACCAAAATGGCATATCTTATCTGTCTGATCGAACAACCCCCACCTTTCGCCACTCTGGCCTCGGACTTGTGATATCGAAACGTCGCGTTGGCTCCTTCCTTGCCTTCAAATCAATATACAACCTTCGTATAACAGCATAACCAACAATGTCTGGAAAATTCGAGCCAAAGGAGCCCGTCATTCTCAATCCTCCAAAGGATGACCCCATAACCGTAGAACATCTTTCAAAGTGCAATGGTAAGATACCCCGCGCTTCGTAAGTCAGTTGCCGCTGGTAACAATGCAATAGGAACTGACGGCTACCCGTGTTACGTTGCTATCAAAGTATATTGCTTCTCCCTCCTTATGTCCTCGGTTTCTAACAACATCAGAGTGTCGTTTTTGATGTGAACGGCAAAGAGCCTTACCTCCCAGGCGGTTCCTATAGCGGTACGCAGCCCCCTTCGCACTTTTACAACTTCCAAAGTATGCGCCCCGGCTTCCTACGTTGCTAATTTATTCCACTGCAGTCTTCTCCGGCCACGATGCATCCCGGGCCCTCGCGAAAACCTCCACCAAGGCGTCCGACGTCTCTCCCGAGTGGTTCGATCTGGACGACAAAGAGAAGGGCGTGCTGAACGATTGGTACACCTTCTTCAGTAAGCGCTACAACATTGTCGGCAAAGTCGCTGGCGCGACAAATTTTGATCCGTCGCTCTGATTTGGCGGCAACGCTTACAACGCTTGCTCGGTCCGAAACGCCATGTTGTCACATTCCGACGCCTACTTGCGACTGATACCCCAGTTCCCGACATGCAAGGATCTCTGGAGTTTCAGGTTCCTATCCCCGGCTTTTCGAGACTTTTGCATCACCGATCCCTAGATCTGTGTTACATAACCTCCCGACACAGGCCTTTGCCATGGCATTTGATTACGGGGGAAACCGGGGAGACTGACGTTGCACCATATCCCGCATTTCTGCCTCTCACCATTCTCACTATGTCTCTGAGCATCGTTTCTGACGTTTCACTTTTGTTAATTTGGCCTGGTGCAGGTAGCCGAGGGGCCAGTGGAGGAACTTAGATCTCTTGAGAAGCTGTTATAGCGGTGATTTCGAAAAATTTAGAAGGACATTCCCAATTGCATGGCACCCTCACGAAGACCTCACATGTGATAATGCGGCGACACCTCGTGCTGTGCTGCACTCTCCACTCCCTCACCGGTCCGCGTCGTCCGACGGTTGTAACATTCCCATCCAGCTTCGGAAAGCACCATGCACTTGACACACTGTCATAAAAGTTGTGTAATATGCGAATGTGATCAAAAACGGACTTATAACTAACAATATTGACGTGTGCACACTGACAAACCAAACTAGACATTACGATCCACCCAGCACAGACTGCTGCATATCAAGAACACTAAACAGCAGGGTATTTTGCAGGATGGTGCAGCTTTACGGCCCTTCCTTTGAAAACGAAAATACGCTCCTCCCGAAACGACTCGATCTCATTACGATGGCCAGGCATAACCATGGCCGGTCAACCATCTACCCTCCGTAACATCCCGATCTCGACACCCAAGGCCAGCGCCAGTTCCTGTCAGTCAACCCCTGTTCGCGGGTAGTTCTTGGCGTGCCCCCGATTCTGCTTGGGTCCGGCAGTTTGGGCAGATCCCGGCTTGCTGCCAGACGCGCTTGAGGACCTTGACGCTGAAGCACTGATGTAGATCGTCCACGCGAGCTGTATGGCAGTATGATGAGCGGCGGATGGGGCTATGGCCGCAGGTGAAGAGGAATTGTTCGTAGTCACACATTATGGATAATGGCGAGGGACTGCATTGACTTTGTTTTAGTATGGAGGTTATCAGAGTTTGGGGAGCTTGGTCATGAGCTGGGCCGCTTAGAGGGGAGAGGAGAGAGATGGAGTTCGGGTGGTTGCGAGAGGTGAGTGCTCATTCACGGGGTTGCTGTGCAACAAGAGAGCAGTGGAGGGAGCATGGAAAGCTAAAGGAGACTTACGCTGTACTCGAAGCTTCCTTCTGGTTAAGGATGAGAATAAATGTGGTTGCACAGCACAAGGCAGTGTGTCCGGTGGCGTTCAGAAGCTGCAGGTGGCGAGCTAGTGAGATCGAGATTCGGATCTTGTACTCCTATTACCTGTAAGAAGTGGTGGTCTGTGGCAAGTTCATGTTCAATACTCACTAATGGGAATGATTATAGTTGGTGAGTGAAAGCCACTTTTCAACAAAGAAGTATGTGCTGACTTGAGATTTGATGAGGAGAGAAGGAATATTCTATAACGTGGAGGAGTATTGGATGAAGTGATGGAAATGATAAAGATAAGAACGGAGATTAGAGTTCCAAGCCTGGCTCTTTATAGAAAAAATCCTGGGTCTTCATGATATGGGTGGGACCCATTGGGTAACCATAGGCATGTCCTCCAATACTCACTATATGCATCTCATCGAAAACGACGACGGCATACAACGAGAGCTGAGAAGACGCAGCCTTCGTCCAGAACATCAAACAGCCCCATACTTCGACTTGCAGTATGGTCCTCCAACCATACTCCCTGGCAGCTTGCATTGTTTTCTTTTGGCTGCTCATTCCAACCAGTTTGTGTGATGCATAGTGGACATGTGCATATCCACGCACGAAAGAAGATTGTTCTGGTCTCTCTCATGGGGACTGCTGGAGATGCTGGGGTACAATCACGAGAACTACACTATTCCAAAGGACCTAGGTCTCGGCGAGAAAGTTGAGGTGTAACCCTTATGGGCCGCGAATAAAAACACCTTGGTTACTTTTACTAAAATAAATTTTATATAAATGCTAGGTGAGGGCCTCTCGAGCCGTTTTTAGTTATTCAAGTTAGATATGATAGACATTATAGACATGATCAAAACGAAACATTACAAACTATCAATAAGCCCGTGCCGCAAGAGCAGGGTTCGGGGCATCTTCCGGTTCTCCAGGCCTTCTTCCCCGGACCTATTGTTACTCGTACTAGAAAGCGGGAAGGGAGTGGCGACCTTCCTCCGCGGGTGCTGCGATCGGGGGGATCTACCTTGTGCGATCTGCCAGGCGGAGCACAATAAAGTGATATATGACTTGTTGGATGGAGCTATTTAAGAATTAACCATGCAGTTTTTCGGCCCGACCAACAACGTTGGGTGTTGGACCCTGCAGATCGGATGGCTTCGGGAAAAGTCATAGCACCCGACTAAATATTATTCCCCAGTTCTGGGATTAAGGTTTTCTTGGTTCTGATATATATCTGGACCAGACATCAGCACTGAGATAGCCGCCGATGGAGCTCGTGGTGGGAAGGGTCCCAGTTACCTTGCAGGTATTTATATGCACCTGGGAACCTGTCCCCAGAGCCGGGGATCACTGCTTGTCTTACCCCTTGCCAATATTAACGCAAAGACATCATTTTTGGATCCCTGCGGTTGGAGGACAGAGACCGTACCACACAGTACGAGTGGTGAAGTGATGAGAGAGATGACATGCAGCGATAGACGCCATGGCCGACAAACTAGGCCTCCTGCATTGATGAAGGAGTCAATGTGCAACCTATATGGCACGAACATTACCCTGGCAGTGCAGCGACAGATGTCACGGCACAGCGGGACCTCGCCGTCGATGGAGCTGATTGGAACATCCAACACAAGGCTCTATGAAATGGCTAAATGGCTTGCGAGCATAGCTAGGTGCTTTATGGACGGTAGTCGCACGGCAGTGATCTACGTGCAGACACAAATGCTGATTCAAACCCTGAAAATCGCGGCAAGTGCGCCAGATCCTCTCAGAACCATATTATACAACTCTTAGTTAGCATGATGATGTTGGGGACAATCATATGTTTGCCGACATGCATTCACAGAGTGACGATGCAGCATGTCATCCTGTACTGACATCAAACACGTGCGGTGTCGGGTGTCGGGCGTTGACGGTCAGGCTCAAGAGAGCAAATTCATGCCAACGGATATGGATGACAGGATCGAACTAAACTGAATTAACTGCCCAGAAAACTGTGATTCCCAGTGCATCAAGACAGGGTTATGAAGAACCTGGCTGAAGATCTAGGTCTTCCAAAGGACGCACATCGTTTGCACAAGAAGGCTTGCCACTGTGACAGTTGTACAAGGGTCAAACATTGAGATTTGAGCGGGGAATCTTGGTCGCCGCCGCTTGTGTTAAAATCATACGGGTTTGTAGCGCGGCAACTTTCTTCTCTGGTTCTTAAAAAGAGGCTAGAAAGTTTAATGGGAGAGAGCCGCGACACGAGTATGTCGATTCTCGAAAGGGCTTGGGTATTCAGGACACGCTAGAACATATATTTCCAGGGTCTTAAACATTCCCGTTGGGTGAAAATAGCGTTTGATTGGTCAATATTATCCACTTGTGCCGATCAAAACGCAGGGTGTAGATTACGTAGTAAATGGACTTCTCGGGAGTTAAATGAATACAGTCTTTCGGGGTAGACATATAAAATCTCTCTTTCTCCGCAGTGCATCGGGCTTATTACGGGCTATTTGCGACGTATCCTTATTATAATGTGTTCGATTAGGGGAGAAACTGAAGCTTTGAAGTGTCGATACACAGTCCCCGGTGGGTGGTACTGTGCTGTACGTATGTAGACGTCTTCACCTGCCGTGCCAGTGTTTTATCGCAGAAAATCTTCAGCAGACAATGCTACCGTTTCCTTTGTATGGCGGACAAGTGAGATCTGAGGTATGCTTTGGTTAAGTGATCTACAAAGTATGTCTTCCACTTTTAGGAAAGAAAATCATACGTAACGTGACGTTCCACTATCATGTCCCAACAAGGGCGGCAAGACTGGGTTAGCAGCATCTGTGCACGCATCCCTGCTACAGAATGACCAACATCATCAACACTCTCCCAATGACATTCCCGCTCACTGACTCCCAATACCAGCATACCATGACACAAACGGAACACGAGGGTTGTGCCCCTCTGCCTACACCAGAATCCACAGCGTCATATTGGCACAAGGAACCGTCAAAGATTCTCCTTAACCACCGAACAACCAAGGACCTGCCACCTGTTGTGGATGTGGTGATTGTTGGAAGCGGTATCGTGGGTGCTTTTGCAGCATGGCGTCTGCTACAAGATGCTCAGGATGATGAGCTGGGTGGAACGCGTGGTAACGCGCAGAACGTCTTGATGCTTGAGGCTAGAGAAGCTTGCTGGGGTGCCACTGGAAGGGTAGGTTCTCTTTGTCTCTGCGCCGTAATGCCACACCGGTTCGTGGATGGTTTCGCAGCCGACGAATGATTCGTGCGGAAAAAACTATCCCAAAAGCCACATTCCTACTGTCTTTGCATCATTCTCCTATCATCCATTACTGTACATCTTGGGCAGTTACTGCTTGGGAATATGTGACCCTTCTGTTCTATGCAGCATATTATTATGTACAACTTCTAATATCTACCAGAATGGAGGCCACTGCCAGCCGAAATTATTCGGCCAGCCCCCCCATATCTCTCGCTTCGAGCTGGATAATTATACCTTTTTGAAGTCGTTCATCAAGGAAAATAATATTCCTTGTGACTGGGAGACTGTCGAAGGCTGCAAATCATTTTATTCCAAGGCGATGTTCGACATGGCAATCTCTGATTCCGAGGCATCAGCAAAACTTGACCCTGAGTTAGGCAAGCTGATGACGCCCATTCACCCTGGCGATACAAACCCTTCGTTGAAAGACGTTAGGTTAGGAAGCGCATCACTTGGCGCTTTGGTGCAGAAACCTGCTGCGAGCCTCTGGCCATATAAGCTGGTAGCCTGGATGCTCGAGCAGCTACTTGAAAGAACTAGCTCATCACCTGAAGTATCTTTCAATCTCCAAACCAAGACGCCTGTAACGCACATCCAAAGCCTTGCAGACGGTAGATGGATAGTCCATACCGATAGAGGAATGGTTACCGCAAACAAAGTCCTATTGGCTACGAATGCCTATACATCGCATTTACTACCACACTTTGGGGACCTCATAGTTCCTGTCAGGGGACAGATGAGCTCCTTAATACCCCCTCCTTCCATATCACCCCGTACCGGAAAACCTCTAAGCTACACGAACTCATATGGATTCCTTGGAAATAAGAGCCAGAACTCCAACCAGGACGACTACCTGGTACAGCGGCCTTTCTGCGAAGTGGATGGGAAGTTATCCGGAGGCGAACTCATGTTTGGCGGTGGCCGTGGCCAAGCCACCATTTTAGGCATGGGTGCCGCGGATGACACGACTATTGACGAGGCAGTTGCTCACTACTTGCAAACCGAGCTGAACAACGAGCTTGATCTGGACAATAACAATACAGAGCTCAAAGCCTCTTATGAGTGGATAGGTATAATGGGTTTCAGTCGAGATGGCAGGCCTTGGTGTGGTGAGGTCCCTACTGCGATGGGAGGTGGGGAGGGTCTATTTGTTTGCGCCGGCTTCACGGGTCATGGCATGCCAACTACTAGTCTGAGCGCTAAATACATTGCGGATCTCATGATGGGGAAGCAGGAGAGCGATGTCAGGTTGCCGGAAGAGTATATTGTTTCCCAGTCGAGGGCGGCTATATCAAGGACGTACACCGAGGTGATGATGGTAGATCTGCAGCCAGATGATTATCATTGCTAAAATATCCACGAAATAGCTCCAGAAGAAGGGATAGTTGATAATTTGAAGCATTTATGCCACTTATTTCTTATTCGTCCTCTTCATAAGTACGCCCACGCCTGATTGAACGTCGTTTATCCGCCTCATCACAGTGCAACCCGTATTCGGCGAAGTACACCACCGCGGGTATGCGTGCGATTTCTTCTTCAGCATTCTTGAGCTGCAATCTTTGTCTTTCGTCAATGGGCTTTGCCTTTGTCAGAAGATATCGAAATCCCTTTGTAGTCGCATTGCAGCGCATATTGTCTCCGCCAAGGCCCATAGCTTGTAATCTGATAGGTTTCTTGTTTGTAGTCACCTGGTTTGGATCCGGGAATATAGATTTTGAGGAGTTGGAATGTGGAAGGGTAATTTTCTTTGGAGGCGAAGTTTTCTTTTATTTTAAAGGATCGGTGGCTATGGTTCTATCTTTCTGGACGTTCGGTATGCTTCTGTTCGATTCTCAGCAACATCGGCTGTGTTAATTCTTAAACTATACAAATGTCTCCGTCGGATTATCAACAAAGCCAGCTACATCGATAGTCTCCTTTGTAAGATTTGCCGGAGCCAAGGAATGAGCTGGGTCTCACCCTGATGTGCAATAATAAGATAACAGTAGCATGATCTCGATTCTGTGTTCTTCACAAATCAAACAAAGCCCGTTGCTATATAAATTTGTATCGGTTTAAAATAATGCGATATCCCTTTGTCTTTTCATGATGCTGCTTTCGGCCAGTTCCAGGGTCACCAACAGACAAAGGGGGTTATAGGAACACGAACCCCCCACTCAGTATAAGCTACAACAGAGCGCTGCCCATCTCGTTACTTACATCATTTAATTTTCAACTCTGAATCTTATATTTCGAAATATATACTACTTATATTAATCTTATTGGGGCAATTTATCGGCACTTTTTCACTCGTTAAAATAGGAGCATATCTGCAACGGGCCGCACCGACTGTATCGTGGGATATATGAACATTGGTGATATAAATTGATCTATTGATAGCCCTACTCAGGGGCAAGATCACAGGCAAAAATGCCTCAAGATAAAAGACAAGGGGTAAGGTTCACTCACCATATGAAACGCAGCGTATTTACACTACTGATATGAGCGTCAGGAAATTGCCCTCGACATGTGGGAATCTCTGTACAAAGAAAAAAAAGAAGCTCCCACAGTACTAGTCCAACAAATCATCAATCATTACCAATTCATAACTCAAGAAAAGGAAGGAATAGCTAAAGAGGACTTGCGATTCTCCAAACCAAGTTAACTGATGCGCACGCGCTGGCGGCACAACGAGCTAAGAAAATAAAGAGCTTGAAAAAGGCTGCCAAACTCTTAGTAGCTGGCCCATCAAAGGAAACGGAGAGTGCGCCGTCGACATTCGACCCGCCACAGGACTCATCCAAAGAAACTTGGGAGGCTACCATGAACAATATTGGCGCAACAATCCATCTCCTCGACGCCGAAGAATTATACCAGAAGGGAGACATGAGAGGCCTCGTCGAGGTAGCACAAAATGCCATGACGTGCGCTGGGAAGCAGCTCAACAAGAAGCTTGTGGCCGAGGCTTGGATCTGGCTTGGGACGGGGTACTGCAGCAGGGCTAATTTGAAAAGTGGGGTGCAAGCATTTAATATGGCACTCGAAGCTTTGAAAACTTTGAAAACTTTGAACCAGAAGGACAAGGAGGTTGAAAGCATGAAGAAGCTGATAGAGATGTGGCAGAGTGATATCAAAGAACCTGAAGCCAAGTTTGCTGCACTGCTTCTTAAAATTCAGACGAGATAAACATTTGTATGCAGATTCTGTGGGACATCTCTTTTTAATACATAGGAAGGAACAATTGTCATCATTATATAGATTGAAAGTTATATAATGTAATTCAAAGTAGGTCTTTCTTGCCAAGTTGTACGCTACTGAACGTCTCTCAAAAAACACGGGAAGGAAGATGGTGCGTTAGCGTGGTTGTGGGGTATTACAGTAGCTCAACGCTAAGTTAGCCTAAAAGCGTAATCTCACGTCACTCAACTCTTCCAGCGTAATCGATGCCAGGTATTTCTGTGCCTGGCCTATTTCCATGTTTGAGCACCATCACTTCTTAGCTCCAAGAGCTGTAGAATTCGATAGCCCAATATGAAGGCCATATATGCGGTACCGGTGACGGTTCTTGTTGCGTACAGAGCTTATTCGCATAAATCGTTGACACCAGCGGGCATTGTCGTCGCTGTCTTGACAGCTATTGCGCACGCGGTCCACCCATGGAATCTACCGTTTGTGCTTCTTATTGTGTTTTTCTTAGCTGGCACAAAAGTCACCAAGGTATGTCCACTACATTTCAGCAAGCGTATATGGCCTAATTATGTTGATAGGTTAAGAAAGAGGCAAAGGAGAAGCTCACCATCCAAGCCACTGGCGGTGCCGGCGGGGAAGGGCCTCGGACATATGTGCAAGGTATGTTGGAAGCTTCCAATCATGCCCTCTATTATCAGTGCTGACCTTTCGTGTAGTCCTCGCCAACTCGCTGGTAGCCACCGTCCTCTCTCTCCTCCACGCCTATACTTTATCCCGCGAACCAGAGGCCTGCTATGGATGGGGCCGGACGCTCCAGGACGTCATCCCCATTGGCATAATTGCAAACTACGCCGCTGTCGCAGCTGATACATTCTCCTCTGAGCTCGGGATACTGGCTACGCAGGATCCCCGCCTTATTACATCGCCGACTCTCCGACGGGTGCCCAGGGGAACAAACGGCGGGGTGACACTGTGGGGATTATTTGCCGGCTTCCTCGGCTCGTTGATCGTTGTTGTCAGCGCCCTTTTCTTTATTCCGTTTTGCCCTGCGCAACAAGGGCCCTTTGGCAATACACTGTCCAGCCTTGAAGGTGGCACGGGATGGGGCTGGGAGGAGAAGAAATATCTCGCAATGTACCTTACGATCTGGGGTGCGCTGGGTAGCGTTCTGGACAGTGTCCTTGGCGGACTCTTCCAACAGAGTGTCAAGGACACGCGGACGGGCCGCATAGTTGAGGGTGAGGGCGGCAAGAAGGTACTTGTCTCCAAGGCAGACCCAAAGAGCGTGCACTACAAAAAGACGGCAGATGTTAGAGCAGCCCTGTTTGGCCATGAGGGGAAGAAGAGCGTGCCTGCTCGGCCAAAAGTAGATGAGTCCCATCCGACGAGGGTAGCTGAGTCAGGGTGGGCTATTCTCGACAATAACGAAGTTAATTTCTTGATGGCGGTGAATATGAGTTTAGGCGCAATGCTTATTGCTGCTCGGTATTGGGATATTAAATAGGTACCGCGCTTAGAAATTATAATGATGTTGTCATTTTACAGTTCTAGTGCCGGTACTGTCTCAAGTATAAATCTATAGAAGTAATGTGGCAAAATATTTTCAATAATATTTTTTTAAATTTATAAGCTATGTAAAATAACTGCATTCAGGGGCTTCGGAAATTTCTACCCATTTAAAGTGGACAACTTTAATTAATTATTATCCCTCTATCTACATATTTGCCCTCTCAAACCCTCCTCTCTGTGCCATGGACGAACAGACATGTCGACGCTATGCTAAGTGATGCTGTTCTCTCCCAAAAAAACCCCAACTCCAGCCCTGGCTCTAACTCCCATATTCCAAGCCGCGAGGGTATAATATGCCTCCATCTGTGATGGTCTGCAAGCACGCGTGCATAGTCCCATTGTATTGTACAAACACCCGGTAGAACTGGCGAATAATAATCTTGAGATCCGGCATCACAGCCTGAATCCGCCGTAACGATGTGCTCCTGAACCCATCCCACGTATAGCCACCCGTACTCTCCAGTCAGATAACGACGCTGGGATATGCATGATGCGTGTTGATCAGGCGGATGGGTGGTACCAGCGCGGCGCGGGCCTCCGCAAATATATACTCCATGTAATCGTCCGCGGCGCGCTGAGTCTGCATCCCAGGTGGCTGAGCGACCTGTAGATACAGGCGCGAAAGGAGAGCGAGGGAAATTGTGTTAAACGCCCGGTGGCGCTGTGAAGCGTCTCCTCACTCACGACCCGCTCGCGAGACACGAATCAAGCAGCGAATTGAGGTCAGCGCGATCGTCGGAGCCAGCACCTTCCCAGCCCCAGCCGTTCAGTGCGTCCTCCGCGTCGGCGTCCGCCATCTCAAGATCTGCATCTGGGGCGGCTGCTCCAACCGCACCCACCTTCCCTTCTCCAATCCCCGTCCCACTCTGCCATCGCTCCACCTCTCCCTCCTGGAACCCATACCTAATCATCTCCATCACCACCGGCATCTGTCCCACACCACAATCGCCCATCTCCAACGCAACCCTCAAATCCGCCATTCCCAATGCGCCTCTCTCGCTCGCAGCCTTCGCCTCCACCGGCAAGAGCCCACTCTTATCCCTGACCACCTCCCCTCTCGCCCAGCGTTCCTCCTCGCGCTCCAACGCCCTCCGATACCGCCTTGTGCTCACCCAACCACCACCACCACTGCCCGGCCCATCGGCTCGCGTGCGTCCAAACACCGAGGCCAGGAACTGCTTAACGAATGTCTCGGCCGCGACGGCCATAAATGGGCTTGCGTCCGCGGCGTGGCCGCCCACGAGCCCGGCTTCGAAGCAGAGAGGGAGCATCCGAGCCTCAATGGTGGAGGCGTCGGGGAACTCGCCGGATTCGGCGGCGAGGGGAGGGGGGAAGCGTTTGCGGATTTCGAGAGACCAATTTGTTTTGCTAAGGGAGGTGGAAGGGGTCGTGGGTGCAGAGGGTGTCGGTAGTGGGTTTCGCGATTTGGAGAGGAGGGTCGTGTAGGGGTCGGGGCCGTCCGACTGAGTGACGTTAGAACTGTGATCGAGAGTAAGGGGGTTTTGGGGGGGAAGTTCATACTTCAAGTTTCAAATCCTTTAACCTCCGCCTGTCACGATTCGGGAGACTCATCACCTCGGCCTTAAGCCGCTGCTCGGCTGCGTCCCCTGTGATAGGCTTTGCGCCTGCGCCTGGCGTAGGTTTATCGTTCGCGCTGACCCAGGCTGCGACGCCAAGGTCTGGCATTTCACGCGTGACGTTGCCATAGATAGCGGCTACGAGCTGGTTGTGCAAATGCTCGCTGTCAGTGCCGGGGACGGTAAGGAACCAGTCAATCTTGGCTGAGAGCTCGGCTTGGTTGTATTGCCCTGGGGTTAGTGTTAGATCTTGTCTGGTTGTAATTATGCCGGGGACATATGGGCGACTTACCCATCACGAAGAGGCTGACAGCCTCTTTGTATGTGGCCCAATTCTCGCCCACGGCCGCTTTGAGCGCGGTGTACAACGGCTCAAGATCGATGCGCGGGGGCACATGGTTTGACTTTGAGATTTTTGGCGCGGAGGGAGGCACAATGCTTAGGCTCTTCGGAGGAAGAATTGGGGTGGAGGATGTGAGCGACGGCCTGCTCAGGGCCGCAGGATCGATGTCGGGCATGGCTGGGTGGTGAGGCGCCTGGGGGCGCGCCCGGCGCGAGAAGCGCGTGTGTGGCCTGGAGCTGGGGGATTGGTGCGGTTATGGGCGCATTAGACAGGTCGAGGCTGGGGCTATCCAGCGAGGGTATTTAGAAGAGCTAATGGGTTGTTGTGTGGTCGTGGGTGATGGGATTGTTTCTTGCGGTGTTGGTAGAGTACCAGGGTGAGGCTCTGGGTGGAGGCCGTCTGATGTGAACCTGCGATGTCAGGCGCCAAAACGCCGTTCGCGTTGTCCGTCGCGTCTAACCTCGCTTGGTGCGGGACCATTTGAAGTGACAGGACTAACAGACATCACAACGGAGAGCATTCCGGAAAGTTCTCAGAACAACATTGAAAGAATTTACTTATTGTGAATATCAATTTGTCACTGCATACATTCTGAGCGACGTACAGTCTAATATTTTTGTTGCCTGGGGAAATGCGAGGATGGCTCAGGAGGAGCGGGAAGCTCGCGTCCGCAGTGCGCTCTCTGGCCTAGTTCAGCAATTCATTCGGCGCCTACCCGGAGAAGACGACGATACTTTTGATGAGAGGCAAGAGAATGCATATGAGCTCGGTTCCAGCATCCTCGAAAGCCGTACCGCGCCTGCCGTGGTCGCAGATTGTGAGCCGCCCGCGTCGTTGCTTATCTGAAACTCCACTAATGTGCTATAGTAAACCATGCGGGGGATCTAATAAAAAAGAAGCTGATTAAGAATAATCCTCCGGACAAGGCGCTGAAGTTTTCGAATTTATACTCTCGACTGCTCATCCAGCCTGTGCTGAACCAGAAATGGGCGATCCTATACCTGCTTTACCAGCTGGCGGACTCCGACGAGCCAGAGCCGCCACTATCGGACCAATCCAGGCAGCTAAGCAGCGCATTAAGGGAGGATCGAAGACTGCTTGAGGGCGTGCGGGCAGGATCGTCGTTACGCAATGGCCCACGGAGAGAAGAGAAGGTGTACGATGAGGCGTTTGCGCCCCAGGGAGTACGCAACCTCCCCGTACGAGATGGGAACCAGCGAGGCCCAAGGGAAGCAGAAGCAGCCGCCACAAAAAATATACCAGATCAGGGCAAGCCACACCCCCCAAAGACCTTGATGCTGGCGGACAACTATGTTGAGATTAGCCCGTCGGAGACAACTCTGTTACGAGACCTCCCGTTCACACTGCAAGGGCTCACGTCAACGACTCTGGCGTTCCCCTCGACGTCAGTTCTCAAATTACCCAATTCGCTCCCGCCGCCTATAATATCTATACTACACACTCTTGCAGAACCGTCGCTGCTATATAGGGGCCTGACGGAATTCGTCGCGTCCACCGAGTGCGGGCTCCTTGGCCAAAGTCTGCGCGCAGCAGTCGCGGGAGAATTACGGTCTTATCTGGGGCTAGTGGCGACGTTAGAGGGGCAAATAAGACGAGCTTTATCGTCTCTAGACGAAAATGAGCCTAGAGGTGGAATCGGTAAAGCCGGAGTCACGTTAAAGAGATGCGTGGTCTGGACGCGTGAAGCAACCATGGGACTACGGCTTCTCAGTCTCATCGCGGAGGAGTCAAGGAACCGACGAGGTGGGCAACTGATATCGCTCATCCATGGATTCTCTTCCTCTCACGGAGACCCTTTGGTTGGGGCGTTTGCTGAGAGGCTCCTAACGCATGTGACGCGACCATTTTACGATATGTTACGACAATGGATTTACGACGGCGAATTATCGGACCCGTACCATGAATTCTTCGTCTCGGAGCAAGATCCAAACGTCGTTAACACCGCAGAGGATGGGCGAAGTCGAGGCGGCGCAAGCAGTGTCTGGGAAGATAAATATAAGCTCGATGATGATATGATACCGAGCATCATTACGGAAGACTTTGCGCAAAAAGTCTTCCTGATTGGGAAATCGCTTAATTTCATCCGGCATGGCTGTGGCGACTCTTTATGGGTCGAGGAATACTCAAAAGCCGCTTCGAAAGAGCTTCGATATGGCGATACGGAGACACTGGAGACCTGGATCGACGAGGCATATAAGACAACAATGGCTAGGTTGATTCACCTTATGGCGGACAAATTCCAATTGTTTGAGCATCTCAAGGCACTGAAAAACTACATCCTTCTCGGCCAAGGCGATTTCATAGCCCTGCTGATGGAATCATTATCGGCCAATCTGGATAGACCTGCCGGCGCCCAATACCGTCATACTCTGACAGCACAGCTTGAGCACGCAATCAGGGGCTCCAATGCGCAGTATGACTCGCCAGAGGTTCTGAGGAGACTGGACGCGAGAATGCTTCAGCTGTCGCATGGAGACATTGGCTGGGACTGTTTCACACTCGAGTACAAGATCGATGCTCCAGTCGACGTAGTCGTGACAGAATGGGGCAACCGCCAATACCTCAAAGTCTTTAACTTCCTCTGGCGCATCAAGCGCGTCGAATTCGTCCTCTCCACCACATGGCGCAAATGCATGACCGGCGCTCGCGGCGTCCTCCAAGGCGTCGACACCAGCGTCGGCGAAACCTGGAAGTCCACCCGCGGCGTCGTCGCAGAAATGATCCACTTCATCGGACAACTCCAATACTACATCCTCTTCGAAGTTATCGAGTCCTCATGGGACGAGCTACAGACAGCTATCCACAAAGAAGGCTGCACACTTGACGACATCATTCGCTCACACACAGATTACCTCAACGCGATCACGCACAAAGGCCTCCTCGGCGCCAAAAAGCGCGGTCACTCTGACGACGCTCCGAGTACGTTCATGATGCAGCTCGGTGACCTGTTGCGCATTATGCTCGCCTACCGCGACGCTGTGGACGGGCTGTATAGCTGGAACGTAGCTGAGTTCACGCGTCGCCAGGAAGCGTCCATTCGCGTGAACTCGCGCATGGACATGTCCGACGACGAGGTCCTACCCACCCCCGCCACAACACGGCGCGGGCCCAAACACCTCGCCCACGACAGTCTGAGCAGCACGCCTGTACCCGGCGCGATTCCGGGACTTCACAGTGCGGGCGGCGAGGACGAGTTGTTGCCCACGCTACAGGAGCGGTTGAAGGCGCTGGGAGGGCAGTTTAGAGCGAAGCTGAGTGCGTTGTTGGGGGATCTGGCGTATCAGCCTGATGTGGATATGCGGTTCCTGGGGGTTGTGATGAATTTCAATGATTTCTATCAGCCTGTGCGGAGGAGGATGGGGACGAAGGTGCCGTCGAAGGAGAAGGCGAGGTGAATGGAGTAGGGGTGGGGCTCGAATAAGGTTCTTGTAAACCAGGATGGTTTTACTGGGAGCAGGCAGCTTGGCCGAGGTTTGGGATTCGGGATGGGAGGATTGTTGATAAAGAGGTGGGCGGGCGTTGGAGGTTACTGTAAGAAAATACGATACCCACGACACAAATCGGGCGTTAGATATTCCACTAGATGCAAAGAATATCAGAAACGATCAATACAAAAACACGAACTAGCTTCCCAATGCTACGCTTCATATACCCCTATTCGCCCTACTCATTTACACCAAAGCCCCATTTTCACCTGCCTATCTACGCTAACCCCTCAACCTTCCACAACTTCACCGCCGCATCCCCGCCCACACTAGCAACCTTCCCCTCCCCAGCCCACACCACCCCATTCACACCATCCTTATGCGCATTCGCCGCCTTAACCCTCTTCCCAGGCTGCCCCAAACTCCAAACATGTACATTCGTATCCAGCCCCCCACTAACGGCATGCGTCCCCGCCGCATTCCACGCGATACTCTGAATACGCGCCGTGTGCGCCGACCAGCGATCCGTAGCCACCTCCCATGTCGCCGTATCGTAGACAACAATCTTGCCCGACGAGTTACCCGCAGCGAGAAGCGCGCCGGAGGGGGAGAAGGAGAGCGCTGTTACCTTCGCTGTTGATTTCGAGAGGACGGTGGAGGGGGTCAGGGTGCCGGAGCTGGAGACAGTGAAGATGTGGAAGCTGTTCGCATCGTCGCTTACGGCGAGGAGGTCCTTGGATGCCGCGATGGCGGTGGGTGTGAAATCCTTGGTCGCGTGCTGGTGGACAAGCTTGTCCTTGGAAAAGACGTCGACGCCGGTCGTGGTGGCGATGTAGAGGATGCCGGAGGCGGAGGCGATGCCGTTTGGCTGGGCATCGAGCTTTGTGCTTTCGCCGACAAAGGTCTGCGTCGGCTCGTCTACAATGCGGAGGTTGTCGTCCCATCCAATGGTGTAGGTTCGGTCGGGTGTGTTCGTGAAGCCGGTTACTTGGTTGGTGTGTGTTTGGCCGCGGACTGCGAGACCTTTGCCGGAGGCGATATCCCATGTGCATACACGGCCTTCGAAGCTGCCTGTCCAAAGTGTCTTGTCGCTAACACCGATGGCTGTGATGCTGCGGTTGTGACCTTGCACAACCTTGAGCGGCTTGTCGGAGCCTTCGGTGAGGTAGCTAAGGTCACCGTTTAGGTTAATGCTGATGATTAAACCATCACTTCGTCCAGCTGGCCAGACAACACCGACTTGATGGTCTGGGATGCTAACGTTGCCTTCTCCACCAAAGCGCCACGTCTGCACATTCTTTCCTGACTCTGCGTCCCAGACTTTGACGGTTTGATCCGCGCTGCAGGTAACAAATCGCTTTGAGTCCTTGGACCACGACACACCGAAGATAGAACCCTTGTGCTCGCCCTCGCCAATCTGCTTTGTGGCCTCTCCTGTCTTGCCATCGTAAAGTTGTATTCTCCTATCGGCACCGACAGAGACTAGAGTGCTTCCATCGGGCGAGAATGCAACGCCATAGACATACCCCTTGTGCAGCGCTCCGACCTTGGAATTGAATTTGAACGGGGCTCCGTGCAAGAAAACCATGCTCATATCGTCACTCGCAGTAGCCGCTCGCAGAGGTCGTTGCTGCCTGATCGAAACACTGTTAATGATAGACGAATGCCCGCTGATTTCTCCCACGGAGTTTCCGCTATCAGCCGTAATGCAGTGTCCAAAGCGCTCGCGGCCATCTCCAACAGCTATTATGCGCTGCGAGTCGCCGTCCCACGCAATGTCGTTGATGCGCCCAGATATAATCGGGTATTCGCCCTTGGTATTGACCGCCTCCACCGCATCCCATACACGCACCAAACCCGAGGCATCACCACTGGCAACGTAGTATCCGCTGGGCGAGAAGCGCGCAACGGTCGTCTGGACGGTATGGCTGGTGTACTGCTTGCTGACTTCGGGGTTGTCGATGCTCCTCAGGAAGATTGATTTCCCAGACTAGTAGACATCAGATACGGGCGATTGTAGGAATTCTATGGGGGTGGTGAAACTAACGGCATAAGCTATGCGCTCGCCTTTTGGACAGGCAGACAGCTGTGTGGGCTGGCCGCGCGTTGTAGCTGGCGACGCAGCTAGGACGGACTCGATGGTAATAGACATGGCTGGTAGTAATCGCAACGCTGCAGATAATAGAATCCAAGAATGAGCACAAAAGTGAAAATGAAAATAGGGGTTTAGGCGCCAGAAAAAGGGGAGCTCTGAAACTGATGCTGTTGATGTCGCGAGCTTAACTTATTTGTTGATGATGACGAGGACCCTGGTGGGAGTGGTCCCCTCTTCCCCTCTTCCCGCCGCAAAAGCGACGCGGGAAAGAACTCTCGACTTTAAACCCTTCCACGGCACGCCAGAGCGAATAGCAAAAAGATAAAAAGATAAAAAGATAAAAAGATAAAAACCAAAATATATCAAAATAGCAAAATGAAAAAATGATTTGAAGTTGCTCACAGTGAGGTTCGAACTCACGCATCTTTCGATAATGGTGTTTCAGAAGAATTTCTTAAAACCATCGCCTTAGACCACTCGGCCATATGAGCTATGTGATAGGGAAGAGCTCGCTAACCACGTCTAACACCCCCAAGGAAGGAAGGTTCGATCGGGTGTGGGTACGTATCTTATCTTATCCGACTGCATTTTGACCCCGCTGTTATTGTTGATAGAGCATCAACTAACTATCTCTCACTCACTCACTCACTACAGTATCAATATTCAAGATATACCCTTTAATTATACTCGCAACTGGTAGGAATCATATACACTTCCCTGTCCCAATATTCACGTTCCTTTACTCACGCGTCTCCCAGTCTCCCAGCATAAACCCCACCCATCAACCCCTAACCTACCCCACGCACCATTATCATGTCCGCTCCAAACCTCACTCCCACCCAAATCGAAGCCTTCCACCGCGATGGCTACCTCATCATCCCCAACGCCCTCGACTCCCAAACCGTAGCCGCTCTCCTCGCTGAGACGCACAGCCTCCTCGAGAACTTCTCCATTGAGGATCACCCCATGACCCGCTTCTCGACCGGAGAGGGTGAGGGCGTGGAGCACGTGGGCGACGACTATTTCCTGGAGAGCGGGGATAAGATCCGTTTCTTCTTCGAAGAGGGTGAGTTCTCATTGTCCAATCCCCCCCCGCATTACCCAGGCATACTTTCCCCCACTTTCTCCCCTTTTTATCCCACCAACCCGCCATCCAAACAACCCCTCTAACCTCACCAGACGCCTTCTCCCCCACCGGCACCCTCCAATACCCCAAACACCGCGCAATCAACAAAATCGGTCACTCCCTGCACACCCTCTCCCCCCCCTTCGTCTCCCTCCTCACCCACCCCACCACCCCCCCCTCCACCATCGCGCGCTCCCTCGGCCTCTCATCCCCGCAAGTCCTCCAATCAATGGTGATCTGCAAACAACCCGAGATCGGTGCCGCGGTGCCACCACACCAGGATAGCACGTTCCTTTATACGTCGCCGCCGTCGGCGCTCGGGTTTTGGTATGCGCTTGAGGATGCGACGAGGGAGAATGGGTGTCTTTCGTTTTTACCCGGCAGTCATAAGTGGGCGCCTGTTGGAAAGAGATTTGTGAGGAAGGGGGATGGGAGTGGGACGGAGTTTGTTGAGAATGAGGGACCGAAATTCCCCGCTGGCCGGGGGGGGGCGAAGGAGGGCGAAGAGGAGGAGTATGTTATGGGTGAAGTGAAGGCGGGGTCGCTGGTGCTGATTCATGGGAATTTATTGCATAAGAGTGAGAGGAATACGAGTGGGAAGGGGAGGATTATATATACTTTCCATGCTATTGAGGGGGATGCGGTGTATGATGAGAGGAATTGGTTGCAGCCTCCTGCTTGGGGGTTTACGAAGATTTAGGTGCGGAGTATATGGATGGCATGGTGGTGTACATAGAAGGGAGATCTGCGAAGCAGAAGCACGAATTTAAGCTGGGTTATAATAAGTGTACAGACGAATCGTTATGTTGAATTCCAGAGCCCACTCTATCTTGGTATCGGACAACAAATAATCATTACACATGCAACACCCACCCTCCACTCCCTCCCTCCATCCCCATATCCCTCTCTCCCCCACGTTATCAACAAAAATAAAACGAAAAAAGAACCGCTCAAGATCGTTATGTATATACAATACAACAAAATACACAATATAAACACACACAACCCACCCCCATCATCGAACTCGTGCCAACTTATACTCCCCTAAACATCCTCACAACGAGGAACCACATCGCGCCCAAGAATCGGAACGCCGACAGCCCCGCCACCGACCACAGCACAACAGCCATATACGTATTCGCCTTCGAGTTATCCGCCGTCGCTCCATCAAGCGTCAAATTACTCCCCCCCCCCGTACTCAACACCACCGCCACCAAGGCAATATTACAACCCATCCAGATCAGCACGACAGACGAACGGAAGCCCTTATAATAATCCTCCTGCTTCTCGCTCGCGGAGAACACGCGCTTCTCCGGCGGGACCTTGGAGGCAAACACGTTGACCTCGCTGAGGTACTGCTGGTTGAGGTCTGCGTCGTCGGTGGGGATAGTGACGTCGACCTTTCCATCCGCTTTGACCTTTGCAGAGGGCAGCTTCTCGGCTTTGTCGTCGCCCTTGGTGCCCCAGGTGATGTCGTGGGTGTTGCAGAAGGCGTAGACGTTGAGGATGTTGATGTAGGTGGGGGTGAGGGCGAGGTATTGGAGGAAGGAGGTGAACATGTGCCAGGGGTCGAAGAAGAGGAAGGAGACGACGAACCAGAGGATGTAGGTTGAGACGAGGGAGACGATGAGGGTGAAGAAGATTTGGTTCTTGAAGAGCTCGCTGACGGAGAAGGTGGTGTTTAGGGCGAGTTCGTGCTGGATCGATTTTACGGTTATGAAGACGGAGGCGAACATGAGGTATCTGGGTAGGGGGTTAGTTGGTGTGTGGATGAGAGAGGGGGAGACTGCTTACGCCATGATGAAGACCCAGAAAATAACCATAGTCATGTAGAAGGTGCCCGAACCCTGCGGCCGATTACCCAAAGCGAGCACGAAACAGGTTAGCAGAGTAGCAGCATAGAGCCACTGAAAGACGTCGGCCAGAATTCTGCCCACATTGCCCAATAGATTTTGGGAACCAAGAGATGTAGTCAAGATGCGGAAAACCAAGTAGAAATTTCCAATGGCGAACCAAGCGAAGATCATGTTGATGGTCTGGTAGAAGAACTCGATCAAAAATGCGATCTGCCTAAAGAAGCTGTGGTCGCTCCGGAACAGCTGGTAGAAATGCGTGATGGCGTAGATGGCCGCGAAGAAGGAACCGTTAAGCCATCTACGTCTTTGCAGAATCAACTCGGCCATAGTATCTGGCACATCAGTCTCGCCGGTAGCAGACTTGACGTATTGCAGAACCCAATGGCACTTCCTCTTCGAGACCAGCTCGAAACACAGAATACGATCCTCGGCAAGGTACATATTGGCCGTGAAAATACCAGCGTTGGCACCGTGCATCTTCTCTCCGGCGAAGTACTTCTCTAGTGGTCCTTGGCCGAGCTTGTCGTTTTGCAGCGCAACATATCTGTATGCAGAGAAGGCACCAGGGAGCACGGAAATGAAACCAAACGCCGATTCCAAAGGCTTATCCAGAATGTTGCTCATCTTGTACTCGAAATTTTGAGTTGCAACCAGTGGGTTCATGAGGTTCTTGCCTCCAGGTCCCAACATAGCCTTAATCTCACCACAAGCTCCCGCACAATTTGGCTCAAGATCGAAGGCCTTCCACAGCTGGTAGATGGAGTCCTTACCAGGTCTAGTACCCGCATCGATAAGAACACAAATGTTGGGGTCCAAAACTCTTCCGAATGCCTGGAAGAACCATCTGTGGGAGTTGATCTTCTTCTGATTCTTCTCCTTCAGACAGAAAAGTATCTGGACTGGCTGTTGCTTGTGTCTCAGCGTCACAACATCTCCCTTGACTGAGATACCGGTCTGTGTGGTATACTCGTAAATATGCGCCGTGACATCCTTCCCATTGACTTGCTGCTTTGCGATTCCATCCTGGTATATTCCCATTCCGGAGAGCACGGCCTTCGTTCTCGGGTTGATTTTCGAACGACCATCGCTGACAATGCAGACGACAATCTTCTTCCACGCATCAGGGCCCCATGTCTTGCTATCTTTGCGCGAGCACATATATTCAATGTTCTTGAACACACCGCTCATGGTTCGTCCGAAAAGCACATCATCTTCGTTGTACATGGTAACCACAATGAAGAGTTCCGTGTGTCTAGGCTTTGCGAAGAGCTTCTGGCGCAGAGTGAATCTGTCCTCGAAGAATTCTGCGGGGTCACAGGTCGCTGCGGTATAACGCATATGGGTGAACTCATCACGCTCGGGTGGGGGCGCATGGGGCACCTTGTTCAGGAGAATCGGTGGAATCGGGCAATCAAGGACGAGATTTCCCTCGAAGAGCTGGACTTCCTTCACGGTCTTCCATCGCTTGATTGGCTGTGGTGGGGGTTGTGGACTATGGTTACCATCGTATCCAGGAGCGGCATGGGGGTCTTGCCCGTAGGGTTCACTCCCCCCTCCTCCGAGGATCGGTCTGTTGTCATCCTGCTCGTTGAAGTAGCCATCGTCATGGGGATAGTCGGCGAGAGCGTGGCCATCATGCGGGGAAGGCTCGTATGGTTGTTGATAGTACGCATCATGGTGATCTTCTGGGTTGAGAGCATAGTCATGTTGATAATTTCTGTCCTCTAAAGGATGGCGCTGGTCATAATGCTCGTTGTGTCCGAATGAGTTGTCAATGTTTTCAACGGAGTACTGCGACAGAGTGTTATTAAGACCGTTCTCCAACGCTTTGTTCAGACAACTTACTGTTGGTTGCGATGCAAGCCTGTCACTTGGTGTCCGTCTTCCACCAGGTCCAGGACCCATTGGGATATCTAGCCTCCCCGGTCCCGGTGACTGCTGTCTTCCATATGGATCATCGTCGTGGTGATAGCCTTGGTTGGGACCCGGCGAGTTCATGCGATTATTTCGAGGATCCATTTCGTAATTGTCGTTGCGGCCCTGGCCTTGCGGACCTATTCCTCGAAGTATTAGAGATTATGTCTTCCACTATCTGTCAAAGTCGAGCAATTTGTGAAATTCCAATTGATCGCAAGAGTAAGCACAAGCCGAAGTTGTTGCAAGAAGGACTGTCTGTCACAAGAGACTCGGCCGAGCGCGTCTCAAGTCCAAGTCGGCTTTGTTTGCCTCTCCTCGTACAACTTCAAAGGGCTTCGTAAAATTCGTGTATGGGCAATGAAAAGAAGGGATGAAGCTTCAGGAAATATGAGACGTACCTAAACGATTATACGCCATGGGTAAAGAGTGTCAGCTTCTGTACAGTGCAGTTGAGCACGTCGCAAGTCGTAGTATTCCACGGCTTGGCTTGCTTGGGCTCGTGAAGGAGCAGCAGCGCGCAGTGTGTTGATTGTCCAGTGGTGCCCCTGCTAATCTTCCTTCCTCCAGTATCACGGGGTGAAGATCGTCCCTGGGGAATATGAAGATCGTCCCTGGGGAATATGAAGCCTGTGAGGAGGAGCAGGAGGTTTAAGAGCGCTCAAACGGGCGGTAGGCGCAATTTGGAGGTTTCAGGTTGATCTTATGGAGCAAGTGTCAAGTACTATAAAAGTCGCGGCGTTTCAGACCTTTGGGGTAGTCAACGAGCGCGATTCAGGGATGTACAGTAATATGTACTCCGTACAATTAAGTTAACTTAACTTATGTGTTTTTCAGCTTTGAAGAAAGTTCAAGATAAAGAGAGTGAGGGAGATGACAAGGCTGTTGCTATGGTACTCAGCCACACAACTCCAACCAACTAAAGTGCTAAACGTTGCTAACAGACAATGGTTCAGCCACTGAGAGGCTCGAGGTCGTCTGTCTATAACATAACTTGCCCCTATGTGGTTTTATATGAGCCATCCCCACCATATATGGCCATACGTCAGGAGCGTGCACACCGATCTACTGACGGCCACTAGGCTCGATGATACGAGCACGGTGAAATAACCCAAATGTTATACTCTATGTCGTGGGATAGCCTCAATTATCCTCAGGAATCCTGTTCGGCTCTCAGTCCACAGCAAATATCCGAAAGGACCAAAGTCCCCATACGGCATAAGAAACACCTCTCCAAAACCTACCCAGCCCCCAAGTGCACTGTTCATGGACGTTCGTGTGCTTACTTACTTCTATTGCCCTCAAATTAAAAAACTTAACCCAGCCTCACCGAGCATCCTCGGATCGATTGTGGGGTATCTTGGTCTTCTCGGCGAACTCGGTTCATTTTCCACACCTGCCCCCGCGGCAAGTCACATGACACCCTCCTCAAAACCAACCCCGCGTTATCACATCTCCCTCCCCCTCTCTCCCTTCAAATCCCTATACTATAACCTCAATCTCACTCCTAATCACCTCATCCACAACCGCCCACCATGTCATCAACCACCAACCCCCTCTCCAGCACCTCTCTCCCCAGCCCCTCCTCTCCCCCCCCGCCAAAATCCTACAACATCGCCGGCATAACCGTCTCCATCCTCGGCCTCTCCTCCCTCCCCCCACCTGCACCTCCCTCACAGTCCTCTACCTCCTCCACCCCCGCCTCCAATCCGCCTCCACCATGCTCCCAATCGGCTCCCACATCCTCACCTCCTGGTCCGCCCACCAATCCACCCTCCCCCCCTCCCACCCTGCAAAATCCGCCGGTCTCCTAACCCTAACCTTCGACCAACGCAACCACGGCGCGCGGCTTGTGGACTCCGTCGGCAACGACTCGTGGCGCGATGGAAACCCAAGGCACGCGCAGGATATGTTTGGCGTCTACAATGGGACGGCAGTGGATGTGTCGTTGCTGATTGATCATGTGGGGAGTTATATCGCGGAGGAGTTTCCGGGGGTGATGCCGGGGATTGAGCGGAATTTGGTGTTGGGGGTTAGTTTGGGGGGGCATGCGGCGTGGCAGGTGTTGTTTGCGGAGCCGAGGGTTGAGGCGGGGGTGGTGGTTATTGGTTGTCCGGATTATATACGTCGGTTCCCCTATTCCCCCTCTTGCCTCCTATTTCCCGTCTTGTCAGGGGATCAGTGATGTTCTGTTAGACAAGAAAACTAACACCCCCCCAGGCGTTATGAGCGACCGCGCACGCCTCTCCAAGCGCACAACCTACACCCAAGACGCCGGGTCCACCTTCCTCGGCAGCCGCGACTTCCCCTCCTCCCTCCTCACCGCGATCCAAAAATGGGATCCCCGCGGCATCCTCTTCGGCGCTCGGGAAATTCCCTCCCGACCCCCCACGCGGGATTCACCACGCGAAGAGGCGCGGTTGAAAGACATCCTGGAATCCAGGGTGAAGGGGAAATCGGTGCTAGTGTGTAGTGGCGGGGCGGATAAATTGGTGCCGTATAAGGCGTCGGAACCGTTTTTGGGGTGGTTGAAGGAGGCGGTCGGGAGGGGGGGTGGTGGGAGGGGGGGATGGGGGTTAGGGATGTGGTGTATGAGGGGGCGGGACATGAGTTTACGGAGGCGATGGTTGGGGATGCTGTGGGGTTTGTGGTGGGGTTGATGGAGGGGGGGAAGGGGGGGGAGGGGAGTGAGAAGGGGTCGAAGATTTGAGGTGTGGTAAAACTGGCTGTCACGAAAGGGTCGAAGAGGAAGAGAGTATAGGTTTGCTAGAATGGCTCTGAACAAAGGGGACTTACAATCAGAATTTTGAAACCAGTAATGGCTATAGCAAAATACCAATCAACCCTCAGAATCAGTTCAGGGTATCCGCTTTTATACATCTATCTCTCTCTATCTATGATCTACTCGGCCCCCTGCGGCGGCACAAACGGCTTAACCAACATCTCCGAGAACTTCTCCAACTTCTCCTTCCCCCTCACCTCCTCCACCAACAGCGGCATCTTCACCACATTAAATTCATCATACAGCTCCTCAATCTGCTCCAAATACTTGCGCTGCATCTTCCTCCTCGAATTGCACTGCTCGCACTCACTCCCCTTCTTCGGAAACAGCAGCTGGTTCACCACAATACAATGCGTATCGATGCTATATCCCGCCAACTCCTGAATCATGCGCTCCGTCTCATACAACGACAGGAATTCCGGGATGCAGACGCACACAAAGGTCGTCAAATCGGGGTCCTTGAATTGCGTGTTCACCTCCGCGATCGTCTCGCGCAGCGACTCTAGCTTCTCCATCATCTCAGGCAGGTTGGTGTCGTTGGGGAGTTGGCCGCCCATGATGCCATTGAGCATGGGGCCGAATTGTGTAGAGAGTTGTGAGATCTTGGTGAGGGCTTTCTCGAGGACGGAGGGGAACTGGAGGAAGCGCAGGGTATGGCCTGTGGGGGCGGTGTCGAAGATGATGGTTTCGTAGGAGAGGGACTTGACTTGCTTGAGGACTTCGGCGAAGGACATGGCTTCGTCAATTCCGGGAATCTGGGTCTGTCAGTTTCATTCCGCCATCGGAGAGGGGCCATCTCTGGGGTATACGTACAGCGAAAGCCAAGTCCTGCATCATACCCCCCATCCCCGCAGCAGCTTCATTCCCATCATCCGCCTGCCCAGCAAGCAACTCCTGAATACTGCCATTAGGATCAATCTCCATCGCGCTCAAGTTCGTAAACCCCTCAATGAGCCGCGCCTCCTTGCCGAACTTCTGGGAAAAGGCATCGGACAGGTTGTGTGCGGGGTCGGTGGAGATGAGGAGGACGGAGCGGCGCACGCGCGCGAGCTGGATGGCGAGGGAGCACGAGGTCGTGGTCTTGCCGACGCCGCCCTTGCCGCCGACGAAGATCCAGCGCAGAGAGCGCTGGTCGAGGATCGATTGCAGCGTGGGCTCGAGGACGTCGGAGTCCGCGTCGATTATGGCGTGGGACATCGTGCGGTGGGGTTGCGCTGCTTGGAGCAGCGGGTGGGAGATGCGGGCGTTGTTTTAGAGAGAGAGGTGGGGAGGCAAGAGGTGAGGTGGTTTAGAGGAGGGAGGGTTTGGTTATAGTAGAGATGGGGAGTTGGAGGTTGTATTGCGGATATGGTTTCCTCCTCAACGCCCAGAGCTTCTTTGGAGTTCTTGGAGTTGCGGCCGCTAGCGGCCGCACCACAATCGCCAGCCATGAACGACATGGAGTATCTCAAAACTGGTATGAGGGAGAGTCACCTAACATATCCTCATGATAAGTTGGACATTGCCAATAGAATCATGATATGCATAGTATTTGCATGATACAATTTTCTACAGGCACAAGTCATATATTTTAGTTCTAAGCTAGGTGGTGAGTATATACCCTACCCTGGTCGTAACTGAGCGCGGCGACTTCCGACAATGCGGGGTCGTGTCGAGCCAGCTCTTGACACCAAACATCGGCAACAAAAAGGAGGCCATACCCGCACGACATTTCGAGTGCAGCTATCTCACTTCTTGTGTGCTTGTAGCAATTTGACCTACCTTCAATCTACCTCGAAGTCCTCTGCCGAGCTCAGCAAGTGATTGCAAACACTTCAAAGCGATCCGGCTTCTCTTACCCCACAAACCGCGACCCCCGCGACCCCCGCGACCCCCGCGACCCCGCGACCCCGCGACCCCCGTGACCCCCGCCAACCTCGGCCTCACTGAAGATCCCACTCACAATGGCCACCTCCAAAGCCCCAATCTCCTGCCACGTCCTCGACACCGTGATCGGCCGCCCCGGCGCCTCTATAAAAGTGACGCTATCCTGTCTCTCAGCGCCCAACAAGCAATTCGGATCCATTCCCCACACCTTCACCGGGGTCACCAACTCCGACGGCCGCATCGCGGAGTGGGAGAACAAGTTCGGCGTCGAGGTCTGGTCGGTCGTCAATGAGGGCAGCGATGAGGATGACAAGAATGGCACGACGGTGTGGAGTCTGAAGTTTGATACTGAGGGGTATTATGGCGAGGGGAAGACGTTTTGGCCGTATGTTGAGTTGACGTTTAGGGTCCAGAAGGGGGAGCACTATCATGTGCCACTGTTGCTGGGGCCGTATAACTATACCACTTACCGCGGAAGCTAGAGGCTATGGCGGTTCAGCTATATGGGCCTCAATGGCGAGGAGCGTTGCAAGGAGATTCCTGTTCTTGAACCAACGGTTGAAGCACTAGTGGAGGAAGAACGTATGAGTGAGAGAATGAAAAAAAGTCCCATAAGAAGAGAAATATATTTGATTGATGACACAGCCTTGCCTGGAAATTTCCTGTCTCATCTGGCAATGGGCCATGAGAGCAGAGATGCCGATTGGCGTCAACTGTCAAGGTTGAGGCCAGAAGATTTGAAGGGAAAGATTCCGAATTGATTTATCAAATACCTCTTTACCTCTTCGCAATATGACACCCGATAATATATGAAAAACAGGAGTGAGATAAGTCATAAATGAAGGTGGAGGTGGAAAGTGAACGCCGGCCTGGGAGGTTGGTTTTGTGAAACCTCGTCGTCGAGCCAACAAGGTGGGGAAAGCCCAGAGAACTTCTTCTTCGAACACCATTGTAAACAACTTCCGCAAATCCAACTCATCCCAAACCGAACGAATTCACAGTATTCCAGTATTCCTATCCAAATAGTGTTATCCCCATCGTCGAGTTATCTGGGAACACAGCGTCGGTGCACCATTCCGCTCGTTTCAGTTCCCAGCCTCGCCGCCAAATTGCGTGAGCCAAGAAACCACTTTACGCGTCGCGAACACGCTTATTCTAAAACGCGACTTCTCAGACTTTCTTCCCTCCGACACACCCCGCCATATATCCACGCAGGTGCATCCTCGGTCTTCACCTGCCATAACTCATACAATTACGATACGATATCAGCATTGTTCCTGCAGCAATAAGCATATCCAATATGTCATCCATAAAACGAAGGAAGGTGGACCCCACCACCGCGGCGCGCGCTTCTGTCAGGGGAATCGCGGCCTTCACGAAGGTTTCGAAGGCACAGGTTATTTCGCAACCGTTATACGATAAAACTCTGGCAGCGACGACTAATATCGATACGGCCGATACGTTTGGGAAGAGGAAGTTGCAACCGGCGAAGGAGGAACAGGTTGATCAAGTCGAGGAAGCTTCAGTACCGGTTATAACTATAACCAATACTGCCGATCGACAAATACGCCCTCTACCACAACGACGTTCAGTCTCCGCGCAAAGCTTGCTGAAAACACCACAACGACCAATTGTCCCCCCCGCATCTCCTATCAGTACACCCGGCTCCGTCGAGACTCCCACCAATGGCGCGCAGGACCTCCTTAACAGGATATGCCTCAACTCCCCCTCTTCCTCGACACCATCCTCATCCTTCAACGATTCAGAAGTCAACCTCGACTCCTCCCAGACGACAATCTCTTCACAATACGACCCATCTTCTGACGAGTTACCACAAAAACTCATCGATCTCTCAAACCTACATTCTTCCTTCCTCACCGCACTATCTATACACTATGCCCACAACGGCACCCACACCCCCGCCGATCTCCGCCTCCTCTGCCCCAACGTCACCCGCGCCTGGGGCAAGCGCCGCGTAGTCCTCGATGATATCAAGCGTATCCTCGCCATCCTGAACCTCGACTCTGCGAGCGGTAGCACACTTCTAAGCCTCTCCGACTACGGGCAAAACAAAATCTGCGTCGAAACCCGCGTCCCCGACCGCGCCGGCCGCATCGCCAAACCCCTCGACGAAAACACCATGAACGCGACCTTCACAACCAACATCACCTCTCTCTGGCAGAAATCGACGCCTCAAGAAATCGACGCCTTCATCTCCACCCTCCCCGTCGAACCCGTCCGAATCTGCTCTTCCCTCGCCAAAATGTCGCCTTTACTCGCAAAGGGCCAGCGCCGCCTCAAATTCATCCGCGAGGGCATCGCCATCGGGAAGGCTATTGAGGCTACTAAGACCACTGATGTGAAGCCCGTGGATGCTTCGGGGAATAGACCCACCCTCCTCGAGCGTCTCCGCGCCAAGGCACTCGCAAAGGCAAATGCCCCAGCTTGTCCAACCAAAGAAGACCTAGCCAGGAAATCCGCGCTTGGCCGAATGGAAGAAGTCGTCGCGACCCTGACGCAGTTGAGCACGAGCAGTAGCGCGGGACAGAGCAGGGTAAGCTTCACGATGCCAACAGTGGTGGTTAGTTTGAAAGACAGCTTTCGGTCGCCGATTAGTGCGAAGGAGGCGGAGGATTGTGTGAGGTTGCTTGCGGGGGAGATAGCGCCGAGGTGGCTGAAGATTGTCAAGAGAGGGAGGATGGAGTCGGTGGTTGTTAGTAGGGATGAGAGGCCGAGTGATAGGGTTATTAGGGAGAGGATTGGGAAGGCGTGAGGATGGGGGAGGGAAGAGGAGGGGGGGAAGGGGGGTTGGATTATTGCCTGGCTTTGCATTTTGGGGGGAGTGTTTGAATAGCGCGGAGTATGTGTTTGGGTTCGGTGCATTGGATGGGATACCCATTGTTTGAAGTCCAGCGTGGACATATGTTTAAAGGAGCATGAGGGGACTGGTGGTTGGATAGTGTACGATTGGATAAGCTTGAAGCCGTACTAGTAATGAATTGATGGACTCGTAATAACTGTTTCATTCTCGATTGCTGGTCCTGAGAAATGAAGTGACATATACTGTACGTACGTGATAGAGCCTGGCAATTATAAATCTTCGTGGGCGACTAAACAGTCTTGGTTTTGGAGATTCACGTGGGAAGGCAAGGCGATGGAAAACTTGGTGGTGGACAACGTAAAATGAGTTTCTAATCTATGCTTCTAGCCTCCTCGCGCTCGCGCCTGAAATCACCAAAGGCAAAAACTTCCGATTCATCCCTCCCTCATATCCATCATGGCGATTCATCAATTCCCTCAACCCCCAGCCCATCCACGCGGGCTCCACAGGCAAAGCCATCAGCTCAACGCCACTCCCCACGCGTATCCTGACGCTCGCACCATCACCAGCGCGTGCGTGCCCACCAATTCTCACACCCGCCTCCCCTACTTCTTTGGCCCAAACCTCGGCGCCCCAATATTCGCCCCCCTCAACTTAATCCCGAGCACCTTCTCCATGGACCCCAGAATCTTCTGATCCGGCGCCGCACTCCCGCGCTCAAAATCAGCGATAATGGACGCGGTAGTGTTGCACTTTGTCGCGAGGTCTTTTTGAGTCATCTTGGGCTCCATTTTCTGGCGCTGGTCGGAGATGACGGAGCCGACTTCTTTGCCGACCGTGTTGGGCTTGACGATCTCGTCGCTGCGGTCGACTTTGGTGAGGCGTTGGCCTTCGCCGCCGCCGGACTGGGGGGGGTGGGTTAGCACGCATTCGATACCCCAAGTTGATAAATTGGGGAGGGCTGGATGAGGGTGTGGTGAATTGGGGAGGGGAGGGTGGCGAGGCGGGGTATATTGGGGAAGTTGGAGAAGTTCGTTCAGGTGGGGCTAATCAAGTGGTGAGCAGTGTGAGATAACCAAAAAAGACTTACAGTATTCCCAGTAGCAAACTTCTTCTCCGTCCCCAAAACCGCACCACTCCTCTGCGCCTGGTTCAGCGCCGCCTTCCCTCTAATGACCGTCTCCCTCTGCGCGCCCCCAGCACCACGAGTCTTGCTCCCGATCTTCGTGACGGTGTCCCAGTCATCCATTTTTGCTGTTGTATATCTGTTCTGTATCTGTAGAAGTTGGGAGTGATGTGGTTGTTGTTGTTGTTGGGGTCGATGAATGTGGTGGTTGTGGTCGTTAGACCGGTCGTGCCCCGCGGCGAGCCTAAATAAGTAAAGGAAGTGGCACGTGACTCATGGGGGTTAGTCAAAAAGTTTAATAATAGCTTGGCGCTAAGTTATATGTAGGTGGGATGTGAGGTATCAGATTTAAGGGCTGGGTGTTCGTTCACCCATTTGGTTCGTAGGGAATGTGGGTGTGTTGTGAATGTATCTTAGTTTAGATTCAGATTTATCTTTGATGCTTTGGGTTGGAATTTACCCTTCCTGTTAATGGTTCATTTGGAATTCGCGTTTATCTTCTATGTTTCCGGAGAGATGCTCGTGCGACCTCAAGGTGTCTTTCCAGACTGTGGTATGAGCATTTACTGTGAAAGCCTGCAACAACTATTATGAAAATAACGTTTGTAAATCGCTGTGCATTGTAGCTACAATATTATGCTCCTTTACAATACAGTAGATTTAAAATTGAGCGAGAAGAGAAATTCCAACAGCTGCAAATACCAACATTAGTCTTCATCTTACAGCAACTTTCATATATCAGACACCAAGATCACCGATTTCCCCACATCCCATTATTTATAATAACAACACCCAAAAACTACACAGCATTTTAATAATTCGTCATATTCATTTCACTTGCCTAAAGCACTGCCATAGAAAAAAGCCAAGGCCCCACCTGGGCAAAGTTGAGACGATACAATCAGGACCGAGTTGAGTTGAGTCCACTTCCCCTTCCTCCATCACTCCTCCCGCCGACTCGATCGTGCGAGGTACTATAAGCCCTAGAGCATCCATTCCTCCCAAATATCCCTCAGCCCGTAAGTAATACGATAAACAAGCCATAAATCACAAAACCAAGCCAAACCAAACCACACAACACGCAAAATGAAAAATGAAAAAAAAGACCATCAACAAAAGCTCGACTCCATAATAACCCCCCCAATCCAGTCCCGTGCTTATCCTGTGGGTGTGGGTGTGTGTGTGTCAATTTGTTTTTGCACCTAGAACTCCAAGTCTCCATCCACCATCCATCATCCCCCTACTTCTGTGCCGCCTTCCCCTGCTCAGCGAGGAACTCCTCATCACTAGCATCGAGGATATCGTATTCCTCATCCGTCAAGAACCCATCCTCGATGAGATCATCCTCATGCGTCTCAGATGTGAAATCGACAAAGTCATCCTCGAGGGCAGCTGGGGCGGGCGCCGGGGAGGCGGCGCGCTGCTCATACACGCTAGACACGGGGGATTCCTTCTCCAGAGTGGGGAATATCATCTGGCTCTTCTTGAGATCCTCCTCCTGGGCAACCTCCTCCTTGACAACAGCCGGTGCACCCTCGACGAGGACATCGCACCAGAGTCTGTGGCCGAACTTGTATCCATCAGGCCCAGTCAGGCGCCAGTACGAGATGACCTTCCCAGTCTTACTAGGTGTCCTCATCAGCACAGTGAAGCCGTGCTCCTGGCCTGGCGCAACCTCGGTGTAGCAGGTGGTGCTCTCGGCGGCGCTAACGAGCTCGTGGACGCTGGCGGGGTGCTCGGGGTCGACGGCGCACATGTTGTCGCCGCCGACGAACTTGACGGTGCAGCCTGCGGGCCAGGCCTTGGTGCCGGTGTTGCGGAGGATCCAGGTCTGCTCGAAGACAGCGCCGGGGGCGAGAACGGTTCCGTCTGGGACTGCGTCGCGGACGAAGGTGGCGACGAGCTCGCCCTCGGACTTCACTGGTGTTTTCTCAGACTCGACTTCCTTGGGAGTCTCCTCGGTCTTAGACTCGGCCTTCTCATCCTTGGCCTCGACAGTAGGCTTAACCTCAGCAACGTTCTGGACCTGCGTAGCAGCGTTCGCGGACGAACAAGTGTTGGTCTCAGTAGATTTAGAAATTGGGCGGCGCCAGCGGTCACCCATCAACGGCATGGGCTTGCCATTATCATGATCGCCCATAGTCGTCACGCTAACATTGCGGATCGGGGTCTTGAACTTGATGAGAGGATGGGTCCTGTTGTGGACATTGTTCGGGCTAGCCTCGCAGCTGGCACAGAAATCAGTGTCATCACAGACAGCGCACTTATAGCGGTCGCCACGGATGTTCAACGACTTCGACGCACACAGCGGTCCATCACAGTAAATACCGTAGTGGAGAGCGGTATTGGTAAGCGAGCGTGTGTGGAGGGGAATCGACTCGTAGATGGGCACGAAGCGGTGGCGTGGGTGGACGAACTGCGCGTTGGGAACGCAGGCCTGGCAGTAGTCCCAGTCTGGGCAGTCGAGGCACTTGTGGCGGACACCATAGATGTACTTGTCACAGCCATCACAGATGGCTTGGTGAGAAACATTGCGTCCTGGGTTGAGAAGTGCTTTGGTGAGGGGCTTCAACTTGGTGTCGCTTGCTGCTGGTGCAAACGTATGCTTTGGGTTGTGGCCATGCTGGACCTTGTCGTTGCATGGGATGCAGAGATCAAAGTCCTCACAGTCCACACAAGTGACGAAACGGTTCTCTGGGTATTCTAGTATGTATGTTAGCAAAGTTCAAGATAAAAGAGTTGTGGAGCTTACCTTGAATGCAAGAGTTGCAAGTCCTAATCGACCCCACAACAACCTCCTTAGGCCCCTCCACCTCAACAAGAGTAGCCTTCGACACAATCGACGGCCACGCCTTTTGCGGGAGCATCTTAGTATCGCTGTTGCTAGCCCTACCATTTTTAATGCAGCGCTTAATCATCCAGTGGTTCTCGCCCGGGCAAGAACGGCCCATATCCATGCAATCCAGGCATAAATCGTAATCACCGTCGTCACAGATACCACAGTGATAGTGCAAGTGCCTATCGGGAATGGGAATCTTGCAGTCGTTGCAGTACACAGAGTACTTGTTCATGTGTGCCTGCATCGATGCACCCGGGCTGTGACAGTTCGCACGAAGGGCAGCACGGCGCTCCTCGGTGAGGTTGGCAAGCTCGGCGTACCATCTGTCGCGAGCTGCTGCTCCTCTTGTGATGGGGATGGTTTGGCTGGTTGGGCTTGATGCAACTGGGACCGAAGTGACGGACACGGGTGTGGGTGGCGTCGTCAGTGCGGCAGGTGCACTTGGAGCCGGTGCTGCTGCTGGTGCTGCTGCGATCTCATTCTTGAAGTTAAACGTGAGATCCTTGAGATACTCGCCGTACGATGGGAATGCTTGTGCTCCCACAGCGGCCTTGTGGTTCTCAAAGTCTGGCGAAGACATATCCGTTGGCAATAATGGCGTGTCAACCGAGATCAGCTGTGGTGCGGCGACGGGAGATGCGACCTCGTCCTCAACAGTAGCCTTCTTTGGCTTAACCGGCTCCTTCTTTGGCTTAACCGGCTCCTTCTTTGGCTTAACCTCCTTATCCTCCTGATCGATAATAGTGACCTTAAGACGAAGCTTAAGCTTAGCCTTCGCGGCACGGTAGAGCTGCTTGAAGACTGGAGCGTTGTTGGGGTCGAGGGTGACAAAGTCAGCGGCGCTGTCGGAGTAGCGTTCGAAGATAGCTTCTTGGGATTCTGGAATCTGGAGCAGGGCACGAAGCTGCAATGAATTAGTATCGGTAATGAAGCGTAAATGAATTGACGTTGCAGACTGAAATGCACCCAACACGACCATGAAGCCATTTTGCAGCTATATGGCGTGGTTGGGTCCAGCCCGAGCCTCACCGTCGTTATCGGAGAGAGTTATCGTACCTTGTCCGACAGAGTGTCCGCTCCCAGGTCACGCAGAGGAAGCTTGAACCTCCTGTTGCTTCCTTCGATGTTGACCTTGAGGGTCACCAATGTATCTGGGTTCGTAGCTGATGAGGCCATGATGTGGCTACGATGACAGCTGTGTGGGGAAGGAGATCAGCCCAGCCCCAACGTCACCTGGAAGTAAGTGGGTGGGCGGATGAGCGAGTAACTCACGAGTTGTAATAGCAGTAGAGTCTTCGTAAGCACCTCAGCGAATCGTGAATCTATAATCCACGACCTGTGTGTTGAGTTATTAGTTGGAAGAGATGTTGCTTTTGTTGAAGTTTTAGTGAGGGAGAGGGAGGGGGAGAGAGGGAGAGACGGAGAGACGGAGAGAGGGAGAGAGAGACGGTCTGACGAAGCCGGGGGTTAGGTTGTCTCGGCGGGGCGGAGAGAGCGGAGACAAGTAAGTTAGTGACAGATAGGACGTAGGCGAATTTTAGTGTAGCCTACTGGGAGAAGTACTGGCGGGGGTACATGTTATAGTATGTATATCAGCAAGTAGAATTAAGTATAGTATGCATGCCAATAGGTATTTGGCAGTACGAGTCCGTCCAAGGCGGCGGCTTCATCGACGGCGCTGATTAACTAGTTAACCTCTGCGTACAACTAAGGAGAAGACCATAGAAGGGAGGCTTCGTCAGCCACAGTATCCCCCATCTCCGAAGCCCGTAATGTCGATTGCCCGTTGCTGGGTCCAAGAACCCCCAAAATCCGCCACAAGCAAGCAAACCAAGTAAAAGGTAGTACGCCGACGACAGCCGCCCCCCGACAGCCGCCCCCCTTTCCACGTCATATCACGCCCCTCGTTTGTCAAAGCTTCAAAAGTCACGCCGGAAAGGCTTAAGAGAACGGATAGTATAGATGGCATAGGAGTGGGCTCGGGTAACCATAATGATGGTGTCATTTCACCTAAACTACCCTCTCCCTCTCCCTCCCACTACTCCGCCAAAAACAACATATCCATCCCATCCCATCCCATCCATCTTGTCACCCACAACCAACATCGCTGCAATACGCCATAAAGCCCAGACCTCATCCTCCACAAAGCCCCCTTTGTATCCCATAGCCCGCAACGCAACAACCCAACCCCCCAAGACAAAAAATGATTGATGAAAAAAGAAAGAAAAAAAAAACAGAACCACTCGTAGAAACACAAAATCATACAAAAGGAATCTGCGAAGCATTTCTACCAAGTGCCATCGCTTAATCCTGGGACAGCAAAAAGGGAAAAGTATAAGCAATGCCTCTTTCCCAAAGACTTCAAGCAGATAAAAACGACGCTTCGATTCCATCCCCCCTTTCCCACACTCCCACCCCCGTTCAAGCCAGAAAAAATAAAAGATGATTGAAGTGCTACAATAAAATGCATGACTTTGAGCGATCGATCGTAATCCGTAACAGCCGTAATGTGACCCCCAAAACGAAGAACAGGAAACAATCCTTTCTAACATCCACGGGTGGTGGTGGTGGAGAGACGATGGATGGTGGCGGGAGGGTAGGGGCTCGTAAACAAAAGCAGTAGCAGGCGCTTTCAAACAAAACTACACCGGCAAAATCCCAATGCAAACGAAACCGGTCAGGTCGTTCCAAACAGAGAGACATCGAACATCGAAGCAGGCGCCATTACTCGGTGTGGTAGAGTAATCATTGCGGGTAGTACACCACAGCCTGTTGCGGCTGCGGGTAATAGAACGCATCCGGGCTCGGCGTCATCATCCTATGTTGTAGCGACACATTCCCCATATGCTGTACAGGGTACGCAGGCGGCGATGCATAAGACGGGAACGCTGCCGCTGCTGCCGGGATCTGCGCAGCGTCGTAGTAGTACACCATTCCGTTGACTTCCTGCGCCACAAGGTTAGGTTGCTGGCCCTGCTGCGACGCGTCTGTCGGGGCCACTTGTCCGTAGGCTTGCTGCTGGGCTGCTGAGGGGGCGAAATTTGGTGCTTGGGCACTTATGCCGGTATTGTATTGTTGGGGGTAGTAATAGCCTTGTTGCTGGGGCATTACCTGGTATTGCGGGGGGTAGAAGCCCTGCTGCTGCTGATAGATGTTTGGTTGGAAGGGCTGGGCGTGGATGGCCCTTTCAGGGATCTGGGATAGAGGCGTCCCGGTGGATCCCTGGTATGAGGCATTGCGTGAATGAGGATGTACCTGTGCCTCCTGCCCATAGGCATGGCCGTTGGCCTGTGTCGGCACCTGGTGTTGGAATAGTTGTTGGTATTGTTGCGGGGGGTTGATTTGCATAGCTGCCGGTGACTCGATGTTGTCGACAGAGACAGCCTTTTGAGGTCGAGGGTGTTGCATGGGTACAGAGTTGGGTCGGTTTTCGCGGAAGGTAGGCTTTTGTGGGAGCGGGTAGGGTTGTGATACAGCCGGGAGCACTGCGCCTTGGACCGGCTGCATCTCAGTGGCAATCGGTGCCTGCGCCTGGGCTATAGATGGTGGTAGCCTGACAACAGGTCGGGTCGAGTCGAGTGGTACAGGAGGCCTTGACATTGTCGAGCCCATAGGGGATATGATGCCATCCCGTGGAATCTCATGGGCCACGGATGAGCGACGGCTCATGGCGACGCTTGGTGTGTATTCGCTGCCATATACACTTCCACCATATGCACTTGTTCGTCTTGAGAAACCTCCCACCGATCCTAATCCTTGGCGACCCCTATTGCTCCTTGACCCGAAGCCTTGCTGGTTTGGTCGCATCGCTCGTGGGATAAAGATAAACGACCGCTCAACGGCGGGGAATATATATCTCGGAGGAGTATCCGGCAACGAAATCCGAACCGGCTTATCGCGGCGAAGAGGTGGTCGGTGGTCTGGAAGACGAGTGTACTGATGTAAAGCAATCGCAGGTAATGATAACGGCTTCTCCATGCCTGGTAATAACACGCGTACTTGCACATTTCCAATAAGCTTTGTCGTCGACAACGAACGATTCGGTGCCGGGCCGCGCGGGGCTTGCGGGAATGATTGTCTCGAGGCGCTCATATTGTTGTATGCTTGGGATGGGTTGCGTGGAGGCCGGTTGTCTTTCACGACCGCTTCGTGCATGTCGTGGGTCCACGGAGCGTCGGCAGGTTCGTCCATCTGCTGCATATAACTATCGGACATTAGCATGGTATTATTGGCACCAAGGGAACTTTTAACATACTTGGCTGGTGCAAATGAACCTCCAAAGCCACCTCTGCCGCCTCTTCGTCCTCCGCGGCCACGCCCGAATGGTCTGAACCCATTCGCAGCAGGTCCAGAATGCCTGTGATCATGCATGAAGAATGCGCCACGGTTGGGTACAAAAGCCGGATCTTCATCGCGCTTCTTTTTGTAATCTTCATGCTCACGCCTCCTTCGCTCCACTGGTGTTTCAACAGGTTGGTCCATAATCGCAGTCGACTTGACGATAACCGGCTGTGACAGAGTAGGTTTCTGTGCGTTCGAAAGTTCATCGTAGCTAGTCGACTCGATATTATCGAAGTCTTTCGACCTCTCAAGCCCATTCAGCATCATGTCCGTATCAGTTGTTACATTTATCTTCGGTGGCGATTTAGACGTCTCCGTTGACTTCGAGTTTGATGCCGCCGGAGTTCTGTCTTTCGAGCAGCCATTCGCCGTAGCCTTCGGTGCCACCGGAGATGCTGCGTTGCTGCCGTCGCTCGCATTGCCAGCATCTTCGTCGTCGGAGATCGACCCTTCGCTCTGCGAGTCCTCCAGATCGTGACCGGCTTCGTCGCCCTCCTCGTCCTCTACTCGCCTCCTGCCTATAAGCGGCTTCTTTCGCCTGGGGCCCGGCATCGTTGCAGCCCTGACCCGTTCAATTACCCCGTCGTGTGCGTGCCGGGCGCGGGCCTCGAGGCCTCAGGGAAGGCGAAGCCTAAGAGGCGAATGGATCATGTGCTGGCCGCAACTAGGCTCCAACCTGCCTAAAGGCGCTGATTCATACGATGTAGTACGGGTGCGAGGGTCTCTCGGGGGAAAGCAATAAGGTGGAATGTATAATGGCAACAATTTATTGAGGTTCTGTGGGGGGATATCGTGGAGAATGGGGTTCAAAGGCTCGAACGAAGCTCAACCATTCAGAAAAAGATGCCTTGATCACAACACTCATTCAGCCAAGCATCCCTGTAAGTAGCGCTAAGAAGCGAATCATGGACGCGGAAAGAACAGACAAGAAGTCGTACCGCCGGGAGAACAACGCTACTTCCTCCTTCCCTGTCCGTTGCGGCAAGTACCCCCGCAACAAATTTTATATGCCATAAGTTATGGAAGAGACGTGGCAGTGGCAGTCTTCATCGTTATGGAATTATACAAATAACTTATATAATAATGTAAATATACACACTATACCCAACCTCTGGCTTACTACAGTACGGCGCCAGAAGTGCAGGTGCGCGTTCCTATAGAATGGCTTTAATAATACAATCTATAATGAATTGAAGTAATGGATTGGCCGCCATATAGCCCGGATTTGCAGCAATGTTAGATAGATAGCATGGGAGAATATAGGAGAGGCCTTACTACTAAACGTCTGCGCCGTACTGATTGGGAAGGGTTTGGGAGGAGGCTATGGAGGGGATCATCCACTACCCTCGGTCAAGGACACATTTCTAGCCCCTATGCATCATGTCTCACTCAGGAAATCACTCGTATGGACCATCTCTAAACACAAGATTCACATTTCGCTACGTGAGCGCCAGCAAAATACTGAACATCTCATAAACCCGCCTTTCCATACTGTACAGTCCCCGTTGTCGGAGTAGAATAGTTACACCTCATTATGCAACCCACTCCTCTATGACATCTCCATATCCATCTCCTATCGGCACACATTACTTTTTCAAACCATCGTACATACATATCCCTTCCAAAAATTCACCCTCTCCACATGGGCACCACCAGCAAGCTCTCGCCACCAAACCCGCACCTCGATACTACACCTATCACCATGTACGGCATTCAAGCCATTCCGGAGCCGGAGAAGCCTCCGCTCATGCCCTGCAGTCTGTTCGCTAGCTGCGGGTACTTCTCCTGTACCTCAAGCTGTGTCCTCGTCGCCTCAGCGTAAGAAAGAGCGTTGATGATCTCGCCCTCGGTTCTTGACAGTTCTGCGGCACGCTCGAAGTACTTCAGGGCGTCGTTGACCTTTCCTTGCTGTAGTAGGAGTTGAGCCATGGTCGCCACAGCGATATCGCACTCGGGGTCGACTACATTGTGTGTTAGTGGTTTTGTCAACGATAATAGAGGAAGGAAAACTTACTGATAAGTGCCTTCTCGCACAGCTTCTCGGCCTCGGCAAAGTCCTGCTTCCACTGGACGAGCGCAAGAGCCTTGTTTATCAAAGGCAGGACATTCATGCCGAGTGGCTTGGAGATCTTCTCCATCTCCACAGCGGTGTCGAACTTGGTAATAGCATCCTGGTATTTCTGTTGGTCCAGGAGGAGCTCTCCGTAGTAGTTGTAGACATCCGGAACCTGGTTGAAAGCCTTCATGGTGCGCTTGAAGGTAGCCATCGACGAGGCGATAGAGCCCATCTTGTATTGTGTAACACCGAGCTGGATGTGGGAGAAGATGAAGTCGCGGTCTAAATCAATCGACTTCTGGTAGTCCTTGGCAGCGTCGCCGAACTCGCCGAGGATGAAGTGGAGCTGGGCGCGGTGGTAGAAGATATCCGGGTCACTGTCGTTCTGTGCCCTTGCCTTCTCGAAGTCGGCAGCGGCGGCCTCCTTATCGCCGAGCTCCAGGTGCATGCTAGCACGCTTGATGAAGCTCTGTGTCAGCGATGGGTTGAGCTCGATGCTCTTGGTAAGATCCGCCAATGCCTCGAGGTTCTCGCCGCGGAGGTACTTGAAGGTACCGCGCATGTTGTAGGCAAACGCTTCATGCTCGTCGATATCACCCAATTCCAGGGCGGAGCTGAAGTGCTTGGAAGCCTCTTCGTAGCCATCGCTGGTCTTCTTATCCATGGCGATAAGACCGAGCTGTAATTGTCCCTTTCCAGTATCCTCGGGGATTTCTACACCAATCTCGAGTCCTTCTGGTGCAGGCTTGGCGCGGAAACTCTGCATGTAGTTGGTGACAAATGTTGGGCTAGGCAGTCTCTTGCCCTTTCCGGCCATGATAGCCTTGCCCTTGGCCTCGGCGACCTTCTTCAGCAGCCTCTCAACCGCCTCTGCGCTCGATGCGGTCTTGAAGCTGTCGATGATGCAGCTAGCGGTAAAGTCGAGTAGCGCCTCGCTGTACTTCTCGAGTTGCTCGTAGGCATTGGCGCGTCTGTTTAATGCCTTAACGTATTCATTGTCGAGCTTGAGAGAAGCGGTGGTATCTTCGATAACCTTCTCCCACTCATGCTTTGCGTTGAAGCATGCAGCGCGATTGGAGTAGAAGATTGGGTCGGGCTTGCACAGGATGGCCTGGCTGTAGAGCTCAATCGCGCGATCGTAGTCCTTGGCTCCGTATGAGGTGTTACCAGCCGCCTTCAGCTTAGCAGCAAAGGATTTCCTGTCCTCGGCAGAAAGGTTGCCAACGGTAGCCTCGTCGACTTGAGGGGGCTCATCGGCGGGCTCGGCTGATGCGGCCTTTGGTTGAGCCTCTCCTGCGAGCCCCTTCTCGGGATCCTTTGGCTTACCTCCGCTCTTCTTCTTCTTGCTCTTGCTCTTCTTGCCGCTCGATGGCTTGGTCGTGCTGTCTTTGCTAGATGTCGCCCCGGTCTTATTACTCAATCAGTACAAATCTTCTGACACGGGGGATTCGGGAAAAGGAGCGGGAATTCATGCAACTTACCGAGTCTGTAAGATAATATGCGACACCGGCTCCGGTCACGACAACAGCAACACCGGCAACTGTATATACGACAGCCTTGTGCTCAGACGCCCAGGTAGATATCCGATCCCATAGCCCAGATTGTGAAGTGGTTGACGAGAATTGAACGGGTGTCCCTCGGAGCGGGAGGTTCGGTGACGGTAAAGTGTCGCTAGACATATTTAAATACAAGATGAATCGAAAGAAAATAGTACTACACGGACACCAATTGCAATGAAGGTAGCGGGTGTGGTATTGGGTTGTCGGTTCAGTTTATTGATGTCTGTGAGGCTGGAGCTCACGTTCCCCGAAAAAGGTTCTCGCGCGTATTATTGCTTCATCAAGCGACTACCCCCATCAAAGGTTTTTCGCACCCAAGCTCAGACTACAACAACACGAGTGCCAATCACGCAGCAGATAAGGGATAATTGAAGTACAACGTATACCAAGGGAAACAATGCTCCATAACTAATAATCCCAAATGGCCTATCTTTGCCCCGCTGGAGGATTTTCCCTCCAACTAAAACAAATCATGACGACATTAGCACGTTTATATCACGTGATGTTTATATGGTTGAGCTGCTTTGCTCCGTTTTGTAGCATCAAGGGACCCCTGTATAACATAGTATATATGTAGTTAGTATAATAGCTTGGCATTCAATCTAACTAAATATAGCAATATAAAAATTGACTTGATTGAAAATATCAAACTGATTTGGTGTTTTTGGTTGGTCAACCTCAACTGATGGCTCATTATAGAGCAACATACACATAGTATGCTGACTTAATATTGTGATGGTTGCATACATCGAGCCGTGCCTGTATGTATGCCTCTATCCATTTATACTTCTGTATGCGTGCAAGTTGCGCTTGGTGAAGTAGGGATAGCTGTAAGGATGCCTTCTCGTCTCTCACTCTAAGGAGCAGACTCTGAGTAGCTGTGGATCACGTGTGATCATTTGGGCAGGCTAACTGAGTCGGATGGGTGTCGGGTATTGAGGGAAATGACTCACGAGGTTCACCCTGGTCACGTGTGATCATTGGGGTGGGCTAACCGAGTCGGATGGGTTTCGGGTACTTAAGGGAATTGACTCACGGGGTTCCCCCTTCATCTTTTTTGTATCCTTTGTAGTAGACCTATAAGATAGCATCCGTTTAGCCTCCGACTCGCACTCTCATATGCTATTACCGTGAGCTGGGTGCCCTGTGTCCTTACAATAGCGCTGTAATGGTGGGTGCACCAGATGTGAGAATCTAGCCACCCAAGGAAAGGGATGATTTTACTAAGACAACACACTGTCTTAGGAAACAGAGCCAAAGGGTTGTAGCTTAGACTATTCCACAACGGAGCAATCAAGTGTATTATGTAGTGGAGTGGTTTAGACAAGTTGTACAAATGTTGAGTCTGAGAACTCAGGGATAAGTCAGAGGTTAGCACCTCACTGACTTTTCAGAAACAAGGAGTAACAAGATCAATGCTTGGAAGCTTGGAAAAGACGTGGAAGTATGTGATAGTTGATTTACTGTATTGTCTGCTTGCCCTTTCTTAAGGAAAGGGCAATCCTATTTATGCCGAAGGAGTGTAGTTCTCTTATTTTCCATGACTTTCCATGACTAACCAGGCTTGGTAAATGTATTAGAAATTAAGTGCGACCCACAACTAGCTTGCTAATCATGTAGCGAATGTAAGAGAATCCCATAGAACCATCTCTTGGGTTCCTAGCCTATAGGAAGTGAAAAGGAGGTCCAAGGTCAGAGTACCTATAGATAAATTATGTCATAACTTAACCAATCTTGTGGGTAACTAAGGAGCGATGACGTGTAATGAATCATAGAGGGTTGTAGAAGCTTCTAGAGCTATAGTTCATGTTCCTAGGCCTCTAGTTGGTAGAGATATGCCATGTGGTAGTATTGGCCCACCCCCTTAAGGAGGAGATTTTCTTAATAACTTGTTCAATGAGTGTCCAAATGATATGCTGTGATGTATGTAGCATAAACAGATGTAGTAGAAGAGTTTGCAGCAATCGTTGAGTAGTATTGCTTCTGTTGTTGGTGTGATAAGCCAAGATATGTATGGTGACTTGTAGGTTTGAGGAGGAGATTTCTAAGTTTGCTCTTGAGTTTGATAGCAAACTGAGTGCAACGAATGTCAGTATGACACTCCTGACCTGGTTCTCTGGACTCCCGTGAGACCTTAGGCTTACGCTTTACAGAGCAATACTACTCAACGATTGCTACAACCATCTATGATTCATTACACGTCATCGCTCCTTAGTTACTGGGCCGATATTACCACATAGCATATCTCTACAACCCTCTATGATTCATTACATGACATCACTCATACTACCACATGACATATCTCTACCAACTAGAGGCCTAGGAGCATGAACGATAGCTCTAAAAGCTCCTACGAACCTCTATGATTCATTACACGTCATCGCTCCTTAGTTACCCACAAGATTGGTTAAGTTATGACATAATTTGTCTATGACATAATTTGTCTATAGGGGTACTCTGACCTTGGACCTCCTTTTACTTCCTATAGGCTACGAACCTAAGAGATGGTTCTATGGGATTCTCTTACGTCGACTACAGTTACCAAGCCTGGTAATCATGGAAAGTCTTGGAAAATGAGAGAACTACACTCCTTTAGCATAAATAGGATTGCCCTTTCCTTAAGAAAGGGCAAGCAGACAATACAGTAAATCAACTATCACATACTTCCACGTCTTTTCCAAGCTTCCAAGCATTGATCTTGTTACTCCTTGTTTCTGAAAAGTCAGTGAGGTGTTAACCTCTGACTTACCCCTGAGTTCCCAGACTCAACATTTGTTGCAACTTGTCTGAACCACTTCACTACATCACACACCTGATTGCTGCGTTGTGGAATAGTCTAAGCTACGACCCTTTGGCTCTGTTTTCTAAGACAGTGTGTTGTCTTAGTAAATTCATCCCTTCCTTGGGTGGCTAGATTCTCACATCTGGTGCACCCACCATTACAACACTATAGTGGGGGATGGTAGGGGTGTAGGGTTCAGGGTCGATGCTGACCTGTTGTGGTGGAAGGATCAGGGCTAGGGTTGGAGTAACCGAGTCGGGCCCGTTTCGGGTACTCAAGGAAACAGACTCAACGGGGTTCCTCCTTCATCTTTTCTGTATCCTTCGTAGTAGACCTATAGGATAGCATCTGTTTAGCCTCCGACTCGCACTCTCATATGCTATTACTGTTTACTGTGAGCTGGGTGCCCTGTGTCCTTACAGCCATGTCATTGTTGGATCCCAGAGACAAAAAAAGAACGAGACGCTGCAGAAGTTGAAATACATGGAATGAATGAAGAGTTGGAACCAATTTTACGTGAAGAATGAGAATTATCAAATGGGATACGCCGAATGTCTCTACGCAATCTTCCTGGTATAAAGCCGCTATGGAGATGGAATAAAAAGAATGGGAAGTTAAGCCGTGAGAAAGGAGGAGGGGGGATAGATTGGTACCGGTATCAGAAAAAGATTCTGATACCAAAGATGTTCCCATTCGCAAGGGAATGCATGGTAGACCGTCCGGATACTATTGTACAAGAAGACAATGCTCCATCACACAATCATTACATTCAGCGGCGAGTATTTCAATTACATGACATTAATCGCCTCTTCTGGTGCGCCAACTCTCCAGATTTAAATGTCATCGAGCCGTGTTGGCCATGGATGAAAAGGAGGACTACAAGGAAGGGGGCACCAAAAAGTCGACCAGACGCGATACGAGCTTGGGAGACCTGTTGGGAAGATCTCCCTCAGTCGCAAATCTAAGCCTGGGTCGAGAGGATTCCTCGACATATCCAGAAAGTCATTGAGCTAGAAGGCGGAAATGAGTACAAGGAGGGGCGAGAAGAACACTGATTTCATAACTATGTACATAACTAAATTGTGAACTGTGGCGTTTCCTAGCGTGGGACAAAACTTTTGAACGCTTCCTCCGTATCTCAGACACTAATCCCCCTATCACCACCCTCCACGATCCACGATCCCCCATCTCACGTATCGGTAAAGCCAAGTATAGGTTACATAGTCAGGAATACATACATTTTATTACTCAACAGTTAATACGTAACTTACATCACATGATTAGTCCGAAATCTTCCATCTTATTATGGTGATGCATTCTTGTCGACCTCAACAGTATCTGTTTATTACGTGATCATTGACGTTGAACTACAAGTTCAATCTAGGTTCTTCGGATGCAGGTCGCGAAGTAACTATGGACACCCACGGTCGCAAAAGAGTACTCGAGGGGTACGACAATATTAGTTTGGACGGACTTCAAGAGGAAATGGGCCATTTTCTTGGCCGTGAATGTCAATTCATAATGGACACCCGCGAAAGGCCCTTCGGAGGCAGCGAATGTGTTATTGTCGTTCTTGAAGATAAGGAAGGCTCGAAATGGGCCGTTCGCTTCCCATTACAATTTCGAGCGTTTCGAGAGCACGTCGTGTTGACGATAAAAAGGGAGGCAGAGCTACGTTTGGCTATTGAGAAGGCTAAGATTCCAGGTTACGCTAATCATTGACGTCCACTTCAAATGCCCACACATTTGGGTAAATTGAGATATGATGCAATCATCCAACCACGAGGTGATCTCCATTGTGCTCATGATTATCGATATCTTTGTTGGTGACGCAAGTACACTTACAGGAGTCATCCTTGAGTTCGTCGGCGAAAAACCAGGCAGCATCGCGACGTCGACCCGGAAGGAACAAATCGGCCTACTCAGAGTTCATATCAGCAACAAGCTACTATTGTGTCTTTTCAAACTTACTTCCGAAGTCTTCAAATTCACATTCGCTCTACCGATTGTCGTTTCAACGCGACCCTCAAAATCATCACCAGGGTAGCTGCAGAGCCCAAAAATATTTTGCGCTCCTACTCCAACCAATACCTTGCCAAAAGCCGACAAGAACTGTTGATACATTTCAGAGCCCCAGTCTGGCGTTTCAAGGTGGGAGTCAAATGAGAACTCATGAGGTCGGAGCACATTGCCGTCTAGCTGCCATACTGCCGGCCCTCCTCCTGGTCCAGTCCAAGCAAGTGACTTGCCGCGAATGTCCGTCAACCTCTCATTGTCCTCTAGCTTGAAGTGCGAGTGCATAAGAGCCAGGCCAAGAGAATGTTCGATTCCATACGTTCGAAATAGAGGCTTCATAACCTCCTTGATAAAGTTGTTGCCGTTGATCGCATCAAACGTGCTTCCGGCATCATATAGAGACGGCAGGGAGTCGTATGGCTGGGTTTCAATAGACATGTTGAAAATACGATTGTACGATGTTGGTGATAGAAAAACTTTCCTGAGCAAAGAGGGCGTGCTTGAAGGGTGTTTATATACGAGTTAACTTCTATCCGAATCGCAATGCGGCCCACCTGAGGTACCGCCACTCCGCAGATTCCAGGCAGGCATAGTTCTTTGGTGCTGTATTCGAATATTGAATCACATGAAAGTTCACTTCGTGGCATCTGTGGAGGAATTGCTGGTGTTAATGTGTGATATTTCATAATCTAGAAGAGCTGTAGCGATCGCCCGGCATTTGATTGGCCTTCGCACTGTGTCCTAGGCAACCAACTTCCGAATGAAGACACTTCTGGCCATCCATATCCTGCAGCAGATGTGTCATGTCACCAATCGCTCTTCCAACATACAGTCAACTCCCGTTAAGTCGATACAATTGGTGACGAGTGTAAATATCGTAAAAGTGAAAATATCGTTATATTGAAATGCCAAGTATAATGTAATCCACCTATCTAATGTCTCCTAAACCAAGGAATTAAGCTGAATTGCCTCAATTTCGCCCTCTAAATGCTTCTAATGCCCTGAGGTGATTGGCTTGGAGAGCATCGTGACACAAAGCCACCGCGGCTATCAATTCGTCGCTAAAAGTCGTAGAGAATTTGTTCAAGTTGAGGCCATTGGCCAGTTCGATTTCGTTGTCTAGTTGTTGTCGAGTTGTCAAGATGTTTAAAGCGGTTACTAAGGCTATCTGATATTGTCGATTGACTGAGCCTATGATTGAATTCGTAAAGAAACCAGTTGATGCAGGCTTTCTAGGAGGGTTTCGGGTGCTGTTTGTGTGCCTAATGTCGAAGGGCACGGCGCTGTTCGAGTGTAATCGTGTGTTTTCGAGGCATAATAGAGTTGGATAAGTCGGTAATTAAAGGTCAGAAGGTCAATATCGCGAATATCGAGAATTGAGTGCCAAAATCAATTGGTGCTGAAAAAAATATCGACTTAGCGGTGTTATCGACTAATCCGACATCGTCTTGGCGAGAGTGGACTGTAATTTGTCTTGTCACATATTTCGTTCATACTGGGGGGCATGCGCGTCTAACAAATCGTGGCACCACATTACCGCCGTCACTCGCTCCTACAAATGGCCTTTGTGGCCTGTTGTTTCGAGCAGGCAGCAGAGTTGGAAGCATGTTCAACTAATATTATCACTCCATTTAGCGCTTTATTGAACAAGATGGTATACATCCCTGCAGAGGGCGTTTCGTGGGTTAAGCGCTCTATTGAACTTCCAACGGCTAGTGAAACAATTCCCATGGCCTTCTGGCCTTTTGCCGCCGGCCTTAAAGCGCTAATTTATTGCATCGAATCATTACCATTGCCAACAGCTTTGCTGCCTTACGGTATGCGGATCGAGTTCAAGGGAGTTTCACATTCGAGAAAGTGTGTGTAGGCGGCGTTGGCAATATGCACCGCCTCCGTGAAATTCTTGAACTGCAACAATTCAAGTATAAGAAGGAAAGAATGTCTGGCCATTTTTGAGAAACTCAATCAGAATCAATTCTTCAGCATCTGGCTTATATATAAAGCAACGCATTCTTGGACGCCCACTGCTACACTAGCACCCGCAATTATTACATATATATCGCCAACAATCATTCAAATCAGCTTATCTCACTATATTTTATCAATCATGTCTTACACCGTTTACACGGCTGAATATTTGGGCTCCCCAAACCACGTTGGCCTCTTTGTCGAGACAAGCAGTGACGGTTTTGTCAAATTTACCACGTCGTTGGGACTATCCTTAACGGAATGATATATGAGAATAAAACTTGGGAAAAAGCCCGAGGATTCGGTATCTTTCGTGCCTGACTCGAAGACAGTCGTTGATAGAACCGCCCAGGCAGATATGGGAAAGCTGGACAGTCTATGTCGATCTATTCCACCAGCACGCCAGGTGATGCTGAATGGCTCTCGCATTGACCCCAGCAAGCCACTCCGTCGCTGCGGGGAATTGGTTGAAGAAGTCAAGACAGCAGCTCGAAGCAATGCGCTAATCTAGCAATAGATTGTTGCACTATACCTGTAAGGAATACTTTGGCATATGGTCATCGTCGCTACGAATAGAACTGACATTAGAAGTAGCTTTGGTTAAATCTTGGACTCAGGGTATATTTGGCTGGTACAACATACGTGGGAAGAGGAAAGTGCTAGAAGGCTATTGGGAACATCTGACAAAGAACACTGGGTTGCAATCTTGTGATATAATTCTTTGAATATGGAGTAGAGTTAGGTCATATTATCTTCGGTATCTCGTCAGTCCTGTAACTTAATAGTATGCAATGCTGAAAATAACTTGCATCATGAGATATTCACGATGATACTGCTGTAAGATATTTCGAGTGAGCTCTAGCCATTCGTGTCTAATGCGGCATCCAAATGTTGAAATACAAAACTCCCAATACTCTGGGTACCACGCAGCTGCCTCCCAGTCAATCAAGTGGATTTCGAACCGAATCTCAAAATCCTCGGGGCTGCTAATTCGGTTGACCATGATATTCTTCGGCTGCAAATCTCCGTGAGTGAAGACAGTTTTGTGACCATGTAATGTGTCATTCATTAAATCCCGTAAAAACTGTATAGATGGCCGAATTATTCTGCGCGAGATGCTTTAACATCCCTTCGTTCATATCTGCCTCGGTATCGAAAGGTCCAGAGATGGTGGGATCATGGTCAGGCACCCAGAAAACTGCACTGTGCAAAGGCTGCCGGTTCACACCCCCAATATAATTTTGTTCCGGGATTCTTCGAAGCTCATCAATTGCATTCTTAACTAGAATACAAACTTCCACCTTCTCTTTAGCGTTAAGAGTAGGAAGTAACGCTTCAAGAGGGCGGCCCGGGACGAGTTCCATCACGATGAATTTCAAGCTGGTTTCTTCCTCGGCGAAGGCGGCTAAGACCTTGGGTACGGGAACCATGCTGTTTAGAGCGATGAATTTCATGGTTTCTGCCTCTAAAAGGGATACTGCACATCCGTATTTAACTGCGATCCTGTCGTTGATTTTCACCACCTTTGTGGACATATTGGGTTGACTGAGAAGCTTTGAAGCTGCTTTGATTTCCGCAATCGTAGGCAGGTCTTTGTCCGCCATGGTTGCCATTTCTCCCCTCTGAGGACACTATCAGAGCATCGGGGTCAATTAATGGTGAAATAGGTCAAAGTAACAAAGCAGTCTGATTTCGTAGTGTGTTGTCAGGTTAATGGCGCGAAATATTTGAGATGCAGAGTACACCATGTTGGCAGTACTCGGTGTTCCACCCACTCGCTTCGCTCGTAGGTGGCGACAGCAAGATGTGCGTACACCGCTATTTTGATATATAGAGAAAATAATAGTATTCTTCATAACGTAGTATCTACAATGCCTCAAAATAACGATCCTACTATGATTGCTCGCCTTAATGAGGCCCAACAGTTCTTCTTAAAACAACCAAGTACATATACAATTGCTTGGGTTGCAAATAAATTCAATGTCAACCGTGAGACACTCCGACGTCGTATTACGAGTACTACGTCTCCTCAATTACCCCACGGAGGTAGTGTTGGACAATATCCGTAGGGCAGTAGGTAGAGAATATAAGCCGAAAATACAGTCACGAAGCAGTAGGGCCCGAAGTGATAATTTTATAATGCATGTTTTTTATAATTGAAGCTATTCTAAGTACTATATATACTGTTACGGGTGTGCACATCTTGCTGTCGCACGCACAACTTGCTGTCGCCACCTACGAGCGAAGCGAGTGGGTGGAACACCGAGTACTTTATCTAAAAGTTGTGGACCTGGGTCCTGATGGCCGCGCGGGACCACCCATTTATCCATCACAGGTGGTTTTGATGGCACACTGCAGAACGTACTGGTACGTATTGGTACGTACTAGTACGTACTACGCCGATCATCTATAAGCTTTGAATACTAAACGCTTTCCAACGACCCTCCAATGTCGCACCAAATCCGTTCCTCAACACACCTAATGCTCACAGAAAAAATACTCCACATTCTCCCACCCCTTCTCTGCCCGCTCATGAAACCGGCTCCTCTCCTTCATCAACTCCTCCCGATGATATCTCGCCTCTTTTGGCGTCATCAGCCCCCTCGTCGGAACCCCATTCTTCTTTACCATCTCAAAAATCTCCGTCGGCAGCTTGCGGCCCCGCATCTGCTCTCTGTTTTGTTTCTGGGACTTTTTGGCTGGGCCGTGTTCCCCGAGGAGCTCGAGGATCTCGGGTGGCATGTCCCCGGTGTTGGCGTCGGCGCCGAAAACTGCTTCGGCCCACCAGTCTTGCTGCTGGGGGGGAACGTTGCCGGTTGAGACGATGCGTTGGTGGGGGTCAACGAGCCAGAGGGCGATGAAGCGTCTGTGACCTGGTTTGGTTGGGTCTTCGAGCTTGAAGGAAGAGACCCGGTGGTGGCTATGGGGCAGAGTTTGTTAGCTCGACAATGCTAAACAGCGAACCTGTGGAATAGTTCGGCCTGGGGAAGGGAGAGTAAGTACGTACAATACATTGGGGAATGCAAGCAGGCGGCCCTGTCGGGTTTCGGCACTTCCGTAGTGCTGGATACAGGGACTAGACTCTAAAGACGGGCCTAGCTCGGTCCCATACACACGCTCAAGCCAGTTGTATTCATTCTGGCCGGTAATTTCTTGAAGTTCGTCTTGGTAGTTTGAAGTTTGCATGCGGAAAGACAGGTTACTGGGCGTTATGTTCTTACTGTCGAGGTAAAACAGAGCTGTGGCGCAGATATGCTCGTTCATCTGACCTTCGACCTGTATCACAACATTTAACAAAGTGACAGAGAGTTATCTTTCAGGGAAACTTACGTGCCAGCTGCCCATGGGAAAGTCGGGCTTCTCGGGCGTTAGCTCAATGGTAGCCATCTTGACAATGACTTGGAGTCCGGTCTTTTTGAATATCTCGCGAATACTCTGCTTGCAAACGTAGTCGACTTCCTTCTCATCATCGGGTTCGGTGAGCACTGGATCGCGAATATGATTCCACTTGAACTCTACCACATCAGCGGCTGAATAGTTAGCTTCTCCGTATTAATCTCACCTTCTCTGGGTAAATCTTACCTTCCTCGTCGCGACTCGCAACATCTGCGATACATAATTTCTTGCCAATCGTCTTCACTAAGCTCATAATTGTTCTGCGCTAGCACTTCTTTATCGAAGGGCTCCCATAAGTGATCATCTTCCTCACTGTACAGAGGAAGCAAAGGGCACGGGTTAGCGCTCCAGACAACGAATCTCGGATTAGGGAAAAATTACCGGCAGCTTTCAGGGAGAGAGAATCGAGACTTTAGCCGCCCAGCTGCAGGAAGGGGTCTTGGATTATAACCATGCTGTCTGAGAAACTGGTCTCAGGCAGGAATAGCTATGTCAATAAGCTTCTCTATCATGCGGTAGATGCTAGGGTATTTCTTTGGGTGCAGGTTATTGATGTAACTCGTGAACGTCACAGTCCCGTCTTCCTGGAAAGCCAAGGTCGCAGGCAGCCATTGATACTTATCAGACCAGTATTCCATAGGAACGCCATCGCCACCTATATTATACGACCGTCTAGGATCAGGGACTCCGCTTTGGCGTGCAGGTCGAGCTATCTCGCCCTTTCCAGCCCACGCTTCAATGGCGTCAGATACGCCGACCACTTCTTCCTGGAAGAAGTTTGACGTTCCTTGGTGTCCGCGTTAGCTTTAGAATATATCTAACGGGCTATTGAGTATCATACCATAGACAAGGGGGTACATGGAAGGGTGAACCAGGTCTTGGACCTTCTCATCACTGCCTGGATGCCAGTCAACATCAGATGCCTGATCGGCCCGTAGCTGGTCGAATGCATCGCGGAGTTCCTTTTGCAACTCCGAGGTCACGACGGTGTCAGACTTGACAATGGTGTTGCCCGCCGAATCGAGGGTAGGGATGAGACCCGTTGGAAGTGAGCAGCTTTCGCCCTCAACTCCTTCATGCACTAAATTGGATGTTAATAACTTGAATTCCCAAATTAATAAACCACATACATAGTCAAAAGCAGTTTCCGACATCATGCGTGCGCGTGGCATGGGAACTTTGACTCCACCCGATTTACTCTCAACCAGCTGTGCATATAGCTTATCCTCCGGCTGCTCCAATGCCTCCTTCCGCCACTTGGCGACTATTTCCTCATCGAAGACCTTCTTGTCCCAGTCAGGCTTGTCAGACAACCAGTCCATCAATACCATCATGAATACTTCGCGGACAGGCAAAAGCTCCGACTCGGCGCCCGCGCAGTTGCCATGGGCGCCAATGGGGTACGACTTTGCAGCCAGCCCAGTAGGATAATGGCGCAAGTCAACATTGATACCTGGGTATTCGTGCGTCATTTTTTGTACGAATCGTCCGCAGACGGGAAGCGTGCGACGAGCTTTTTATGTGAGGATTGAGAGAGAAGAACGATGGAGCATAGTCTGGAAATAAAAGCAATTGGGAAGCCACAGCGGCGTATCTTTATACCTCTTTACCATAATACATGGCGGGGTAGGTAAGCCAATTCTCCCGCCTCGACGGATTGTCGGGAGGACCTGGCGCCTAGACGGCCCACTTGGATTTAAGGCAGTAGCAGCCTGCCTACGATATATGTGCGTTCACATGGACTTGTGCGCATTGGAATTTAGCTATATTTATTTTGATCGTGCCATTGTTATTTCATGAACCTCGTGTGACAGGTTTGGAGTTGTTGGTACTCCACACAATATTCGGGGGTCCAACGTGGCTTGCAACAAACACCACACCCTTGCTTTTGCACCAATTTGACCAGCTGCGGAGCTATATATGCGCGGCGTTTCTTCAGCTACAGTCTACAATTGGTCAGAATAATTGCATTATGTGGTGACATTAGCTATCGTATTGTTAGAATGTTAAATGGCACTCAATACTGTGATTAAAGGGGAGAAAGACGAAAGAAGGGTGACCGCTAAGAATATTGGCAGCCTTCTGTGATTTTTGCCAGTTCTAGATTACAGTTCTCACTGTATATATCCCAATACGCAAGTTATTATCACATACGACCATAGACTCAAGAGAACTGGGCATCCCGTCCGCTCTGCCATACATAACCTTGAGATCGGTGGATTAGTAGTTGGGTGGGTGACCACCAGCGAATACCCACTGTTGTATGTTTTTTGTCTTTTTATACAATAGATTTACCTTCTCCTTGGTGGCATGGCATATTTGCCGTGTCCACACCCTTTTTTCGCTAGGAGGCATGATTCAAAGCCGATGTCAGCCAAGAGAATCAGCGTTGGGGATCGAACTTCAGAGTGGCTTAATGTAGCGTCCCCATACACAGCTATTGTAGTAGGCAGTGCAGGACTCGGCAGCCGTCAATAGCAGTACAAGCAGCCAAGAGAACCCAAAGGATGAGACTCCCAGAGCAAGTCAGGGCAGGTCTATCCACAGTACTCAATTATAACGCAGACAAGTGCGTAGTGTTATACAGAAGCAGAGGAGGGCCAGGAAAGGCCTGACAAGTCACAGATATAGGACAGCCATTAGATCTATAGATGCAGGAGCAACCATTAGCTGCGGGCAAGTAGTTAGAGAAGCAGTTCTTGACGAGAACGGCTTACTCTCCAGAAGCAAGAAGTGGGAACACCTGTATTTATAGATGCACGCTGCATAGCTGCTTTAGGGCGGCTGGGTCAGTCTATGAATCAATCAAATCAAATCAAATCAAATCAATCATTTGGAAGTATAGACGAGCATTCGATACGTATCTAGTACGTGTACACTGTTTTCTGGGCGAGCTAGATCTCTTTAAAATGCCAGCGACACCCCTACAACTATCTTGATCTATAGTTGTAGGCAATACAGAGTGTATTGGACATAGCGCTGAGAGACACAAGCCTCTCAGCGCTATGTCCAATACACTCTGTCCCAACGCGCGCAACATACAGAAACGCCAAAGCCAGAATGCATCTAGAAGGAGAAGCACTTTGACTAACAAGGTATATGAGTATGGGGAATCATACGGCGCAGATGTTGCTTTGATCATCTATCAGAAGGGGCGTTATTACACTTATGTATCTCCTGGTAACCCAAGTTTTCCACCATCCAGGAAAGAAATCGTAGGTTTACTCCTGATTTTGATGGATCTTACTGAGTAGTGGTAAGATGCATTCATTTCCAATCCCTATAAATATGGTGCCGCATGATGTTGACGCGGAATATCAACGGAAGCGCAATCCAGTAGGTCCAGAGCAAGCAGGGAGTAAAGAGAAGGAATAAACTAGGTGTGGATAATGCAACTGCCACGGCGCCAAGAAGACGCAACCCTGGCTCAGATCTGTTCGACCCGTGCTGATCAGAATTCGGATCCACTTGAAATAGTGCCAAATGAACCCTCACCCACCTGCATTTTCGAGAAGGTTTCCTTACCTGTAACAGTCACGTGGAAAATTATGGCTCTCTTATACTTAATGTCACTCTCTAGCTATATTAGTCTCTAGATGCCCCAGTAATCCTGGTTGCAAATTACTCTGCAATGTCATGGTACCGTTGCCATTTTAACTATGCACCCACGTGACTCTCAAAGGAAATGGAACTTCCTGACAATGGAACCTGCCAAACGGTAGCTCATTCCCAAAGGCGCAGAAGACACTACACTACCAACAAAACGACAGTACAAATAACATGATGGTAGCTCATTCCCAAAGGTGCAGAAGACTCTACAGTACCTGGCATTTCACGGTAGCTCATTCCCATCGGTGCAGACAACCATCTTCCGTGCGTGGTAAGTGTGAGACAGATCTTCGGTGGCCTTGCGTTTCAAACCAATGACTCTCTTGGTTGCCTCCGCATGGAGATTCGCTGCAGATTCATGCATCCTATCATCAATAGCAAGCTCATCTTCTGTGATTAGGAGGATTGTGTGTGTCCTATTATTGATGACTACCTGAAAGCATTCCGCGGGGCTCATCATTCGCAGATATGTGTTGAAAGCCCTGATTCCTTCCATCATGTAATCGTTGACCAACCGTTCGATGTTGGACGGATTCTCTGGATCGACTGCGAGTGGTGCTAGGTATTTCCAAGTACCGTCCTCCCATCTGATAAGGTTGATGTCTATCTCTCTCTCCAGTCGCTCTCTCTCCAACCTCTCCCTCTCCAGCCTCTCCCTCTCCAGCCTCTCCCTCTCCAGCCTCTCCTTCTCCAGCCTCTCTCTCCCCAGTCGCTCTCTCTCCAACCTCTCCCTCTCCAGCCTCTCCTTCTCCAGTCTCTCCCTCTCCAGCCTCTCCCTCTCCAGCTGCTCCTTCTCCAGCCGCTCTATTTCCTGTCATGCTTCCCTTTGCTTTTTATGTTCCAGAAGCTTCCGCCTCCACCTTTCATGCTCGGCCGGCGTCAAGCTGTTTGTAGGCTGCTCTGGCTGACTACCATCACCCATTCCTTCCGCCTGGGGTTGGCTTGGACCTGCTTCTGGGACAAAAAGGCCCATGTCATCTTCTGCAGGTTCTAGCGCACTAGGTGGCCGGTCCGTTCGGGACCCGACCATGTGATGTTGAGCATCAGGGCTTGGGTTTCGAGGTAAATCTCCGAAGTCTGGAACAGGAGAGAGAGATGGAGAGCGGCCATGGCTACCGCTGACTTCTAAACGATAGAAGACACAGAGGTTTCTTGCGTAAGGTTGACTTGACAGAGAAGGCGCCAAAACCTATCTCGAAGAAACATGCCCTTATTCAAGGACAAGAATATATCTTGAGTAGGGCTTCTCCGCCGCCGCCAAAGTGCCGCAAAGAAACTCTAGTCCCTGGGCGTAGTGCTCGGGCGATAGAGTGAGATGTTTGCCGCCTCTTCTTGCGGTTAATTTACACTTGCTTTGGGGGGCATTCTCTTGTGCGCTGCTGTTGGGCTTGTGGCTTGGGCTGGGAAGTTGGCATTATGTTGCTGACCTCCTCGATGGAACATTTTTGGACTTTGCTGTTCTGGGCTGGGCATTCTAGCAGGATATCTTGGGTTGAGGCATGTTTGCTGTCGGAATAAGAGTGGCTACGGATCACAATGGCATTGTTTGAAGCTGGATCTGGCATGAATACTGGCTATATGATAGAAATAATACGCAATGAAGCTTGATTCCCATGCCTGATTTAACACCTGCTTTCCTGTGCCTGCCGCCTCTCTTCTGTGTTCCTCTGCAGCTTGCGTCGCTGCCGTGATCAAAATGATCATACTCTTGGTGCTCTAGCCCACGCCGATCTATCCTGCTGCTGAAGGAAGGCTTCCTGGGCCCCAAGAGCTCTACAGATTCCAATGACAGATAGCTGTGTGTCTATCAAGCTATCTGCCCTTGGAATCTTGGCCTCATTTTTCAATTTCCTCGCTCGCTTTCCTCTCCCGGTCTTCTTCACCATTTTCCTTCACCGTTTTCCTTCACCGTTTTCCTTCACCGTTTTCCTTCGCCGTTTCCTTTGCCAGTCTCCTTCACTGGTCTCCCCATCCGGTCTCCTCATCCAGTCTCCTTCGCCGGTCTCCTTGCCGTTTTCGACCACCGATTCACCACCGTTCCCTCTGTCGTTTCCATCACCATTTGCCTCTGTCATTTCCTTCGCTGTTTCGTCTGCTATTCTTCAGTTCCTCTTTGCCTTTCTTGCTTGGCTGGCGTGCTTTTCAACTCTTGCGGCTTCCTTGCCGCCGCTCCAACTCCTGGTCCCAGGACCGCCCATTGCCTCACCCACGGCCGCGATGGGTTCCATTCGAGGAAACCAGAAACGCCCGCCCTTGGTCTCACCCTGAGGACGGTGATAGTACTGTCCTCACTCCACGCCGACAGGTCAGGACTGAGGAGTGAGTGCTTCCAGTCAGTATTGGCGGTCGCCGTCATGGACTCATGATGATAGTGTGGCCGGCGACGGCAATATCACATTAACGGCCCCAGGATCACAAACGGTAAGCAAATTTTACTGTCATACTACTGTCAATTTCCTATCTACTGTTCTAAAGCTTCAACCGTATGGGTTGAAGCCTGATCCAGGATTTTGGATGGTCTTCGGACCGGTGCACGGGCCAACTGACCGTGGGATGACCGGCCAAAATGGCTGGTGATCCCCAGACCGTCCTCGGACCCCTCCACGAATACGTGGCGCGCCGGTAAGGTAACTTGGTAAGGTCATAGAACTACCCTCGAGTATAGAACGCTACTCGCTCTCGGGCTCACTGCACTCTAGTTGACCGCCGCTTTTCGTTGGTAAGTCGTTCTGACTAAGCAGTAGAACTTATATCCAATGCAGCGAATGATTTTCTATGTCGTTCTCGAGTCACTAATGCGAATTGTAGCACAGTAAGCTGTTGCTCATTTCGAGTCCAGTGATTACTGCAGTTCCTGCCACATGACGGGCAGAAAGACAACAGACGCCTTCCAGAGGATCAGCACAGCGTCGAGAACGGCTCGGGGTACCTTGCAAATGCCGGAGATGCCCCCCCCGCAAAGGTCGACGGTGTTGATCCTGATAGATAGGAAAGCTACGGCAAAGAAGTGGTATGCCAGCACAGAGGGCCGGTGGAGGATACCGCCTAGCATGGCGCTGGGCTCATCAGTAACGCCCTTTTTGAAGTAGACGAAGCAGCCGCGCTGCAAAGCAGCAAGCTGGCGGTCCTGTGCTGCAAAGAGCATATAAAGCGCCATGGCAAGCACGTTAATAATACTGGTGAGCGACTTGCGCTGCCAGTGGAACTTGCTCATGGCCGCGTTAATGGCGTCGGTGTTGCCGAGGTCAGCGACCTTGTCCGGATGGAGTAATTTCGAGAGGAGGACGACATCATTGAAGGCTACAGTCATGCCGCCGCCTGTTAGTGGGTGACGCATATTGTAAGCGTCGCCGAGGAGGACGACGCCCAAGTTGTTCTTCTGGCGCACCGGTGGGAGCCAGCTGTTTGGCATGCTCTTCGGGATACGGCCACTAGCCAGGGCCAACTCAAATGCCCGCTTTGTTCCTTCTGGAAGAGTTGGAATCACGACGTTTCTGATATAGCCACGAACGCCACCGTTCTGAGGGGATGCCTCCGGGAGGTTCTCGGGCACGTCGATTAGCGCGCGCGTCTCGTGGTTGCCAATCTGGTACATTAGAATGGGGAAAGCTTTGCCAATGATGACGTGGCCAAAATTCGTAGGCTTCATGGGGCAGTCGATAAGCGTCAAGGCGTAAAACTTGCTCTTAACAATGGGAGTCTTGTTGATGATCTGCTTGCGGAACCTGGAATTGTACCCGTCGGCGATGACAGTGAGCTGGCCAAAAAAGTAATCCTTTGTTTTGTCCGCTCTCTTCGTCTCCACACCGAGGATCTGAGAGGTGTGCTCGCACCGGATCGTGTTCGTCACTTCTGTCTCGAAAATAGTGACGTTTGGGTGATTGTCGCAGGATTGTCGCAGCCGCATAATAAACCGTCCGTGGTGAAAACTACGGCCCTCGGGCTTGTCGAGAGAGAACTTGTGCACGGCTCCACTAGCTTTATCTGCATGGCCATTTGTATTGTTCCTACCAACCGCCTGCAAGTACTCTTGGGCAGTAAGGCCTCTGTGAGTGGCCGCTAAGACCTTACCCGAAGGCTCGATGGCAGGGTACGGGATCACGACGTCGTCGTCGTGGTAGTGGACGTTGTAGCCGTAGCAAGGAATGGCATCAATACCTTCCAGGCATTTCTCTAGCCCAAGCTTCTTCAACGCCTCCACACCACCGGGTTGGAGAAGCTCCCCGACAATGCGGTCCGGCTCTTTCATCTGCCGCTCCAGCAGAATAACACTCCTCCCTTGGTTAGCTAACGCATAAGCCATCGCGCAGCCAAACACTCCAGCGCCGACCACCAGGACATCGGCCTCATGGTGCTCGGAGCGTCTTTGAGCGTTGTAGAGATTCTGTGAGGTAGTACCGAAAGTCATTGCGAGAGTTCGAAGTAGAATAAATAATAAGCTTCGGCTCTAGTTGGCAAAACCTTAGACGCGGCTGTGAAAAAGCAGAGTGCTTGCTTACTACCTTTATATGATTGTGAATAAAGGTCTGCGACTATCACGATCCTCGGGTTTGAGCTTCTAGACACGATTGGAATCGGAGGTTGCCATAAACAGCCAATGATGGAGGCAAAGGTTCTAGAGGGTTCTGGATTCAAACTTGTTGCGAAGCAAGGTTTTTCAGCTGCGGCGAGGCCGACTAGGGGGTATTCTGAGCGGGTCTCGGTGGGAAGGTCGACGGCGCATGACGAGATGGGAACTACCGAGCGAGGGAGTGTTGGGGAAAATATTGAAGAAGGAAGGAGAGAGTCGAGCAGCGGGATGGGCGCGAGTTTTACAACGTGGGAAAGCGACGGCTAGCCCCGTGCACGCACCTTCCCCGATTCGGCGGACGCCAAACGACGCGTGGGAAGGACACCAAGCTCCAGATTCTAACTTGTCCCGGTCTAGAACAGCTCGCGAGCTAGCACAGTTGGGTTACAAGGTGTTGTAATCCCGGCCCCTAATCGTGCCGCTGCAGGCACGTGATGTAAGCCATCACATCACGTAAGATGGCGGGCTGCCGCCAGGCAAAGCCGGGCGCCAAGATTGGCACCAGCTCAGAAGCAGGGCGTAGCTTGGCTAAAGCCGGGCGTTAAGCCGGGCGTAGCTTGGCCAAAGCCGGGCGTTGAGCTAAGCAGATCGCTCGGCTCAACTGAGCTTCAGGCCTGAGCTGGCTTCAGAAGCTGGTCTATAAGTAGTACGTAGGCCCAGTAGATAGCTCTTTAATTCAGTCAATTTCCTACTGTCCAATACTGCCTATATATTATACTATAATTACTCCTATTCCGATGAAGCGTTGCCGTACGCACCCAAAGTGAGAACTCGGCTCGGCTGTGGGATATTACCCGATTACCAGCTACGGCCGTGTTTGCAACTGTAAAGGACTTCTTGGCGAGTAGGGCAGTGGGAAGTCACGGGAAGGAATATACGTAGAATCCTGGTCTATTGATACGAAGACTGAACGCTGACCTTCCTCCGAAGGTCCGCGTTCCTACTATATAGTTCTACGTGTCCTGTCCGGACCGACATGCCTCCGTCTTGGCACTGAAGGGCACGTGAGTATTGCCCGCACGTGATTCGGTTCGTGACAGCAACAGAAGGCGAGGCTGACAAAACACATGTGCCTACCCACGAACGGCTTTACCCCATTTGGGCTGTGACAGACGCTATACTATCGCCACTTGTAGCATCATGTTAATTGGGGCTAGGTTAGCAGCACGGAAGCCAACTTTCGTGGTCGTTAATTTCCAGAAGTCGAGGCAGGAAACGTTAGCAGAAGAACGAAGGACCTCGAGGCAGTTGCGCAGTCGATCATTTGATTTGATGGAGGGCACTAAAAAGCGAAAATGAAATGTTGCAACTAAGTGGATTATCTCAGTACGGGAAGGAATGGCATAGTATCCAATCCCCAAACAGAACAGCTAAACCACGACATAACAACTAGGAAAGATCCGACTCCAACGCCGTTACATGGATCGCCCCTTTCTTAATCCGCGTGCGAACGCAACCGACGTTGTCTCTGAAAGGAATGTACAGACCTTGCATAGCTGAGAATGAGGAGATACTGTGCTACTAACAACTCAAGAGGCTGTTGGTGCCACAATCATCCTTCAATATTCTGTGTCGTACGCTCGTATAGTAGCTTCCATTGGGATACTTATGGCCTATAGTGACCGGCCAGCCTCATTTTCATGTGCAGTTGCTTGCTGTACTCCAAGACTCATAATAGGACCTTTAACCAGTCTCCCATTGGCTCCTGAGCACAGTCTTGCCTCAAAACTTGCCGGGCATGAGTACTCGAGTACTTTGATAAATCGTTTGCCGGCGCCTTACAAAAATCGAACCCATTGGCCCATTGCATCCATTCTCGAGGCTTCTAACAATGGAGTACGTACGCAGTCTAGTCTTCTCCTCTTGGTTCGGCCTTACATATCGCGAGACCGATAAATGCTCGGCTCTTTTATGAAGTGACACACGCAGGGGCCGCCGTACCGTGTAACGGAGCGCGGCACAGACTCACGATGGCTGTTGGTGTTTTTTTGCCCTCCCCGCCTGTCTAATATCGAGGCCAAAGCGAAGCGGAGTCGCCTTCCTGCCTGTTATGTGGGTACTACCCAGCATGCATCATGAATCCTAGCTGCTTCCTTGCAGTGATCGTCGCTGTCAGCCGGAATATCGCCGAGTAACAATGGCGGGGCGTTCGTGACAGTACGGCTTTGGGCAAGAACATGCCATGTAGGAGGAGGTTGGCATGGGTATGCTATCCCAGTACCACGTACGGTAGCAACCAAAAGTCGAGATGCTACACCCCTTGCATACTTTAGTATGAGAATGGAGGGTTGAGCTATTCCGTCGGGAAAGCCTTCCGCTCCGGATGAGTTGTCAGAATAATTGTTCCACAGGGGCAGTCTCAGTAGAGCGAGTGGCATCGTTTACGCCTCTGGCGGCTAACAAAATTAGAACAGACGGCCCAACAGAGCGTCCAGTGCACGAATGCGGCATTTCCTCTATTCGCGGCACTGTAATCAATCAATATTGAGCCCCGCGGAGCTTACAAGAAAGAGGCAATCCAGACTATACACGATAAGAGTATTGACCTTCTTCGAGGCCGGGGCCTGAACCGGGCTTTGGACCCATCCACGCGACCCTGCGGCCTGGCGGGTAAAGTGCACAGTTATCGCTGGAACCCTAGTCCATAGTAGAGAGAGCAAGCGTCGGATGATCTATTCGCTGCACTGGTCATCTCCGATGGACAGGGTAGTGCAGGAAGATCCATGGTTCCGTACGTACACCTTGCATGCAGTTTATATTGGGGAAAGGTCCACTCTCTCCGGACCTACATATGGTAGAACAGTCGATGTTTAGTAGCACCCGCGGATCACGAATGTTGGAGGCAAGATTGGATCCAGTTCAAGATCTGTTATTTTATTATAAGAAGATCATGGGAAGCACCCTTCTCAGCCCACCAGCTTCTCCTTCAGCTTCCAGTTCTCTCTCTTCAATTATCTTGAAGCCTCTTTTTTTCTGTTGAACACGACTCTCTCTCGACTAGTTTCAGTCTTCAAATCACTTTCAAACAGCCATCATGCCTTCAATCACCAGCCTCCTCTCTTATGCCGCCATAACTCTTCTCGCTTCCTCTCAACTCTCCGCTGCCTCTCCGATGCCTATGGGAAAATTAGTTGTACGGGACACTCCAACAAGCCTCCCCACCACCGGAAGCGGTACTCAGCTCCCACCCCCTGACGCTGGTCTCCATCTCAAATCCGTCACCCTCGGCCGCGGCGTCCAGAACTACACCTGCTCAGGCGGCTCCGGCACCCCAACTGCCGTAGGCGCCATCGCAGACATCTTCGAAATCACCGCCCTTGCAATGTTGAAACCCACCTCCCCTGACTTCACCGGCCTCCCAGCAGCAGCAGCCTACTTGACTATCCCTGGTGTCCAGCAGCTTCTGAACAGCCGTATGCCCATGGGAATCCCGGCCCCGGTTATTGGAAAGCACTACTTCAATTCCGCTGGTGTCCCGACCTTTGATCTCTCTGCCATGGGCAAGAAATTGCTCGGCAAGGTTGCGGGTAAGGTCCCTGCTCCTGCAAATGCGGATAAAGGCCCTGCTGGCACTGGGGCGGTTCCGTGGTTGAAGCTTGATGATGCTGGGGGGAGCTCTGGGCTCAAGGGGGTTTACCGTGTCTACACTGCTGGTGGCAATGCACCTGCTTCTTGCTCTGGCAAGCCTGCTATTTCTGTTCAATATGCCGCCATGTATTGGTTTTATGGCTAGACACATGGAGATATGAAGGACATCATCACGACAAAATATGTTTAACTTATATATTTATATTTTAAGAGAGGTCTATGGGCGGCTTGAAACGTACGGAACGGGAGTGCATTTATCTCTCCATGCCTTGGGGATTTGGATGTATATATTATTACTCTTTCACCTGGATCAGGACTTCCTTTGAAGCCATCCTCGCGCCTTCATTTGTTGGTATCAAAGTCTTATATCAATAGCCACATAGTAATACCAGAGGAAAATCCACCAAACCCACCACTATCCTATCTGAATAAACTGAAGTCGTAAATTCACCCCTCCACCCCCTCGCAGCACTTCATCATCCAGGCTCGTTCCAGTTACCGCTATCACACCCACCCCTCGGTCCCTCCGTCGATCTCACCCCCAACACACTTCTCTGTACTCCTCATGAGCCATAACCGCCATAACCGCCATAACCTACGAGCCACAACCTCCCCAATCCAACAAATCAAACCCCCTCCCTCCCAGCCCAACCCTCTCACAACCTCCGTCCCGCCCCTCGCACCAAACACCTCCGCACCCATCCCGCGCCCTTCGTGTCCCCCCTCCTGGTTCGGATCCTGTGACGCGGTGTCTCCAACACTAACCTCACACGCACAGGTTCCAACACGCACACAGCGTGACACAAAGGCCCAACGGCCCCGACGTGAATCTGGCCGTCATTCGGCTGTTGTTGGACCGCTACAATCTCTCCATCTCAGCAGGTTCTCCCAAATAACATGACGTTAGTAAAGCTGAGCTGCCTCCTTGCTTGAGGCGGGGTGATTATCTTTTTGATTTTCTTGGAGAAGGATATGTGGAATTCAAGAATCTTTCAAAATGGGTTGGAAAATAGTTAAGGAAAATACAATCTTTTTGTCATGGTTCTGTCCGTCTCCTTTCCTACTCGTGTGATAACTAACTCTCTTGTTCTTTCCAACTTTCTAACTCCGCTTATCTCGCTTTCTTAGATTTTTATTTCCAAATAAATAAAGCAAATCTCTCGCACGCTCTGCATTTATTAGGAGAATTAAACAAATCGAATCCCCCTCCCTCCCTCACAACATCCAACCCTTCTCAACTCGTAAAGCTCGTCTAAAGACAAAACTACATCCATAACCCCCTAGATGGTACTCCTCGAATCTACCCATGCATAGCATCAAGCCCATACTGCAACTCCTGCTCCAACCCCGCCTGCTGCCCCCCATACCCTGCCTCCTGCGGCCTCGGGTCCTCAGCACCCCACGCGCCACCCTGCTGCGGCATCGGGACCTGCCCCGCCTGCGCCGACCCGCCACCATGCTGCGTCGTAGGCTGCACACGCACCTGAGCACGGAACATAGCGACCTCATCAAGGATCAACTTTCGCAGCTCTCCCACATCCTCCACGACCTCAAAATCGAAGTTGAACGTCATCGGGCACCCAGGCTCGTCGGACGCGTCGTGCCAGATGTGCAGGTACGGGTGCTCCAGGGCCGTCTCGACGGAGATGCGCGACGAGGGGTCGAAGGCGAGCATGTGGTTGAGCAGGTCCAGCGCGTCGGGGTTGGCGTTGGGAAAGAGGTGCGAGAACTGGCGCTTGGCCATGTAGGGGAGGTTGCGCACGTACTCCTGGGCGCGGGGGGAGCCGATGCGGGAGAGGGTTTCCTCGTTGGGGGTCCCGAGGATGTGGAGGATTTGGTTGAGCTGGTCGACGTAGTCGCGGCCCTTGAAGAAGGGGCGGCCGCCGAGGAGCTCGGCGAGAATGCAGCCTACGGACCATACATCAACTAGGAGGGGTTAGCGGTGGTAATATGAGACGGGTGGTATTTACACATACTGGCTTTGGTGTAGCTCTGGAACGAGAGCATAATCTCTGGGGCACGGTACCATCTCGTAGCTACGTATTCCGTCATGTACCCAGCGTTCTCCTCAGGGTCGACGGAGAAACCTCTCGCGAGGCCGAAATCGCAAATCTTCAGCTCGCAATCGGCATTGACGAGCAAGTTTCCAGGCTTCAAGTCACGGTGAAGGACATTGGCCGAGTGGATATATTTCAGTCCGCACAGAATCTGGTAGATAAAGGACTGGAAGTGGGCGTCGGTGAGGGGTTGCCCGGACCGGATAATGGCCGCGAGATCGCATTCCATTAACTCTATATGCCAACGTCAGTATGTAGGAAAGTTTGCTTTTGGTTTTATTCGCTGACCTTCGTATAAGTACGTTTCGTTGAAGTTATCGGGTCGCGGAATATCCATGTCATAAAGGCATGTTATCTGTCCTCGTCAGCAGGGCTCTCTAGTAGATGGTAGTGTATATGTACGTTGCGATGCCCTCTGAAATGCTGGAGCAGCTTAATCTCTCGCAGTGCGCGCTTTGCCAAGATCTTTTTGCTGAAAACATTCGTGACCTTCTTGATCGCAACGCCTTCGTTTGTTTGTTGGTTCGTCGCGGCGCTGTTGAGCACATGTCAGCATCCATCTGTACCAGCCGCCGAGTTGACAAAATGCAGTGATGTACGGACCATACAATACCATAAGCTCCCTGGCCAAGTTCCTTCGTCACGACGTATCTCTCATCGACAATGAAGTCTTGGTTGAAGACCTTGAAGGTCTTGCGACCCTGTAATCCGAGGTCTGCCATGGTTGGGAGTTGGTTGTAGTTAAGTGCGGGGGCTGTATTCAAGCGAGTACGACGAGGCGTTCTTCGGAAGACGACAAGTACTTTTAAACGGCAGGTATCTCGAAATATACCAGCTGAAGAGCCTTTCTTGGGAGATGGGGCTCTGGAAATTTCGAGGGTAGTGGCTTTGTTTGAAAGAAGGTCGAGCTGTAGGCGCGCGACTAGAGGGGCGTGTGGCAAGCTCGAATGAGACGAGCGGGGTGACTGATGCTTGTCAGACGGAGCGAAGGGTGTCGCAAGAAGACACTGGACGAAGTCTAGCTCATGCAAATCATCGCAAATATTGGTTTCAAGTGGAGTAAAAGGACGCGAGTATGTGTATAAACGTGTATAGATGAGTAGATATATAAAAAATTCGGGCGATAGAACAGCAAGTAGACAGTAAATAGATAGATAGCATGATGATTTGACGGTCGTCAGCTCTGATCGGGAGTGACGCGTGGTGGGGCAAAAGTCGAGGTACAGTACAGGTAACTTGCATCTTTCAGGGTGCCACTGAATCCTTTGGTTACGCGACTCCCCAATCAGTGCTTCCCGTCGCCATCTGCCGCTGTCCAGTACGCAGTACGGAAGGTAGGGCTGAGACAGATCAGCTTTCCCCTTAAAAGGCCGCTCTTAAAGGCCGATCTTAAAGGCCGCTCTTGGGTCCGGATTTGAAACTCCGTCTTTCAGCTGACGAGGATATCCAAATCATTTGCAGAAAAATTAGGGCGACATGAGCGACCAACGGGAACGTCGAGTCAATCCACTTGCGCCATCTATATTGTTGGAGCCAACGACCTGATGGTATTCATTTTTTCCCCACGGGCGACATCTCTATCTCCCACCCTGCTACATCCATCATCATTCATAAATTTCACCCTGTTGTATTTCCCTCATGCTTGCTGCTTCTCCTTCTCCTTCTCCTTCGCCGCCTTCTTGTCTGCAATCATCTTTTCCTTGGCCAGCTTCTTCTCCTGGTTCTTGGTGAGTTTCGGGACGCCATCAACCGACTCGCCAGCAGCTGCAGACGGCCCCTCGGCTGGAGCGGCGGCTGCAATAGGGTTTGGGTTGCCTGTCCACTCCAGCGGCCTGATCTCCATGTAACTGTCAATCACAGCGTCGTCGATAACCGAGCGACGCTCCTGGAAGCCCAACACATACTTCTCCAGCTCGGCAATGCACAGCGCCTTCAGCTCTCCTGTTAGCAGCTCTCCCTTTTGATACGCAATCTTAATCCTTTCTAACTCCTCGTCATCCTCCATGAAGAAGGTCAGGTACTGGTATGCAACGTCCACATCAGTGTCGCCTCCCTGCTCACGATGCTCCGCTTCCGAAACCTTGCCGCCCGAGAACGCGTATTTGTTGACCTTGGTTTTGATCTGCTTTGGTGTATCCTTCATGAAAATTGCGCTCGTATCAACACTTGCGCTCATCTTCGTGCCAGGGCCCTGCAGGGCATCGAGGAACCTAGCGTGTATGAGGGATGGCTTTGCGAAGTGAAGGCGAGAGGCCACGTCTCGAGTTAAACTATCACAATAAGTACGGGATTGGTTCGCGGTGGTGGGGATAAACCAACCGAAAGTATGGATCTTGATCAATAGCGCAGGGGATCAAGCACGGAATCTGATGGGTCTTCGTCTCATCAGTTCCAAAGATGTGTGGGAATGAGGATGCGAATGAAGTGGCGCCCTGCACTGCACCGAAGTGAATCTTGCCAATGCACGAGCTGTCGTTGAATCCAAAAACCGCACGAGCAACATTCAATGTGACATGCTTTGAGATGCGAGTAACATTACGGTAAAAGGCCCCTCCCATGTAGTCATAATCGCTGAAGATAAATGTCTTCTCCTTGTCGAATCCTACGGCGATAATATCCGCAGCATTTGTTCTCGTGTATGATTGGACCTCTTCTATCGTGCGCTTCTCAGAGAAGAGATATTTCTCGTCGTCTGTCATCATAATAATAAGGGGCACCTGGAAAACATCCTGTAACCATCTTATAGAGTTTAGCATTGGCGCAACAGGCACTGGTGGGATTCTTACTTTGTGAACTCAAAGGGGACAGTGTGACCAATGTGCATGCTATCACTGCTTGGGCCTCGTCCAGTATACAAGAAAAAGGGCTCGCCGCGCTCATATCGGTCAAGAATGAGGTTCAGATCTCTGTGACTGAAGACAATCCCTCTCCTCATGAAGCGATGTGGCTTGTGCCCCGTCACTTTCTCAAATCTCTCGAGTATCCCATCGTCTGACAACAATTTCGTGCCAAACTCCTCCACCAAACTCAAGTAATTGATGGCCTTTGTTATTCCATCAGCTCCCACCTCGCCCTTCACGTTCCAAGGGTCGATTTGTTGTTTGTTCGCCTGGGTTGGGGGCAGCGTCGCAGCGGTTTCGGGAGAAGTTGGTGCTTCGGCCATTTTGAGCAGTGCGCAGTAGTATCTGCGGTTGTTCGTATTCGATCGGCCGGCTTGGAGGGGATTTTCTGGACTCTTCGTGGCTTTCGTGGGATAAATGGAGGGGTTCAATATGACTGACTCCTTGTAACAAATCGGGCAGAATTTTAGCTGGGTAGGCGGTACATCACATGACATTGAGGTTCCTGTCAGATGCTAGAGATGCCGATCAGCCAGCCCTTGAGATGCCAAGTAGTGAGCTCATGACTATCAATAACATATTTTCTATATTTTTGAAACTCTTTAATAGCTTTATCATCGTTTTGTATACACCTATCGTACTTATTATCCTATTTTCCGCTCACACGCCCTTGACGCGGGGATTGCCGTCGTTGTACTCGCTCAAGCAAGCGAATCCGGGGTAAGGCTAAGTTAGTTACAGTAAATCCGACTGGCCGAGTGTCAAAGTCCAGGAAGAATTCTGTGAGCTCACCTACCAAAACGTCACCCTATAAACGGCTCGCCCACCACCCACCTCGCATCTCCACGACATCTCATCTTTGGAATCCATATTCTTAAGCCACCAATTCGCTTCTCAATGTACTACTAAACCGCTCCTTACCACCGCCGCAATGGTAAAATTCTACGACACCGACTTCACGTACGACTACTCATTCCCCGCCGTCGCCCTCGCCTACTTCCTCCGCTACCCAAACCCATACAGCACACATGTCCTCTCCAGCGACGTGATCGACCGCCATGTCGACCCCGAGACCGGCCGGCTGAGCACAACGCGCATCCACCTCAAGCGCTCGCGCCTTCCTCCCGCCATCCTCAAGCTCCTCCCCAAGTCCGTCCAGGGCAACGTCGCTGGCGGCTCGAGCTCGTCTTATATCCTCGAAACGAGCACCGTCGATGCGAAGGAGGGGTGGATGCAGACCGAGTCCCGGAACCTCGACTGGACGGGCATCCTGAGCGTGGTGGAGAAACAGGTGTATACGCGGCAGACCTCCGGCGAAAAGGTCGCCCTGGATGATATGCAGTCGGGCACGACGGCCGTGGCTACCTCGATTAAATTCCGATCTCGGCTGGGTGAGAGACTGAGGGCTAGGGCTGAGGCACGGAGAGCGGAAGCAGACGAGGTGAATGCGAATCCGGACGAGGAGCCGAGGAAAGGCTTCCTTGCGAGCTGGTCGACTGCTGGCATTCAGCGAAGTATCGAGGCTATTGCTAGTCGGAGGACGATTGATAGCCAGGGCAAGAGCAAGATGGGAATGACGATTGTGCTGGAACGGCTACGAAATGGAGGGTTGATGGGAGGGCTGGAAGGGATGAGGCGCGACCGGGAGGCGCTGTTTAGCGGGGACGCCGCTGTGAAACGGGCATGGAAGGACGAGAAGCGCCAGATTGAAAAGGAGGGGTGAGCAAGGTGCAGCCCCATGTGGGCTGAGCCAATATCGAAGGCCGACCTCGCCAGTGTAATATCGGGAAGGAAGGTGTCCGAAGACACCAGTGTTACAGTATGAGTGTTGCATGTTTGGGGGCACTATGTAAATATATGTTTTGGCTATGGCATGGATGGGATCTCAAAGTGCAGGCGTCTGGGATTAGTCATGCTTTTTAACGACCGTTCTCCTATTCTGCATATTGTTTTACAAAGCTGCTCTCTCATTAAAGGTGGGATTGAGTTTGGGGCTCTTCAATAATCTAAAATATAAAGATATGACTATGAGGTTCCACTGTCCTGTCCCTTTGTAGCAGTATTTGAGAATGCTAAGCAACCTCCGTTGATGGGTATGAGTATGATGCTACCATAGTATTATTCATGGCGTCGAGCGCAATAACCGCACCATTCCCATTCAACGATTCCAATTCAATCGTCTCTCAAAAGACGAGAATGTCCCCATCTGTGAATCCTGACTTTCCATAATGCCAAATAGCGTTGGCAAAGTTAATAGATGTCTTTGACATAGAGGCATATTGGGTTTTAAGCAAGCCATTCAGCAAAGCAGACAAACCCCTTTTTTTGAAGTAAAGCCCATTCACTGTCCCCTGGTTGTGAACACCAGAGCCGCTGCCGTTGCTTCGGCTTTGGAGGGCACAATTCTAGGAGTGCTGGTCACACTCAGAGATGATTATACAGGATTCACCGTCCTGTATCCGCATCATTCCCACACTGGCCCAGGTTGCTCTGTGAACAAACTGTTAGTCCCGCTCATGTCAGCGAAATTGCGACCCGGCTGGTTGCTTTACAATGAGTAGCTCAAAAGCTTCTGCCAAACATTTCATAGTACCCCAAGATTTATTCTACTGCATCGACTTCTTCGCCAAGCCCAAGCCCCGGCTACCCACCTCCTCGACAAACTATGCCGCTCCAAACCTGAAACTGACAATGGACGCGGTCTCTGCTGTAGAAACAGAGCGCAGGACAGAAGATACGGTGTTGAGATGGCTTGATGCACTGCCTGATAGGTTTTCACGCATCCCTGGAGATTCAAGATCGAAAGTGCGTGCATTGCAACTGGAAAAACTGGAAAAAGAGAGAGATCTGGCATACCGTATGCTTTTGGCACAACAGTCGCAGCCGCAGTTCAATAACACGGAGCGCACGCCGGTATTGAATTTTGGAGTGGAGGAGTACCTGAGTCTTATCGAGCCAGATCGGCAGCGATTCCTCGAGGAGTTGGCTTCTGAGACCAAGGAAGTGAAAGGAGAAAGGCACAAAAGGGATACCAAAGAGCACCCAAACGTACTTCCGGCAGAAATTTTCCAGAAGACCCAGAATGATCCACAAAGCAGAGAGCATGTGGAGACAAAAGAACCATTTCCAGCGACGGCGGATCTTTCACCTGCCTATGGCCCTCCTCCCATCATTCCCCAACGCTCGATGTTGCGGCCGAGTGTAGCAACGTTCTCCGAAACAGCCCCAGGAACCATTCAAACCATTCAACATGCTGAGGCTATCAATGCCAGTTCGTCCCAATACTCATCAGTGGTGGATATATTACCGAAGGAAGCAACGGCCAATGGCACGAGTGGTGTTGTTAAGGACTTGGAGTCGGGGATTCGGAGAGACAATCCTGGGCTCGTGGCTGAGTTGAGACTCGGAATGGAAAGACGCAGGCAGAGGGAGAGAGCGAGAGACGACGACGACTTGGAGAAGGAATGTGCGCAGGGGATCGGTAAAGGCAAGGTGTGGGCATTGAAGTTGTGGAAGTAGGAGAGGAGGGGGTGAAAGACGGTATGGAAATTGTATGGGGATGCGCGATGACATGCAACTCAACTTGGGATACGATGGTTGTTTCTGCCAAATCCAAACTTCAATGTCGATATTAGAAGTTCCATTCTCCAGCTCTAGCAAATGCGAATATTGTCCATGCGTGCTCGTGGGTATATTGAAGTTGTTCTTTCATAACTGGTGTTGGTAGTTGGACGGAACCGCTCCCAGTCGTTTGACAGGAGGGGAGCCAGCCATGCGGGTTCAGCCGATACGCGTTAATGACCAAAACGCGTCTCCCAAGGCGAACCTCGAATTTACGCGACATGCACCATAATTGCACAACGTCGCGGGTCATTTTGTGCCTGCAAAAGCGCACCACATCGCAATGAGGCGATTCACTGAGAACGAAAACCCGATCCCTTCATCCTCCCCAGCTTTTGCCACTCCGCAACATCCGCTTCGCACCGGATTAGACTCTCCGATACCGAGCATCCTCCCGATCGAACTTCCTATTACCACACTTCGCCCAGTCGCATTCCGAGTTCTGACGAAAAAATATGGACTCACCATCACATCGTCAGCTTTACAGAAATTGACTGCGTTTATTGGGAGGAACTGTGGTTCGAAATGGAGAGAGGGGCTTGCGGAAGCGGTGCTGAACTTCGTTGCTCAGCATTGCAAGGACACCGGAAGAGTTATTATAGATGCGCCTGACGATCAGGAATACCTGGGGACAATTTTTAAAGAACTTTCGGGGCGGATGAAGAGCGGCAGGATCACTCATGAGCTTAGGATAGATGGCCCGAACCCTGCCCGCGGAATTACCAAACCTGAAGATACAGCGGGCAACTTGAGCGGCATACGAAGTCATATGAAAGTGATAGGGGCTCGAGAGCAACCACGGTTACTTTACAACTTCAAAACGAAGCACTTCGACAAAATCAATACGAAGGCCTCGTTGCTTCCCTTAACCGCGAGCAAGACACAGCTCTTCCGGAACCGTTACAACATAATCCACCAGCGCCTTCTTCGTACCGAGTCCTTCCAGGTCCCAACAGCGAATCGCGCGCCTACGTTGCATCGAAGCTCCTCCTCTATGATCACAGCCCAGCAGACACACAGATTAACTCCCATAGCCAACCTCCTTGGCAGATCTGGCTCACCGCATCTCCTCCTCGGCCTCCTGACGATTTCTCCAACAGGCACACTCGCGCTGTCCGATCTCACCGGCTCCATTAGCCTCGATCTAACCCATGCCCAGGTTTCCGAACCAGACGCAACCTGGTTTGTCCCGGGCATGGTTGTTCTTGTTGACGGTATATACGAAGATGAGGATCTCACCACTGGCTCCGTCCTTGGTGGGGGAGGCGGGATTGGAGGCACCGTAGGTGGCAAGTTCATTGGAACGATGATCGGGACACCAATAGCAGAGAAAAGGCACACCACACTCGGCACGGTAGGGGAAGACGAAGGGGGTGACATCACCACCGGCGGTGGCTTTGGATGGGTTGATTTCCTCGGCGTGGGCAGCGAAAGGGAGAGGGGTCAGAGCATGCGAGAGCAAGAGTCTCAAATATTTTCACCTCCCCCACCTCCTCCGCTCTTCGATTCTCAATCTCGGCCAGAAACACAACCAGCCTCCGCCTCCGCCTCTGTCCCAAATCGTGGCCACATCGCCATCCTGGGCGACCTCACTCTCGACAACCCGCACACCGTCTCCGCTCTCGCCAAGGTCCTCTCCGTCTACTCTCTCCTTCCTCTCGAAGCACTCCCTATGACCTTCATTCTCCTCGGGAACTTCATTTCCCAGCCCTCTCTCGCCCTCGCCGCCACAGGGCCTGTCGAATACAAGGAGTACTTCGACATTCTCGCCGCCACGCTCTCCAATTTCCCTGTGCTTCTGTCGAACTGCACGTTTGTCTTCGTACCGGGCGACCACGATGCATGGAATTCTTCCTTTTCCGCCGGTGCCGCAGGACCACTCCCGTACGAACCCGTCCCCTCAATCTTCACGACAAGAGTGCACAAGGCGTTTGTGACCGCCAACTCGGAAGCAAAAAAGGATGCAGGTGCCAATGCCCCACCAAGGGTCGACGGCGAGGCGATCTGGACGTCGAATCCCGCACGACTGTGTCTTTTTGGACCTACGCATGAGATTGTGCTTTTCCGCGATGACGTCTCAAGTCGTTTCCGACGCCACGCGATCCGAACCGCCTCCGCACCTGTGCCCGAAGATCCAGAGCTCGATATCGATGCAGAAACCCAAGAAGATCCGTCCATACACGCGGCAAGGAAACTCACACAAACCCTCTTAGATCAGGGACACCTGTCGCCATTCAGACTCACCGACCGCCCGGTTCTGTGGGATTATGCTGGTGCGCTGCAGTTGTATCCGCTGCCGAGCGCGTTGGTGGTGTGTGATGCCGAAGCAAATGCATTTGTGGAGAAGTATGAGGGGTGCTGTGTTATGAATCCGGGGAGGTTGACGGGAGGTGGGAAAAGGAATATGGCTAGCTGGGTTGAATATGATATCAAGGAAAGGACGGCTAGGGTGAGAGAGGTTGGATATTAGTCCGCGTGGTACAGGTCGCGGTTGTGAGTACTTTGGGCGCGTTATAGGGGCACTGGTGTTGTCGAAGGTTAGGATCACGATAGGAGTCATCTATGAATGACATGAATACTAGATATATAGTTGCATAGGGCCGCGTTACGGTCCATAAATTATACATAATAAATCTATAATCCGTTTACGGGCTTAAATTCTCGGCCATCTATTATTACCTATCCAGACACGAGCCAGTACCATAGCTATCCGCCCAGCCAGTAAACCAGCGCCGTGGTTACCACCGACTTTCGTCTAGAACGCCAAACAAGCTCTCAATCTCCTTCTCTACCTTCTCGATCTCCTCTGCCAGTTGGCCCGTCACAAGAGCATAGGCATATAGCAAGGCGTAATCCTCATCCTTCGCCACAGCCATCCACTCCTCACTCTCACAGCCCCCCTCTATCACACCTTCAGCATTCCGGTCTTCCTCCGAATCCTTTATCGCCCCAACCCCAACCTCACAACTTCTAAACTTATAAATCCGGCTCAGGAGTCTATCTCTCGGACTTCTCATGCTAGGCATAACATCATTAACTGCGACAGGATATTCCAACATCAAACTACTCGCCATCACCTGAAAGAGATGGCAAATCCGCCCACACAGCTCCTTCCTTTCCTCGACTGTAAATCGCAGCAGCGCGATCTCCCCCGGTGACGCAACGAGGTTCTGCGCAATCACCGCATTCATCGAGTGGAAAGCCTCAAGCATCCTCCTCGTGCTCTCCATAATCCGCGCAAACGGCGCCGACTTGAACGGGCCGCGGAGTTCGAATTCACCCTTCGCTGACAACCGCAACGAGTCTAGGTGCTTCAACTGCGCTTGCAGGGCAAACTCATCAGTCAGGTTCATGTAATTGGCCTGGATGTCTGAAGAGAGGATTGGGGACAGTGGGTCGCGCTTCCAGATTAGACCCATGCGCAGCCAGAGTATTGATAGGCCCTCTTTGAAGTGAGAACGCGCTGAGTAGGGCCAGATGACACGGACGATAAATAGACCCCAAAGACAGCCGCACGCGACTGAGGCGACACGATGGAGCGCGATCTCCGCGATGATTGGGTTTACGCCGCCCTCGTCGTCGTCGTCTTCTCCCTGGCGGATGCTGAGAGAGTATGCATAAAGCGCAGAAAGGTTGTAGGTGAGCAGGATAAAGCGTCCAAAGGGCCCTCTACCTTCAACTACAATAATGTAGAAGCCGCCGAGGCAGACAAGCCACCCGCAAAATCCCAGAGTATAGGGGTTGCCTTGGCACATAACCCAAATGATTATAGCAATGGCGGCACCAATCAAAGTTCCACTAGTACGCGCGAGGGCAGTTGTATTTGAGGTACCGGTTGTAATAGAGCACACCAGCATGTATGACAGAAGGCCCCATTCGCCACGCCAGAACCCATAGAAAGGTCGTGTGGCCGGAATGAAGGCGAACATGGCCCATAAGGCGGCACCGACTCCAACTTTAATTGCATAGCGGATATCTTCACGTTCAAGGAAGGCAGCGGCTTGGTATAACCGGCGCGAGAGCGATCGTTTCGGAATCCGACGCACCTTTGGTATTGCTAAGTTTGCCTTTTTGATTTTTTTTGTATAGAAAATGTCGTTGCTGTTCTGGGCGATATCAGATTCTAGAATGCTGTCAATACCATTCCACGTTATTCCGATATCAAATGTTTAGAGCATACCTGTATCTCGTTCCTCTTTTCTCCACGACCAAAACATCAGCCAATTCCAAGACCTTTTCTGCGGCCCTTGTAATTCTTCCTTGAGCTCTTCAAGGACTTCTAGATACTTCTGGATTCCCTCGGCAAAATCCTGGAGACAAAAACTGTAATGGCCACAACTGGCCGCCACCTCCTCAAAATCTGCCTCGACGCTCTTCTCCCTCTCAGGATCTTTAGCTCTGTACAACTGTGCCAACGCCTCTTCGCGAGCTTTTCTATACATATCCAATGCGTCGCTAAGACTAAGCAGAAAGTTTTCATTGATAACAATCTTGAACTCCGGCCCAGCACCAAATGGCAACTCGTCAAGGATCTGCTGCATCGTAAACACTAATGACTTCATTGAAGGTCCCAGGTGCCTCAAAAACCGTGCAAAGATATCACTTGGTGTACGAATGGTCATCAAATTGGTAGCGTCCGAGTCCATAGTGCCAGTTCTTTCAAAGCTAGGTCGCGACAAGGACTCTTCTCCCCCGCTATCCTCTTCCGCAGCTTCTTCAATGGCCGTTAAAGAATTGAATCGCTCCAGCTTCGCTCTCGTAGTCCCCGTTATGGTGCCGTAGCTGGCCATCCCGTGAGGCTTCTTGGGGCTCATAATCCCAGTATTGCCATTGGGGAACGTTTCTTGGAGAAGAGTGAACTGGGTCGTGGCAGCACTTCGAAGTCCACCGATATCTTGGGCCAGTCTCTCCATGCAGTTCACGATCTTCCTTTCGACGCGATACTGATCCTCCGTTCCCAGGAAGTAATGTTCGGCCTTTGCCTCCCTTAGGTTCTTCGACAACATCGTAAACTCCGAAGTATACCGTTTCGTAGCAGCTCGAAATGACGCCGACTTCAGTTCATCATCAGATCCTTGCAGGAAACTCCTGGTGATTGTTGTGAGTAGGGCAGAAATTGCGAATGTAGTATCAATCATACTCTGCCGGAGGTCTTGTCTTGCAGAAATAGGCCAAAATACCAAATTAACAATAGTCGTTATGGTCATCGCCATAATCAGCATTTTCATGACCTGTGTAATCTTGTCGTCAGAGAAAACCCCAGTCTGAACCGCGTTCTCCTTTGTTATAACCGTTATAATGGCCAAACTCGCCAGACTGCAAGCTACACCAACCAAAGGCGATCCCATTCTCTGTTTTGTCCACCCAACCAGCCCAAGGCCGCCTCCGACAAAGATGATGAGCACGAGGGTGTAGCCCAGCTCTATGAGCTCGAATTGTGTCTCGCAGAGCACCGATACCGCCATTGATGCCACGGATATAAAAACGGCATATAGGAATGCAATAGTCCCGAGCATGACTGCCTCAATCATGGACCCTGCTGAGCGCGCCGGGTGGAAATACACCACGATAGTCGCAACCAAATGCTTCCCATCTCCACGACCCAAGAAGTTGTACAAAAGCGGCACAAACGTTGCCATACACGCCATCACATATGCTATCGAGCATTTGATCACTCCCCTCCCTGGTCTCGTCTGGAGCCATGTCCATAGGTCTTTGGTAGAGGCTTTCATGCATTCGAAGGCCCTCATAAAATTCCCCCTAGATATGCGCCTGTGGAATGGCAATAGGGGTGCCGTTTGATCCGTATCCAGCCGTCCATCAAAATTCGCAGAGTTCCGAAGGGTAAACTGGCGTCTCACACGCTCTCGCGTGCTCGGAATTATGAATGTCGCATTTCGAAACTATCGAGTTCTTGTCAATGCCCCTCCCCCATCGCCGTCAAGGAAATACTGGGACAGGTATCTTACGCTGCGCCTCGAGATCTTTCGAGACTTCCTGGTTAAAGGCGTAGAAGGTGCGGCGGGAACGGCTTGCGGACTCATGCTGAAGAGAACATTGCCGGTGAAATCTTCGCGGTTGCTTGATGCGCAATCGTCGTTTTCCTGGCTCCACTCAGACATTGCTGGATTGCATTACGTAGCTTCGACCCCAGATTCTTAGCGTGCAGACCCTCCCGTTTCCCCCTAGAACCAAACTGCAAGCTATCCTCAGCCACAGCTGGTGTGATGAACTGTCTCGGGAAGAAAACTATTCAAGCAATTTGTAATGGTCTGTTTACTCGTGCGGCCTAAAAGTGTGAAAAGGAATGTGCACATCAGGTAGTTACAACAACTATGATCAGGACTACAATCACACGCGCCAGTTACTCAGGAATAGAGATTAAGGCATAATTTCTCTTTACTTGAAATGCTGGTATGTAACCTTGGGCGTGGGGATATTGGGCAATCGTTCTTGTATTATTCAAATAAAATAAATATACATGCGAGTAAAATAAAATATAAGTCAACGCATAAAATCATTAACTTCAATTTAGTTATCAACATTAGCAACCAGGTTCAGATAAATAGCAACAGCTCAACAAAATTAGCTGATGATGGTCCCGTTGAGCTGTTGTTATTTCTGAACCTGGTTGCTAATGTTGATAACTAAATTTAATGCAAAATACCAAGCCGTGGTGCCCCCCGGATCCCCCGCACTCGTGGTCCTCCAAACGCCAGTCAATATTACCACGCCCCGCCATTAATTATAAGTCCTTTCACTGGGGATCAACTCATATCCTCCCTCAGGCGGCAAGAGATAGTTCGCAACGCCCACTCCACCAGCCGTGCACAGCACGACAGCCCAGCTAACCGTCCCCATAACCCAGCTCTGCCCCAACTCCCACCCAGGGAAGAACCTCTCATCATAATCCAACAAATACGCCACCATCGCCGTGCTCGCCACCTGGCCAAGCACAACCACACCCATCAAGCCCACCAGGACCTTCCATCCCTCCGCCCGTTTCTGCAGGCCACCTGCAAGTATAATACCGAATGTGACGAGTGCGACGATTTCAAGGATGCCAGTAAACGACATCAAGAAAGCCGAGGAGCGCCAGATGGTGCAGAAACTAGGTCCATCTGAGGAGGGCGAGGCGCAGTCGATCGAGGACGGGAAGGGGCGGCACGAGTTGGTGAGGGAGCTGCAGGCGCGGTGGAGGCCGTATGTTATCCTGAGATGATCATCTGGAGAGATTGGCGAGTCGATTGTAAGCCAGTAAGGTAGGAAGATGGAGGTTAATGTCAGGACGGTTGCTGGATGGTTGTTAGTATGTGCGGGCGGATGTGGGGGTCGTTCTCAAGGTCGGGAGGGAGGGGACGAACCGCCGAGGAACGCGACGAGCGCGATGGAATACACGAGAACCCGTGCCATAAGTAATGTTTGCCTGATATGTTTGATGGATGCGGTTTTATTCTTGCCTTGCCTCATGCAAAGGTTGATGGTCTGGATGTGTGATGTTAATGTGGTTAGCTGGAGGGGTACGTAATCGCTTATCGGCGGGGCTGTGTCATATGCGGTGGCACGTATCAGACTTTCCGAGTTGTTCGTGAAGACTTTTAATATTACACGTAGCATAATAATAACGCCACTTTCTGCTAGATAGCAAGCAACCTGTTTCGTTTCTTCGTTTCATTACAAGCTCATATCATATTCACGTCAATTAAGCACCTTCCAAGTGGCACTCACCCCCCATCTCACACCATCAATATCGACCTCCCAGGCAGGTCCCTTGACGCCAACCACCTTTCCTACTGCCGCTTGTTCCCCTTTTCTAATCCCTTCACTCATCCCCTCCTCTCCTCCCAGCATCATACGAATCGGATATAAATCGGCCCCCTCATCACCATTGCTGCCCACCCGACGACCCCTGACAAGGGTCATCCCTGCCCCATAGCCTCCTGTAACTTCATCCACCGCGATCTTGATCTTCCATCCATCATCTCGAACGGGATTCCTGGCACTCCTCGTCGCTTGACTTTCACGGTCAACAAGCCAGCCTCTAACCTCTGCAGCCAGGCCTCCAGCCAAGAATTTCTGCCCCCTCCGTCGCGGGGAGAAATGCTCTGGTAGAGGCTCCACAGCAGCTTCACGCTCTTCGTCTGGGGGCTTGAAGCGTGGTGGTCGGAGAAACGTATCGGTGGACTCAATAGGAGCCGGCATTGACGAAGTGGGTTTGGAAGGTGTCGAGAGAACGAAACGCGGCGCACTGGGAGGGGGGCGATAGACCGGAGGAGGCGGCGACGACAGAGTTGGCGGCTCCATGGCAAGTAGATCTTCAAAATCATCATCTATTCCATGACCCTGATTCTGTTGGTCGTGTTGTTTATCCTCTCCCTCGAAGTCGACATTGGTATCACCATAATTTTCACCATCATAAGGCTGGGAGCTCAGAATCGGTTCCAAGCTCAACTTCCTCCGTTTCAATGCCGGGCTTTGAAACGCACCCTCCTCATCATCCTCCCATGTCTGTGAAAGTAAATCCGCATATGCCGCCCGACGCCTTTCATTTAATCTTGCCACGTGATCATCCTCCTCATCCTCCTTTCCACGATGTCCGCCCACCCCCACGCTTACAGCCGTATTAAATCGAGGCGTGCTCACAGCATGCTGAGATCCAATAATTCCTGCGCCCCGCGAGGCTGCAAAGGAGAATCTCGGTGTGGCCTTAAACTGAGGCGCGCTGGACACATGTTGGCTTGGGGCGGGTCGGCTAGGGTTCTTTATGACGAAGCGGTGAGGCGATGGTGTCTGCACAGTCGATTAGTTACATTATACGCGTCTGGAAAGTGGCAAGGCTCACCACCGGCGGTGGAGACATTAGTCCGCATGGCTACGAGGTATGAGTAGATCTGGACCGAGTCTCAGGCCTCTCAGGCCTCACTGTGTTAGGGCGCGTCAAGGCGGTGGATGAGGGCAGAGTCTGTCACGTGCCTTTTACCATCATAACATCCATATCCAGCACGGCGTTCCCATAAAATAGACCAGCTTCTTCCCATCGACTCAATACTCCCTATCGTCAAATACAACTTTCCTGAATAGAGTTAACATCAGTGGCCCTCGACGTTGATTCCCTTTAAGCAATCCTCACCCAAAAGGCTCACAGTGCTGGAACGATTTCAAGCCACCCAACCCCTCACTACTCGGAATGGCTCCTGATCTAGAAATTGAAATCATACGTTACTACGCACCAGGTGTCACGGCCATCATTGCTTCCAGCTTCAGTTACTTTCTGGGTCTTATTGACGACAACACCATACTCAAATACCCACATGAGGAGAACCCAGATATCGACACGCAAGTACAACTCTCGAAGCCCAGATTTACAAAATCCTTGGTAACCACGATCGTATCGTCAAGTTCAAAGGTGGCGATGGGCATGGCATTTGTCTCGAGTATGCAATAAATGGATCTGTTGCTCAGTATCTTAGACAGACCAACGTCACTTCAACGATTTCTCAGAGGTTAAAATGGGCACAACAGGCAGCCGAGGTATGGCCTATATCCACATGTATGAGATTGAGAGTGGGCGGACTAGCTCCGTCAGCATGGAGATTATCGTGTCAGACACAGACTTCCCTGGCCGCAGCTCTGCGAACGGATTTTGTCCATAGACTAAACGGGGCACGAGTGGTATAGTGTGCAGGTTCTACGCTCAATTGAGAAACATATAGTGTATAAAGGGTTCGGAGCGCACTTCGATCTTTCTCATCCATCATCCTTCAATCCTCGCATCCATCAGCCCTCAATCCTTACATCTATCAGCCCTCAATCCTCGCATCCATCAGCCTTCATAGTTAGGTCTAGTCTTGTCTAGATTTACCGTTGTATCACTGCTAATAAAGCCCAGCCTGTCAATATGTGCGATAGAGCCGTCTATACACGGGTACGACAGAGCTTACTTGTGTGGAATGTTGCTAATTTATCCCCTTTTATAGAAGTATAACAACTGCACTGCAAGTCCTAAACAATTATCAAGTACGATATCAGGGGTTGACTACCTGCGCTAGTTCTGACAAAGCACCGTAACTTAGTGTCTACCTAGACACTAAGTTAGGTAGACAATCTGTGTCCCTTGACAATACCCCAATGATTTCCTGACACTAGGTCATTGTAAGGATGCCTTCTCGTCTCTCATTCTAGGGAGTAGACTCTGGGTAGCTGCGGGGTCACGTGTGATCATTTGGGTGGGCTAACCGAGTCGGAACCGATGTCATACTGACATTCGTTGCACTCAGTTTGCTATCAAACTCAAGAGCAAACTTAGAAATCTCCTCCTCAAACCTACAAGTCACCATACATATCTTGGCTTATCACACCAACAACAGAAGCAATACTACTCAACGATTGCTGCAAACTCTTCTACTACATCTGTTTATGCTACATACATCACGGCATATCATTTGGACACTCATTGAACAAGTTATTAAGAAAACCTCCTCCTTAAGGGGGTGGGCCAATACTACCACATGGCATATCTCTACCAACTAGAGGCCTAGGAACATGAACGATAGCTCTAGAAGCTTCTACAATCATCTATGATTCATTACATGTCATCGCTCCTTAGTTACCCACAAGATTGGTTAAGTTATGACATGATTTGTCTATAGGTACTCTGACCTTGGACCTCCTTTCACTTCCTATAGGCTAGGAACCCAAGAGATTGTTCTATGGGATTCTCTTACATTCACTACATGATTAGCAAGCTAGTTGTGGGTCGCACTTGATTTCTAATACATTTACCAAGCCTGGTTAGTCATGGAAAGTCATGGAAAATGAGAGAACTACACTCCTTTGGCATAAATAGGATTGCCCTTTCCTTAAGAAAGGGCAAGCAGACAATACAGTAAATCGACTATCACATACTTCCATGTCTTTTACAAGCTTCCAAGCATTCATCTTGTTACTCCTTGTTTCTGAAAAGTCAGTGAGGTGTTAACCTCTGACTTACCCCTGAGTTCCCAGACTCAACATTTGTTGCAACTTGTCTGAACCACTTCACTACATCACACACCTGATTGCTGCGTTGTGGAATAGTCTAAGCTACGACCCTTTGGCTCTGTTTTCTAAGACAGTGTGTTGTCTTAGTAAATTCATCCCTTCCTTGGGTGGCTAGATTCTCACATCTGGTGCACCCACCATTACACTAGATCAGCCCAAATGTTGACTACTGGCTTAGGCTCTCTTGTTATTGGCTTGCTGCACTAGGGCTCGCTTAGCTAGGGTTCGGTTAATTAGTGCCTTCGCTTATTTGGCACTAGGGATTTTTACTGTTATATAAGCACTTATTGCTCATGTCTCTTATTGATCTTTAGTGTAACGCTGACTTCTAAACGATAGAAGACACAGAGGTTCTCTTGCGTAAAGGTTTACTTATCAGAGGAGGCAGGGGATCAGACACAAAGGCTTCAAGTAACACGTTACTAGTATATAACAAATACTGTATTGAGTTGAGCACGAAGCTCCTATCTAAGGAAATACTATCTACTTATATAGTGGCGTCGTGCCTAGTGGACTCTTGGGAACTCACTCGAGTCCTCGGAGTCCTGGACTCTTAGGACTCTTCTCATCATCCTGCGAGTCCATCACGTGCCTAGTGGACTCCTGGGAACTCACTTGAGTCCTCGGAGTCCTGGACTCTTAGGACTCTTCTCATCCTCCTGCGAGTCCGTCACGTGATACTTTCGGAACTACTATTCCCCGCTGCCCCTCCAGGTACCAGGGCCGGTCTCATGCGACCTCCCTCCTTCCTGTCCTGTAGTTGGCCAGCCTTCTTGTTCCGTCGTAACACTCGCTCCCTTCCCCTGGGCATTCGTCTCGAATCCTATAAGTACGTCCATGTCCCCGGGACTCTGCTGCTCCTCAGCGAGTCCTTCAACATGCAACATGCCTACTGACACTGCCCGCAAACTCCAGGAACGCAACGATCTTGTCCGTCGAATAAAGAACCACGGATACGAACTACCCGAAATGGATTCTTGCTCGAACTGCGTGAGGCGAAACATTACTTGCGTGTCGTCTCCAAATGATTCACGGCGGTGCGCCGAGTGCGTTCGTCGCAACTTGAAAGAAAAGTGTGACTGTATGGGTCCTGAGCATCCCGACTGGGTGAAGCTCGAACGGGAGGAGGATCGCCTGGATCGCGAAGAGGAAGAAACCCTTTCGAAGTTACTTCGTCTGCGGAAGCAGAAACGCCTCATCCGAACCCGTGGTAAAGATATGCTCCGGCGAGGTTTGAAAACCCTCGACGAGCTTGATGCGGCAGAGGAGGCCGAACGTGTGGCTGCTGAGAAGCGTGACGCTGTTGAGGTCGAGGAACAGGCAGTTAGCGCTGCCTCCTCGTCTGTGACCGGGACCTCCGCTTCCTCTGATCCACTGGCCTACTCCCCTGCATCTTGGGATCAATGGCTGGCGGATGGCGGCGTTGATATTCCTCCAGCAGTTCTTTGCTGATGTTCCTTGTTGGTTCCCACGAATTATCCGTAGGTTCGTAATTTTCCCATTTTATCAAAAACTCTTCTCAACGTCCTACTAACCTTCTGTCTAGGATCGCTTCGACCTCATATTCAATTATCTCATTCTCAGGTTGGAGTTCAGTGTCGGTCGCAACTGGGGTATTTCCTCTTGCTGGTTCCAGTAGTGAGACATGAAATACCGGGTGTAGTCTAGACTTCCTGGGTAGCTGCAGTCTGTAATTAACTGAGCTGACTTTGTTCAATATTTTGAATGGTCCCAATTTCTTGAAGTCCAACTTTGTGCTTGGTCGTTTCGTTTTGATATGTTTCCGGAGTAGGTATACTTTATCCCCCTCCTTAAAGGCAGGTTCCATACTGCGCTTCTTGTTTGCGTATGCGGCGGATCGTTCATTTAAGAATTGGATGTCCGTCGCAAGTTGTTCGTGGAACGATTTCAGTTGTTCCACCACGATCAGGGCTTGTTCAGCTCGTGATTCATCCGGTCTTGGTTGCCTATATGCTTCTGGCTGGTAGCCGTAATTGGCAAAGAACGGTGAGACTTTCGTTGCTTCTGTCATCGCGCTGTTATATGCAAACTGTGCGATGGGTAAGATCTGAACCCAGTTATCCTGTTGATGATTGACATAGCTTCGCAGGTACTGTTCAAGGGTCTGATTTAATCTTTCTGTTTGGCCGTCTGTCTGGGGATGAAAAGCTGTTGATAGCTTATGATTTGTTCCCAGTAGCGCCATCAATGATTTCCAGAATTTCGAAGTAAAGAGCTTGTCTCTATCTGAGATGATTTCTTCTGGCATCCCATGATCGGCTAATATGACTCGAATGAAGGTATATGCGAGCGCCTCGGCGTCGCTAGCTTCTAGATATGGTATAAACTTCCCATATTTCGTGAGTCTTTCCGTGATGACGAGGATAGAGTCGTATTCTATTCCTGTTAACGGGTCCTTGGAGGGTGGGAGCTTGACGATGAAGTCCAAAGCTATTGATTTCCACGCTCCTTTTGGTACTGGTGTCGACTTGAGTTGTCCGTATGGCAGATGCCTATTGGATTTTGACTTGCTGCAAATGTCGCACTCTCTTACCACTGTCTCTACCTGCTTCCTCATACCTGGGAAGTAGTAGTGTCGGGTGATTCGTTCGAAGGTTCGCGTTACTCCCTGATGACCGTGTGCTGGTAACGAGTGTTGTTCTTGCACCAGCGGGCGTCTCATTTGACTTGGGACATACACTAACCCTTTGTATCGAATCAATCCTTGTTCGTCGATGGCGAAGTCGCCTTCGACTTTGGACAAGACTCGCTTGGCGCATTCGTCTGTTGCGTAAGCTTTCTTGAGTCTTTCCTCGAGTTCTGTATCTTCGATGACTGAGATCGTCACTAGTAACTCGTTGTACTGTATTCCTGCATCTGTTTTCTTCAGAATTGCTCTAGGTCTTTCTTCCTTTGGGCCGGCGTAGTCGGTCCGTCTGCTGAGAGCATCTGCTCTTGCATTCTCGGAGCCCTTGCGATAGGTTATCGTGAAGTTGTAGGCTGCGAGGGTTTCTGCCCAGCGGACTTGTCTGCGGTTTAAAACCTTGGTCGTGGTGAAATATATGAGGTTCTTGTGATCCGTCCATACCTGCACAGGGTAGGTGGATCCCTCAAGATATACTCGCCACTGCTCAAAGGCAATGACAATAGCCAGTAGCTCCTTGTCATGGATGTCGTAATTGAGTTCCGCGGGTGACAGTTTCCTAGAGTAGTACGCGATTGGTTTGAACTTACCGTTCTCGTCTGGTTGATTCAGACATGCTCCAATTGCGAAGTCAGAAGAGTCCGTTTCGAGGATGATCTTCTTTGCAGGGTCAAATGTAGCAAGGATAGGTGCTTCCGTGAACTTCGTCTTAAGTTCCTGGAAAGCAGCCTCTGCCTTGTCCGTCCATTTGAATTCGAGATCCTTTCTGGTAAGCTCCGTGAGTGGTTGAGCTACCTTGGAATATCCCGAGATGAATCTTCGGTAGAAGTTGGCGAAGCCTAGGAAGGCTTGCACTTCCTTGACCGTGGTCGGTGTTGGCCATTCCAACACTGCCGTTACTTTTGCTTGGTCCATCTTGATGCCGTGCGTTCCAATAATGTAACCCAAGAATTCGACTTGGTTTTTATGGAACTCGCACTTCTCTGGTTTGAGGAGTAAGCTGTACTCCTTTAGTTTCTTCAGGACGAGTTTGACATGCTTGACATGCTCCTCCTTGGTTGCTGAATACACCAGGACGTCGTCTAGGTAGACGATGGTAAAGATGTCTAAGTATTCGTGCAAAGCATCATTCATCAGTCGTTGCATAGATGCGGGTGCGTTTGTTAGCCCAAAGGGCATGACTTGATACTCGAATAGGCCATAGCGGGTGCGGAATGCTGTTTTCCACTCTTCCCCAGCCT